TATCTTTCCCTCTAGATCAATTTTTGCAAGCCATTATGTCAGGGCAACTGGGATTTCCTCATTGTTGAAATGTTAAGCAGTGAAAACAAAGCTTTATTCAATATTCAGTATGAGCATGTGCATAATTTTCTTTCACAGTTGTCATTATCTACCATTAAACTATTGCAGTTTTTACGTTTAAAAATCATACATTTATCTATAGACATGTTTTATTTTTTTTTCTATTGGACCATTTCACAGACCATCGGCATTCATATGGCAACAAACTGTGCTACTCTTCTTGTTAAATTGTTCCTTTATTCATTTGAGGCAGACTTTCCGACGGTACAGGCGCTTCTCAGAAAAAAAATGAACAGACACTATCATCGTTCCATTATATAGATGATCTCCACTCACTAGATAAATAAAATAACATCAATGATACCAATTTTACTGCACCTGATGCGCATTTTGACAATCAGTAACCAAACTATTTTAAAGTCCAAAACCTGATACAATCGTTGAGGGGTTTAAACACAAAAGTCTAAAAGTAAAGCCATCCCTGGACAAGGAATATAAGCTATGCGCGAATGAGATAAAAGGAAATGCCTATACCAAGTCAGGAATATGACAGTTGTTTTCCTTCCGTTTGATGTGTTTGATTATTTGATTTTGCCATTTGATAAGGGACTTTCCGATTTGAGTTTTCCTTGGAGTTCGGTATTTTTGTTATTGTACTTTTTACAAATATTTTGTAGTGGCGAATTTCCATAAAACAATATCCGTATTTTCATCCGAGCATTGAAGTTCTGACTACAAAGTTTGGTGACTATTTTCAATTCATACCTACTCGAAATTGAAATAAAGGATACCACAGCGCGGACACATACGCCTTTCTCGCATCTTACTTACCTTTGGCAAAGTATTAGATGGAACTGGCTATTACCTTTAGCTCCTAAAGAAGTGTACATTTTAATCCTTAGCTATCAAATGTTTAGGTTTAAGTGTTCTGGTGAAGGTAAATCCAGAAAAGAGCTTCGAACGCACGAAATTTAAAAGTGGTATCTTCATTTACTTCTACAGGGTCGTTACCACTGTTGGTTGATTGTTAGTTGTCAGGGATATTACCAGTTCCAGTATAGCCAGTGTTTCGGTATTGACATGATTTATAACATACTTTTTTTCTTAAATTCACTGTTGACAAATTTAGAAATTATAACAAAACCAATATTGCAACTCCCTCAGGCAATGTTCGCACTCGTTGAATTCGGTTATACTCGTTAGGTTCCTTCTAGTCATACAGCTCCTAAAGTTTTTAGTATATTTCAAAATTTTATAAATTTGAGAGTGTCTGGTAAAGGTAAATCTAGAAAAAAGGGTTCGCATGCACGAAATTCATAAAGCAATATCTTCATTTCAATTAGGTGTTGATAATTAACTTGGAAACCCAACATATACTCTCACGACACTTACAATAAATGACATTTCTTCACTCTACTGGACACTCAAGTTACATAAGTGTCCTTACAAACAACTTTATATTGCTGGGTCTGCCAAATGGTCCACTCTTTCCAAATCATTAACATCTATCCTATCAACAATCAAAAAACCTCTTGGTATTTGTTTGCCTCCCTTTTCAGCCTCTTAAAAGATTCGAGAGTACTGAATAGGGTAAAGACGTTCCAATCCCTGGTTAGTTTTGTCAAGAACGATCCCTTCCTTGTCGTAGTGTTACATGCTGGGATCTGGAAAGAGTTTTTATTCATATTTCTTGAGATCATGCGTGGTGGTATAAGCTTCTGTCATACATTGATGTTTACTTCATGGTTGCTATTCTTTTATGGCTTCGTACTAAGTTATACGTTTTTCTTCTTTCCTCTAATGATATCCAATTTAGTTGTTCTATCATATCATTTGCAATTGTGAACTTTCCATTCCTATATAGGAACATTCCATAGAGCCTACATATGACGTATATATCACCCAGTTGATACGATATTCCAGGGCTTACAGTTCCCATCACGATTTCCTTGATAGAGGGTTGCTGCTCACAAGAAACTATTAAAACACGAGTTCAAAGTGGTGAAGTTGAATTCATACATTCAAAAATTTACAGACGCCATCTTGAGTTGTTTGATCGTTATGAATGTCTGTTTCACAGATGACGAGGAAATGTTCCAATTTTCGTAACCACAATCCCGTCTTCTTTTCCCCGAATGTGACCTACCGAATAAGACTTATCAACAGATTTGTACTTACATGAGCAACAAGACGGGTGCCACATTCGGAGCAGGATCTGCTTATCCTTCTGGAGCACCTGAGATGCTCACCCGTTTTATGAGGACTCGTGTTGCTCAGTCTTTAGTTTTCTATGTTGTGTTTTGTACACTGTTGTTTGTCTTTTGGTCCTTTTCGATTTTTGTAATGGCGTTGTTTATTTTCGACTTGTGAGTTTAAATGTACCGTCGGTATCTTTCGCTTCTCTTTTGCAGATAATCAATTACTGTACCAGTTTGTTACGTTTCCCGCTGATCTTCTTTGTACCATTTCCAATATGTATTTATACTTTTTAAGGTGCGGATCTTATACTGTGCGAGCATATTCAATTGTTGGTCTTACAATTTTGAGGGAGATGTAGTCTTTTTCTTGCTATGGCTGATCATCTCGAGATGTAAGAATTTCCACTGAGCAATCCGCTGGTTTTGTAAGCTTATTGCCAGATGTTGGTGATATTATTTTCCCGCGTCAGATCTGATTTTATTATCTATGCCAAGGTATTTAGTAAGGGATAAACGTTTCAGGGTGTGGCCGTGGAAAATGTACTTCTTTGGAATTGTTGTTAGTGTTTTATTCTATGTGATAGAGAGTACTTGATATTTATCGGGATGCTATTTGATCATCAACTTTTCTTCCCAGATAGCTATTTTATTCAGATCTTCCTGGAGAAGATTGTTCTTCGATGTATGCAATGGTCTCATATGCAAAATTTTCAAATTTATTTAATGTTCCCTGGCATGTCATTTATATGAGGAGACTTGGATACAAATCTTCATGGTACTCATGACTCGACATGCTGCAAATATGTTTCATATGTAATTTACAGAGACACTCTCGTCGTAAAACTGTGTCATGTGTAGTATATATATAGATATAAGAAGATGTGGTATGAGTGCCAATGAGACAACACTCCATCCAAATCACAATTTGTAAAAGTAAACCATTAGTCTTTTTATGCAATATGATCTTTTTTGGCTACTGGTATTCTGTTCACTGTGGGGCTATTATACTATAATATATTATGTCCCAGGTTCACTTCAGTATAAATAATGCCGTGGTCAGATGAACCGGGTATCACTTTTATCCAATTAAAGCCAAGTGAATAATGTGTTCGTATTAAGTCTAAGGTGTTACGTCCTCTTAATTATACTTTCACCAACCTCTTGCAATTACACATGATCATCTAAAATGTTTGTAAATGAGCGTATAAAGCAAACATCACCACTGCCCCAGGTTAGGGAGACGGTTAATTGGCGCCTTCAAACGTGTCTAACCCCGCCATATTCTTTATATGCCTGTCCCAAGTCAGGGGTCTGTATATAATAGAGTTGTTGTCGATCTTTTTTTTTTTTTTTTTTACTGTTTCTCATATTTGTTTTTCGTTAATGTTTTGAATAGTTTGCACTTGTGTTGTGCCGTTACACTACTGTCCCAGGTTAGGGGAGGGTTGGCGCCTTCAAACATGTTTAACCCCGCCACATTCTTTATGTGCCTGTCCCAAGTCATGCAGGAGCCTGTAGTTCAGTGGTTGTCGTTAGTTCATGTCAGTCATATTTGTTTTTCGTAAATTGTTTTGTAACAAATTACCCGTTAATTTTCTTATTTGAATTGTTTCATATTTTTCGTGTCGCGGCCTTTTACAACTGACTACACGGTATGGATTTTTCTCGTTGTTGAAGGCCTTATGGTTGCCTATATTGCTTCCATCCACTTCATTTGAACTTTGATGGATAGTTGTCACATTGGCAATCATACCAAACCTCCTTATTTTTATATCAGTCAAACCGAAATCTGAAGACTGAGGGAGTAGTCTCAAATGAAGCCTAGATATTATGTTTAAATTAGTCTGCACGCTGTGGTTTTGCTGAAAAATATAACAGGTCGAGAAAATATTACAAATCACAGATATTTCTATATAAAAAAAAGAGAAAAAATATGGCCAAAAAAAGCACTTTTTAAAAGCAAAATCACGTGCGCTTAGGGCATTGATTTTCCTTTTTTTCAGTGGTTTTTTTTAGTTAATTTAACTTATATATAATTTCAATTTTTTCACTTATTTGATAACATATTCTTGTTGGTTTATTCGTACTGCCCCTCTATGATTATTTCCCTGCCGGTAAAAAAAATATATTAAAAGGAAAATGTAAACATCGCGGAAAAAACAGTGTGCATGCCCCAACTTGACTAATGTGAGCAAAATAGAAGAATATATAACTTGATTTTGTTGGAAATTTCTACCTGGACGGATTTTTGTCATCTCATTCCAAACAGTATTCGGGTCTCTCGAAGCTTGTCATGCGGTATGGGTTTTGCTCATTGTTGAAGGCCGTACGGACCGTGAACCTGGGCGGCTACAGTTGCTAGCATCTTTACGTCATTTTGTCTTTATCCTGATCAGTCATTTGAAATTAGTATGATAGTTGTGTGAGAGGATGAATGAAAGTAGTTATCTGTGTTAAATTGTTATGATATATATGTCTGTCTTTGTGTCCTGTGAATAGGAGGCCATAACTTAGCATTGGCAATCATTATTCATACCACATCTACTTATTTTATACAGGTTTCTTGCAAATATTCATTAGTTTGAAAATAATCCATGTCATCTGAAAAGAGCAGCAGTTTAATTTGATCCACAAAAGGTAATTGTTTCGTTGTTCGTGTCCGTTGTTGTCTGCTTCTCTTTTTAACGTTGATTGTGTAATAAGATGTTCTGTTTTCACCGGAAGTAAGCAAATAAATGGATTATGGGGGATTAAAGAGTGTCAGAATATTTTTCCTGCTGACAAACCACAAATGTTTCAAGATTGTACAGCTGTTCTAGTATTTTTCGATCGTAAACTGGGATAGATACTACCTTATTTAAGTAGTGAAATTAGTTTTCTGTAAGTGTGTGCCATTCTTTGTCGAAAGACCTTCTTTTTGTAGTCTCAAAACGTAAATAATTTCTTACCACAGGTGTGTCGGAAAATAACTTTTGCATTTAAAATATATCATTAATGTTGAAATATGGAACGTGAAACATACATTTGAACCTTCCTTTTCCATAGGGTAGACAGCAGAAAAAGTAGTACAAACCGAGAATTGCCTACAAAGCTAAGCTATATTTAAAACTGGTTGTGGAAGATCCTCATCCAAATGGGTATTCCCTAATTCTTACCTGATTTATACTTTCTCTTACCAGTTGATTATTTTATTATGAGGGGGCATTAAGTTTTATCCTTGTCCGTCTGTACGTCCCAAAATTGGTTTCCGTTTTCTAACTTTAGTTTGCCTCAATCAATTGCAAATGTTATGAAACTTATACACAATGCTTAATACCACTAAACACAGATCTTCTTCTTCTTCTTATGGTATCCAGTTATCCATCAGATTTTTGATGATTACTAACTGTAAAAAGAATTTCAAATTACCTATTGTGGATCAAATTAAACTGCAAGATCAAGTTTGAATTTTGGTGGCGGTACTTATAGGGTCGGTCTTTTCACCACCGGACACCTCCGCACACCGCCGAACACCCAAAAAGACCACTAACCCTTAAGAAAAACAGAAATGTTACACAATAAAACAATAAAATCGATTAAATTACGTAAAATTTAATCCTATTCTCATGTTTTTCACATTTTTATGTGCATTAGTGATGTTAAAGTTGAGAATCAAATAAAAAAAAACCGCTTCCGGATCCAGCAATATTTTTTCCGGATTTACATTGTATATTATCAGAGACATACATGACATATAATATAACGTATTACATGTCTCTGATATTATCTTATGGTCTTTACTTTTCAATTATTAGAAATAAATTGTTCAAATAAGTTAAAACATTTTATTTAATGTGAAATTATCACAATAATTGTATTTAAAAAAATGTTAAGATTTGAAAGTGTACTGTTCTGACAACAGCCCTGCAAGACTGTTCTTTTTGGTTCTCTTGTTATCATTTCTTATTAATTTGTGTATATATATATGTATAAACATACATGTACTCATCCTCGTTCAGAAGGTAAGTCAAATATATAAAAAAGATGAAAACAATATATTTAGGTGTGTTAATTGGTATTTTAATGTGTTCGGTGGTGAAAAGACCAACCAGTACTTTTACCCTTCTAGAGTTATGCCCTTTACAAATGGAAAAATTGCTGAATTTTTCATTTCTGTTCTCTAACTTTAGTTTTCCTCAACCAAATGTTTATGAAACTTATACACAGATACACAATGCTTATTACCACTAAACACAGATCAAGTTTGAATTTTGGTTGCGTCACTTTTATCGTTCTAGAGTTATGCCCCTTTACAAATGGAAAAATTGCTGAATTTTTCATTTCCGTTCTTTAACTTTAGTTTGCCTCAACCAAATGTTATGAAACTTACACACAATGCTTAGCTTATTACCACAAAACTCAGATCAAGTACAAATTTGGGTAGTGTCACTTTTACCGTTCTTGAGTTATGTCCGTTTATACTGTTATATGCAAGTGGGGGCATCATCTGTGTCCAATGGACACATTCCGCATTTATTTATAATCCATTTGAGGTACATTTAATCTCAGTTGTTCTTCTGTAAAAATTCTGTTATGACATCAAATTTTCTTGCTTCTGAATACCTATGAATCCATGACAACTCGCCCCACTGCCAAATTGCCCCACTTATGGAAAAGGGTAATATCCTGTTGAATTTACTCCTGCCAACTGGCCCCACTTATGAAAAAGGGTAAAATCCTTATGAATAAAGGTCTGCAAACTCGCCCTACTGATGAAAAAGGATAATATCTCGTTGAATTTACTCCTGCCAACTCGCCCCACTTATGAAAAAGGGTTATATCCCGTTGAATATTGGTCTGCCAACTGGCCCCACTTATGAAAAAAAGAATAAAATCTTGCTGCATTAAGGACTACCAACTCGTCTCGCTTCTGAATGGAGTTTAATCCCATTGAATAAAGGTCTGCCAACTCGCCCCACTATTGAAAAAAAAAGAATAAAACCGTACTGAATTAAGGCCTACCAACTCACCACACTTATGTATTAAATGAATACTGATGAAAACCTTGAGAAATGCATCTTGTATTTTTTTATTTCTTTTCTTTTGGTTGAAATAAATCAGAAAAAAAGTAAGGATCAGCATTTCTGTGATGTACGATGTTATTGACCATTGTAACTGTTTATGACGTTTGTTTTCTGGTAAATATAAAACAGTGTTTTACAAGATAAGTCAAGAATCATGGGTGTTTATGTAATTTTATTCTCAGATGATAGGTTTGCACATGTACATATAATGTAAGTATGCATAACAATAACACTTTTAAAACACAAACATACAATAAATCAATTATGACAAGCACTAGCATGTTTACACAAAACGATGTACTAGATGAAATGTCAGCACTAGATACAAGAACATGAATAACAAAGATGGCATACTAGATTGTCATTAAAACTGTTCAGTAGCTTTCGGCCCTCATGACTGGACCGTTGACATGACCACACTGACGTAAGAGTCTAGATGTAAAGAGGGATTTTACTCTTTTCATAAGAGGACTGAATTCATCGTGATTTTACTATTTTTAATAAGTGGGGCGAGTTGGCAGACCTTCATTCATCAGAATTTTACCCTTTTTCATATTTTCATAAATGGGGCAAGTTGGCGGGAGTAAATTTAACAAGATTTAACCCTTTTTCATAAGTGGGGCGAGTTGGTGAAAAAGGGGGGCATTTGACAGTGGGGTGACTTGTCTTGCTTCCATACCTATTATGACATCACTCTAAAGGAGACTAATGACATTACATGAATTTTGTACATGTACAAATTAGAGAACACATATTTTTGCTGATCATTGAAAAACAAAGATAAAATTTATCTGCAAATCATCTAAAAATCATCAGACAAACAGATTCCAACAGTGAATCTCGTGCATTACAATATTTACTCAATGAAATTACTGGCTACAATGTACAATTATATATATATATTTTAAATATTTGAAATAATTGGCAATAGGGTTTCCGCTGGCGGTCGCCATTTTCGCGTTTTGCAAAAAAATAAAAATTGTGGCGATTAAAATTCATCATTGGCGAAAGAAATATAACGGTTAGATTTTATTCATCTTGTTTACTTTTTTGGGGTTTCTCTGACTTTACCTGATCAGAAAATACTGGGAATTCACCTTGAACTCATTACAATTTTGACAGAAAATCAATAATGATCAGCTAATTGCATTTTATAGCTTTATGCAAGAAAGGACTAATTAATAAATATGTTGATTGTATTGTTTAATGAAACGGTGCGGTTAAATGGCATCACATGTAACCTAACGTTTATTTACAACATTTTTTTGATTGAAATAATTGTTTTGAAGTGGGTACTTCACAATCGTTTTAGCGACACATGTGTTTGAAGCATATTTTTACAACTCCTCTTTTTCATTTAATGGTGGTCCAGAAAAGAAAACTGTTGTTATTACAAAAAATGTTAAAAAGCAAGAAACTTTCTGACTTTAAACTTTATCCTTTAACTTTGATAGAAATAATTGATTTGAAGTGGGTACTTTACAATCGTTATGGTAACGCACGTGTTTGAAACATAATTTTTTGTCTCGACTTATTCTTTTTACGATGGTCTGGAAAAGAAAACTGTTGTTATGAAGAAATATATTCAAAAGTAAGAAAAATATTTGACTTTAGTCTCTATTCTTCAAATAGACGGGAAGTATATATCCGATAAACTTATTGAAGATGAATCTCGTGATGATTTCATGATCTATATTGCAATTTTACATAAAGTAAATGTTAAGTGTTTATTTATTACAATGTAGATTAAAAAATAGATTGGTAAAATTATCATAGACAACAATAGCAAACTGAATTGTTTTTTTGTTAGTTAGAAAGAAGGAAAATTTTAATCGAAAAATATGTTTATGTTAATTGGCCAAAAAATGGAAAGTGGCGAAAATATATTGTTTATGGCGAAAGAGGTGGCGAAAAAGAAAATTGACCCAGGGAAAACCCTGATTGGCTAGCCTCATGTTTTAATTATATTTGAAAATTTAACTATCGTGAGATGAGTAATATCACATCACATTCGAAGCAGTGTAGAATCTTTATTTATCCATATTAATGGATAAATATATTATACCCAATCAATTTACTGCAATCTTTGGATATCATGATATTTCTGTCATGGTACCAACATTCATGCAAAAGTTTGCCCTAAAATACCATAATTGAAAGATCATTTTGTTAAAAGCAGAGCTGTCAAGTTTTCATGAAGCAAATGCGTGAGATTTGGCAAAATTTGTAAAGATCAAAGAGAAAAAAACAATAGATCAAAGGAAAATAAAGCCAAATAAGCATGAAAATGCGTGAGTCTCATGCACATTGCGTGAGACTTAACAGCACTGTAAAAGTTTAATGCCTTCAAGGTAGTGAATTTTTGTAGGCCACTAACTTTAAATCAGTTCTCATTTGAAAATGCATGGTATTGAAGTGGAAAAATATTGTCATTTACATGAATATGTGTGCAATGACAGTAATTATGAAAGATAAATAACTGGAATTTGATACTCAATTTTTGGGATTATATCCATTTTTACTGTACAGTCATATTATTTATAGGGTTAAACAATTCATTTCGTGTACGTTTCTGGTCAGAGAGTAATACTGCAGGGTTTGAAATTAGCGGTCACCATTGTGAGCAAATTCCAGTGTGGGCAAATAAAAATCTAATCTCTGTCGCCAACTTTTTCAGTGTAAATAAAAATTTAAAAAACAGACATTTTAACAATATATTTCTAATGACAAAGTCTCTGACTTGTTTAATAAGTTTTAGCGTATGCTTCTTAAACTGGTCACCCACTGATTGACGCTCCCCCACAAACGTTTTGGTAAGATCGAAACACGGGTCCAGTTGAATATTTCTTCTTCGTGTTATGGAAATAGTACTCCTGTATCTGGAACACTTCTTTTGGTGTCGTTCTGTCCGTTCTGTTTAACCCGTGACAGGTTAAATGGAACAGCGAACGACACAAAACAGAAGTGCGGCATGATTTTTAATTTTAATAATTCACCTTGCGTAATTAAACCTCTGTGATTATTCTATTTTTAAAAGATGATGAATTAAGTTAAGCTTTGATCGATCTGAAGATGAAAATTTCTCTGTCACTGTTGTTTTTCTCGTAAGGAAATTTATACACCCTTCTTCCACCTTTGCGATTATTATATTTCAATCATAATAATCAGTCAGTGAAATGGTCTCACCAGACCAATTTGAACACACTCTTTACCAACCCTGCACCGCTTTAAAGGAAAGGCTAACAAGACAGAACAAAGTATTACCAAAGTTACGATCTATCTAAAGGTGTAATACCACCAAATCATAGTACGTCACATCCGGTTGCATACGAAAATAGGTCGAAAAAAAATATTCCCTTGAATTTGACAGTTGTAGGTAATTGATCCTACATTTCATTGCAGTAAAACATTTCTGAGTCATAAACATATATCTTGGGTATTTCAAAGCACCATTATTTCTTTATTTGGGGTTTCTATAGAATATTTTGGAAACTTGAGGTTACATGGTTACTAAAGCTTGTACACAGGTTAAAAAAGGGGGAAAATTTGATTGGTTAACTTCCAGTGATGGTTATTTTCTTATATGCAATGAAATGTTATGTGAAATTTTTTCTATAGTACTGGACAGGATAAAACTTTACTCATGCCAAGTATTTCTTTATTTGAAACAAAGATAAATTCTGCACAATTTTTTGAAAAGTGCAAATTTAACAAAGACTAATAGGGGAAAATCAATGGTGGTATTACACCTAATATGGGAAGCTGTACATGCACCTTTGACCTTGTGAGTACTCTCATGTGTTAAAATTTCTTGCTATTTAAGTGAAATATTACAAATAATGAAATATTCTGAGTGGATTGAGTCTCCAAAATACATTTTATGAGAAAATTTCCTTGAAATAGGACTTTACCATGAATATTAGTTGACAGAACAAGCCATACTTAGAGTCTTGGGGAGCTTTTTCTCCTTATTTCTTATATTCTGCTATACTAGAAAAATTTTCCTAAGAAATACTTTAATAAATATATAGTTTTAAGTAAATGAAATTATTTTTAAAGCAGTAACAACAAATTATTCACCAAAAGAGAAGTTTTTTATGTCCCTCTCTGGAACGCGGCGTAAATTTAAGTTTTACGCAAGGACTTATTGAAACCTCCTTGGAGACAGTAAACTTTTATACGGATAGTTCAAGCAGCTTGAATACTTCAATTAATCATTTATAATAACATTTCTATCATAAATGAGTGAAAGTTACCCCAAAATATTTATTTATTGGCCTAAAAAGTAGAAATTTTGAGGAAATGAGAGGTATAAATGGACCAAAAGAGACTTTATAAGGAAGAATAAGAGGTCCATTAGTAGTATTTATCATCCTAAAGTCATCTTTTGTATCATATTCAACTGTTTGTAGGCAGATGAGATAAATATTTGATCATTTATTGGTCCACACTATATTCTATCATGATGCGGCTTGGTTTGAATTTTTCGAAGAAATTTTGCACGAATCGCTGTAGATGTCGTCTTACATTATACTAGATTTTTCTCAAACTATTGAACTGATTATGACAAAACTTGACAGGAATGCTTGAAATAACCAGTATTACAAAGGAAAAAAGTCACATTCAGTTTATTCAACAGAAAAGTCTTCTTTAGGTGTAATACCACCAAATCATAGTACGTCACATCCGGTTGCATACGAAAATAGGTCGAAAAAAAATATTCCCTTGAATTTGACAGTTGTAGGTAATTGATCCTACATTTCATTGCAGTAAAACATTTCTGAGTCATAAACATATATCTTGGGTATTTCAAAGCACCATTATTTCTTTATTTGGGGTTTCTATAGAATATTTTGGAAACTTGAGGTTACATGGTTACTAAAGCTTGTACACAGGTTAAAAAAGGGGGAAAATTTGATTGGTTAACTTCCAGTGATGGTTATTTTCTTATATGCAATGAAATGTTATGTGAAATTTTTTCTATAGTACTGGACAGGATAAAACTTTACTCATGCCAAGTATTTCTTTATTTGAAACAAAGATAAATTCTGCACAATTTTTTGAAAAGTGCAAATTTAACAAAGACTAATAGGGGAAAATCAATGGTGGTATTACACCTAAAAGGAATTTTGAATGTTTTTTTTTTTTCTATTTAAATGTTCAATTAAAATAACATGTTTGCAACTTTGGTTTGGTACAATTTGAATATGACAGGGAATCAAGGACTCAGTGATCAAATGCCATTATTGTAAACAATAATTTACAGTTGAGGATTAAAAACCAGACCAAGAAAAAAAATTTAACTGGTGAAATTTAGTTTTTTTTTTTGAAATTTTTTAACTTTTCTATATAAAATCAAGATTTCCAAATAAATAATTTTGCTGCCAGGAGAGTGCCAGAATGCAGGATTTTGCAGAATTTACCCCCAGATCCTACGTCGCTTTCTATTTGGGGTCAAAACATCAATTGGTGTCAGATTAGACCAAATGGTCACAATATCAGGAATATTGATTTAAGTTATGAGGACAAATTTTCAGGACTGTGAAGAAAACTTCTGGTCATATATATGTGTAAATGCACATTTTAAGTGTTAACAATGGTAAAGATACATGTACATGTATCTTGTTTTAATAAAATTGCCTTTGCCATGCATTTTTTGAAATGGAAAAACTTTTTTCAACGTGTGTACGTATGTGCTAGTAAATAGATCATGGTTAGTTTTTAATGTGGCAATCACAGCCAATATTTCAACTTGTTTGCCCAAGTCTTCACATTGAAATTTGTCTGTCATGTCTCTGTCAATTTATATAATTCTGTACTAAATGTATAATACAAATTTAGATTTTCATTTTATATATATATATATTGCTTTTTTTTTTAGGACTTCAATCTGTAAAGAGTGATGAAATAAACATGTCAAATGTAATACCAATTGTTTCATCTTCCCCACCCCCTTTGGAGGATACAGGGGGTTTTGATGACTGGGGAGATGATGATGATTTTGGAGGGTTTATGGGAGCAGATGAGACTCCGAGTACCTGGAACAACTCCATCAGTACTGATCATACAAATGCATGGAACAACTCAATAAATGGAGATCAATCCACAACATTAGACGAAGTCAATGCTAACATTACCAATAAATTACCTCAACATTTCACAAATGCAGAAAAAATTGAAAATTGCAAAACTAAATCAAGTCCATTATCACTTAATTTAGATAAATCCTTGCCTTATAATAACATATCAAATGACGTGTCTAATGACCAACACACAGACTTAACAGAAAGTAAAACATCAGACACAATCAGTGGAAATTCTACAGGAGATTCAGGGTTATTTGATGTGTCTCCAGTTCCTATTTCCGAAGACACAAAAAGCGATCATTCAGAAATTTCTACTGACCAAGAGACATTCCAAAATACACCAGACGACATTCCATCCAATGAAACAACATTGCAAAACAATGACTTAAATACTAATTCTGAGGAAATATTAATTAAGAATGGAAATCACATTGGTCAAAATGACGATGGTGAAATATCTTCTTCAACTAAACATTTAACTCAAAGCGTGGAATCTGAGGAAGTTGAGAGCATTTGTAATGTTGATACGGAAAATGAAAATAAAAAGGACTCCATTGTTGAAGAATCTATAGGTAGTTGTCCATTAGAAACTAATGAAATTAATGAAGAAAGTGTCCTCTCTAATTCGTGTAGTTCGTTGGACAATGACAATGTAATTTCTAGTGATGAAATATGTTCTAGTCATGAAGAAAAACAATGCAGTATTGAGTATGCAGCCAGTCAGGAAAATGTGAACCAAAATGATGTTCAGAAACAGACAGATAATGTTGAAAATTCAATGCATTTGTCTGAAGAAAACTTGTGTGATAATACCTTACATTCAGGGGAGTTTGAGGTTTGTGAAGGCAAGGAAGATGATAAAAATTCTGAAAATGATAACCTTAATACCAACTCCCCAGAAGAGACTGATAAAATAAGTGGGATTTCAGAGGATAAGAAGATTACAAGTTGTGATGATTTGGAAAATTCTGGTAAAGAATTTGCCGATTTTAGTATAGCGGAAGGCAGGGAAAATCACTCTTCTGAAAATTTAGTGCAAAGTGATAAAGTAGAATTTGAAAATTCAGTACAGGTCAACGATTCTGAAAATAATGAAAAAGTAAGTTTGTGTATGAAAAATGATGGAAATCAAGAAACTGAGATTAAAGACCTGGAATTCGAAGATAAAGTGGAATTTGCAGAATTCAGTGAAACAACAGGAGATGTTGACAAAGATATTGAAAATGTCAGTTTGTCGTCTGCAGGAGAAAGTAAAGAAGAATCTGTAGCAAGTTTTAAATCTGTTCCAGAAGAAGAAAAAGAGGATGAAGTTATTAAAGATGATTCAGATAAAGATATTTCAGATGAAGATGAATTTGCAGACTTTAGTTCTGCACCAGTTGGAACAGATAGTGATGGAATCGATAATTTAACTTCTGGTACAACAAATGAATCTACAAAGTCTGAAGGTGAAAGTATAGGCGGCTCAGTAGACACAGAAGCATGTTCCAATAACTCGGGTTTAAAACCTGTTGATGATGAACAAATTGAACTTTCAAATTCCTCAACAGTCAATGTTGAAAAAGATAATTTTGCAAACTTTTCATCAACACAAAATGAAAATGAACAGAAGGAGGTTGACCAAATTGCAGATGATGAATTTGCCGACTTTAGCTCAGCTGCAAAGGATGATGAATTTGCTGACTTTAGCTCAGCTTCAAAAGACGATGAATTTGCAGACTTTAGTTCTGCAGTAAAAGAAAATGGTGATTCCAAATTTGGAAATTTCAACAATTCAGAAGACAAGTTTGAAAGTGATGATGAATTTGCAGACTTTAGCTCAGCCACAAAAGGTGATGAATTTACTGACTTCAGTGCCACAGGATCACAGGAGCAGACGTCTTCATTCCAAGCCAGTGACAAAGCAGACTGGGCAACATTCCAACAAACAACCACACCAGAACCTGTAAAAACACCTGTTGAATCCAAATCATCTACTCAGGTGAGTTAAGAAAAGGGTTTCATTTTGATAAAAAGTACCAGACCCAGTAATTATAATCTAAAGTAATTATAATCATGATCAATTACATTTGAATTTAGGTGTAATTGTAATTTAATAGGTTACATTTTAAAGTAATCGACCCAATCCCTGCACACTAGGTGATTCTGCTTAAAATCACCTGTACCATGTTTACTGGTGTTAAGTGAACACAGTCAAACAGGGTGATTGCAAGTGATTAAGAGTGATAGATTTCTGATTTACAAGTCTAAATGTCTATTGAATATAGTGCAAATGCTTGTTTCAGATTGAGTCTGACACCTGCAATCACCAGCATTCACAGAGAATATGACTTTTAAATTACTGATTAAATCACTTTGCTGCTGCAGAACCACAAAATAACATATTGTTAAAATAATGATGAACCACCTGTCTAGTAATTCATTTAATCAAAATCATCTTTTTCTACACATACAAGTTGAAATCAGGTTATATTTCACTTCAGAATCCTCACAAATGCCTACAATGTATTAAATTTAAATATTAAATCATTGCAGGTTGGGTAACTTTGCAAGTGATGCTTGCCACAACCTAGCAGACTACCACTGACACACCTCTGTAACAGGGTGCAAAATTTTTCCTAAGATACATAAAAATGTAATCATGATCAATATAATGTAAATCATCTACTTTGATTACATGTACATGAATGTGATTGTTCATGTGGAATTTCCTTTACCATCAATGGATAATCCACTAAAGTTTTTGTTACAAAAACATTGAAAAATAAATGAATCAGTAAATCTTCTTGCAAATCTTACATGAGAACAAAAGAAAACAGTCTGTCTAATCTATAGAGTGCAGTAGACTAAAAACGTGGGAATAAGGTGAATTTTGGAAGTACATGTACATGAAAACGTCAATGATTATCTGTTTTATGTCAAAAATGAAGTCAATAAAAAAGTTGTGTTCACGTACATGTACATGGTAAATATGCAGTGTTTTATTTTGCATGACATAAATATCTTTCACAAGTGAAAAAAAAACAAACAATTAATGGGACAAAGTAAACATGACAAGATATTTCATGTACAAATGCATATAATATATATATATGTTGTATAAATTTAAGACATCTCCCTGTAGGTGAATTACATAAAACATGTAAAGCTTTGTTCAAATAAACAGATAAAGATAAATATTTATTAGAAATAATAAAAACCATTACAGTACAATGTAGATTTTTTTAAAGAAAATACATAATGTACATGATGTACATACAATGTTAAAGATTATCATGATTATAATTAGAAATCATTATGGTAATTGACCCTAAGACAATACTGTAGATTTGTTCAAAGTATGGTTCATATTCATGTCTCATAAGCACGATCTCATCCTGATATGCTTGTAATATTTTTCACTGGATGTCAATTACATCAACACATATCCATCATCATCACCACATTTATATCACAAAATAACTAGAGTTGAATATGATTGTGTTGATTTAATTGAAACTTGACACTTGTGTTTAGGTTGATAATAGTGATTAATTAGCTACCTTTTGTGAATGAAAATTTTCTGAATTTTTTATGCCCTTATCTTCAATGTACATGTACAATTATATTCTCATGCAAATTTTTTCTGCGCAACCAGTTTACTGGCTTCTGATTGAATGCCTTCTACAAATATTTGTACATGTAAGGATATTTTATTCATGCAATAATTTCAATGTATATAAAATGAAAATGAAAGTCTGGTTTTACACAGGCAGAAATCAAACCCACAACCTTTGATACTGGAAATAAATAAGGTATGAGATTAATGCCATTCTGATACATGTAGCAACTCTGAAAGGTTTGAACTCACCACTAAATTTGTGTTTTTTGTAGAAAAATGTTGGCAGCTTGTTGTCTGGATGTTTTGAGAACACTGCAGTAGTATCTGAGAGCACTTCTGATTTAGATGTTGTTGTAGAGTAAGTACATGATTATAAAATGTAGGTGATTTATTATTATATTTAGATAATGAAAGGGGAAATGAATTAGCAAGCATTTATTTACAGCATTATTATGTTAGCACAATTCGTCTGTAAACTAATTTTTTTGCAGATGAACAGTTTTATCAAGAGCTATTTAAAAAAAATCACATGCAGAAACAAAATATTCTATGGTGTTAAATATATAACAGTATAAGAAACTTGCACTACATGTGTTGTTTTGTATACACAAAATGACAACCAGAAAACACACTCCACTGTAAAATGGGTAATTTGTCTCATTTTTGTCTCGCCTTGACAGAGTCAAAAAGCGAGACATAGGTATGTTGTTTCCGGCGGCGGCGTCAACAATGTATTAGTTTGTGATTAGATCTAGTTCACGGTGAACCACTAGTGGTAGGTCAATGATATTTGGTATGCAGTTGCATAAGCATTTGCATATCTCATTTCCATGGAGATTATTTTGCTCCGCCCCCTTAGTCATGGTCTATAGACTTTGAAAATTTTGCTAAGTTATCATGTATTAGTTTGTGATTAGGTCAGTTCAAGGGGAACCATTAGTGGTAGGCCAATGTTAATTGGTGTTCAGTTGTATAAGCATTAGCATATCTCATTTCCATGGAGAATATTTGGCCCCGCCCCCTCAGTCATGGTCTATTTACTTTGAAACTTTTGCTTAGTTTACATGTATTAGTTTGTGATTAGATCAGTTTAAGATGACCTGCTAATGTTAAGTCAATGATATTTGGTATGCAAATTTATTGGCATTTGCAAGTATTGTTTCCATGGAGATTATATAGCCCCACCCCTGATCATGGTTCAATGACTTTGAAACTTTTACATAGTTTACAAGTTAATGTTTGTGTTTAGGTTTGTTTAAAGGGAACGACTTATAATAAGTCAATGGTATTTGGTATGCAGTTGTATTAGCATTGGCACATCTCATTTCCATGGAGATTTTTTAGCCATGTACCTTCAGTCATGGTTCATCGACTTTGAACATTTGCATAACTTACATGTTAAAGTATTGCTATTTTAATTTCAACATTTGCATTATCAAAATTACAAAAAGGCAAGACTTATCTCTGTGATAACAGTTTATTCTCTTTAACACAATGTTATTATATCATAAATTGTTTGAGTAGTATCATCAGGTACAGTACTTAGCATAACAACACATGATACAGTATAAACATTGTGTTATCTACTATCTTGCACTGAACACACAGGAAAAAATTACCAAAACTCCTCCGATTTATACAAAATGTCGTATGAGGGTCAAGATCATTAGATTCTTAAGCTGAAAAAGGTATCAAATTTATAAGTGGACAGACTTAAACTCAAGTACACAGTAGTTGAAGATGATTTTCTTTTTCTATACACGGCCCTCCAATCCCAAGAGGCTACTTAAAAAAAATTTAAATCTCTGATTTGCATTATGAAAATATAATATGGAAAAATATATATGATATAAAATAGTTAGTTGATGGAGGACAGTATGGACAAGCCTGAAGTTGTACCATCTTCCCACTCCAACTGGGAAAGCAGTAATGAGCATATATATAAATAAGTCTAAAAATTTGCACAACGGTACTAATACAAGATGGTAATATACATGTACGAAGATGATGTTATAAAACCGTGTTGACAAATATTTCGGCTTAACAAATAGCCTTCGTCAGTGTCAATAATTTTAACAATACCAGTATTGTTAAAATTATTGACACTGACGAAGGAATACCAGTATTGTTAAAATTATTGACACTGACGAAGAAATACCAGTATTGTTAAAATTATTGACACTGACGAAGGAATACCAGTATTGTTAAAATTATTGACACTGACGAAGGAATACCAGTATTGTTAAAATTATTGACACTGACAAAGGCTATTTGTTAAGCCGAAAAATTTGTCAACACGATTTTATAACATCATCTTCGTATATTACCATCTTGTATTAGTACTGTTGTGCAAATTTTTAGACTTATTCTAGACGATCCAGTACATATTTAATTTGCTGGTTGGTCCTTTTTATAGACTTCTATATATATATATATATATATCGGTAGACCATATTGTTTGCTTTTTTTTACAGAGACAACAGTAACCAGTTATGGATGAAAATTCAGAAGATGGATAACTCTGGGCAACTGAAATGGCCACAATGTTCTTGTAACAAAAATCTATATGTCTCGCTGAAGATTGATACTAAGAATATAGTAAGGAAACCCAAGCAATTTTAGATGCTTTGTTTTATAGAAGTATAATTATTTATTTATTTAATTAAAATCTGATTCAGAAGAATGTTTTTTCGCTGTCAATGATTTACCAATATATAAAACAAGTTATTGAAATTTAATTTTGAAGATGAGTCGGATTTTGATTAAGTTTTATCTAGTCACCTCTTGTGCTTTTTTGTGTCTGTCACATTTTATATTAATATATGTTGAAAAAAACCCATCTGGATCAAAGCAATGTGATTAATTCAATATATTATGCCAAAGTGCTTTCATTTCTAATTCTTCATGTTGCATAAAATGTTTCTAAGGTACAATTAATTCAATTTTTGCTCAAAGCAGCAAGTTTATTAGCATTTAGATATTACTTTTGCAACGTTCTATACATTTTTGCTCAAAGCAGCATATTTATTATCATTAAGTTTTAACTTTTGTATCGTTCTTGACATTTTTACTAATTTGTACTTAATCTGTTTTGATGAAAAACTATTTTCAAACAACTCCATATATTATATTTTTGTAGATATGTATTAATTGGTGCATTAAACTAATTTTTTGTTGTTGCTAATTTTGTAAATAAAAATATGGACATTAGGGTATCTGGCTTTTTAATTTGGTGTATAGATTGAAGTTATACAATTTATTTATTTGACATTATATACAGTTTTATTATATGTCACAAATAGATTATTGAGTGTCACAAATTTTAGTTTAATTATAGATTGAGTGTCACAAATTTTAGTTTTATTTATAGATTAGACTGCATCTTGATAATTTATTTATTCTATTTATGGAAATATGATGTCTCATATTATCTAGTATTAACCAGCTTGACATAGTAAATGACATCCAAGAGAAGTAAATTTTCTTAGTCAACTGAATATTTTAACTTTAATAGAAAGCATTGTAATCAACACAAACTAGATTTAAAAATGATTAGTTTTGTTGTAGCTATCAATCGTTTTTACTTGAATTTTAGTTTAAACTGTTAAAAAATTGTATATTTGCTCCTTTGAATTTGTTAAGAATTCCTATTATATTCAAACTATAAAACAACTTTTCTTTAGAAAATATGTTTATGTAGCTTTGACTATTAGTAATTAGATAAAATGAGACAACTATTTTGAATAGTTAAAATGCATGGAATTGCTTTGTTTTGTTATAGATCTGTTTAGATGTATTATAATCACAGATTTATTGTTATACCCAGTTAACATTGATGGCCAGTATAAGCTATTGCAATTACTTGATGAACGTAGAAAACATTTTTGTCGGAAATCTATCAGTCAACTATAGGTTGCATTGTTCATGAATTTTTTTTACAATTCTCCTGCCTACTAACCAACAAGACAACCTTAAATAGAAAGAATTTACAGGTAAATTAACCAAATCAAGTAAAAAACCTTAGTTGCTTTCATATTTTTTTATTCATTTGTATTAGATTCATAATTTTTTTATTCATGATGGCTCTAACCATTTTTTATTCAGTTACTGGAAAAACATAATTTGACAACAACAAAATCAGTGAAAATATTCTGACAAATCCTACGATGTATAAGAGAAAATTAATTTAAAAAAAACTGTAGAAAGATGGCACAACTATGATCCCAGAATTATGATTGATGACTGCCATCAAACATACCCCTCCTTTATTTATTGAAAAAGGAAGTTTTGACAAAAAATGTCATCAGAAAGTATTTCGTTAAATTGTGTCATTTAATTATGATGAACTGAGTTCAGGCATAGAAATAATGGAATTTATACCCATTTAGATATATAGACCTCAAGTATGGGCACCATAAATATTTTTCATAATTATTCCAAAACCTGATAATTTTAAACAGCCTATTGCTTTGGAAAATTGGGTAAATGTGATACCTTTTTAAGATACTTGGTTTGTATAATCTCTTAATTTGTTTATAAAAGTGTAGGATTTGTCATTATTTCATTAAAAGAATACAGAAAGTTTGAAAATTTCAGAAAATCATGTATCTGATTTATGTGTTTTTGATCTCACTAAATAATAGGTTGATCTCACCAACTATACAAAATTGAATAGTATTACCCTTTTCTCAAAGTCAGAATTTAGCACAAAAAATCTTTGATGAGATTATCCGACTTTTTGACAAGAAGCACTGGTTCCCTGCAATGCACAACATTGCTCTGGATCAAATACATTGTATTTGCTATTATTTTTTCCAATATGCCTTTAAAGCTGAAAATATATTGAAGTAACGGTTATAAACCATGTTTAATTTACTTCTTGATTATTGCTCTATGTAGTAAACCCATATCACATTAAAGGATGGGTATATCCAATGTCAAATTCAGGAATTTAGGATTAAATATTTGGTGTAGGGTTATGCAAAATATGAATTTAATTTATGGACAGGTTTCATTTAAAGTGCTTTAAAACTGGTCTTTAGTGTGGTAATGCTGGGGAAGTCTGATTTGGAAGGAAAATGGGTGCTTTTTTTTGGAGTCCCCTTCAATAGTTTCCACCAGTTTCCTTGAAACTTTACAGAAAGATTGCACACATATATTGGAGCTGTGTACTTACGAGCATGTAATTGTTTTAAGATTTTTTGAATTTTCAGACATTGAAAACTTGTCATTTTCATCAAAATTTTCAAAAGACAGTACCTATTTTGTTTAATCATCTCCTTCTTCAGTTTTTCACCTGGATCTTTGAAACTTTATAGTAAGTTTGCACACCTATTGTAGCTGTGCATGTCATATTATGGAGTTGTTAAAAGATTTTTTTGCATATATATATATATTTAAATTTTCATTATAGACCATTTTCATTGTTAAAGAAACATTCTGCACATCATGGCCATTTGAGTCTTCGATCCATTGTTGTTGTTAATATTGTTAAAATCATCAGAATGTATATCTAAACACTCACATTTAACAATCCTGATTGTCATGTAAATTTGTGTTCTCTTGGATAATTATCTAGTCAGTGTGTTGAATTTGCTATCTGTTTTAGTAAGTTATTTTATATGCTTACGTTTGTCTCTACTGTTAAGTGCCACTCTGTCTGAAATGAGCATATTGAAGCAACTAAAATTTGACTTGAAATTTGAGCATAAGAACACACTAGAAAATATACGCATAGTGTGAGCAGTCAAATACTTGAGAAAATCTGGTGATAGTGTGGGCATGAGAACACATTAGAAATTGTTTTAATACTGTTAGTTTTCAAAAATTTAAGATATTACAGTAACAGTAACTAGTAGGAACATATCATAAATGTGTGAGTAGTTGGAACATATCAGAAAATCTATTAAAAGTGTGAGTAGTAGGACATATCAAAAAATCTAGTAACAGTACTAGTAGTAAGAACATATCAGAAAATCTAGTTACTTTGCGTATATTGCTTGTAACTGTGTGAGTATTTGGAGAAAAAAAAAACAGAAAATATATTTAAAGGGTGAGCATTAGAACACATTAGAAAATATACTGATAGTGTGAGCATTTGTACACATCAGAAAATCTACTTAAAGTGTGAGCATTTGAACACATTAGAAAATCTACTGATACTGTAAGCATTAGAACACATCAGAAAATCAAATGATAGTGTGAACATTAGAACACATTAGAAAATCTATCAGTCTGTTAGTGTGAGCATAAGAACACATTAGAAAGTGTTTTAATAGTTTTAGTAGTATAAAATTTTAAATCTTAAAATTTGAGTAACTGTGTGAGTATAAGGAACATATAGGAATCTTGTATCAGTGTGAAGACTAGAACACAACAGTTATGTGTTAATAGTGTGAGTTTTATTTACAACTTATAAGCAGTGTTAATTTAAGGAACATGTGCTCAAATTTATTAGCAGTGCTAGTATGATGATATAGGATTGATCAGAAATTCTAGTACCAGAAGAATTATCAGGAATGTTGAAGAAAATCTAGTGAAAACGATATTGTGATAAATCTGCATTTATTAAAATGTTATCAAATTAATGATACTTTATATTTAATACCCATTTCTTTGGTTTGGTTTTGCCCTGAAAACAGCACATATTTTTTGAAAAAAATAAAACATGATTTCAAAAGTAAAAACACTTAACTTTAAAGAGGGGTATCTTTTAACCAAATTTTATTTTGAAAAATGAAGGTATATGAAATCAATGCTTGGTAAAAAACAGTTAAACAGCATATTCTGAGATACAATTCTTATTAATTGATTAAGTTGTGTAGCTTGATTTTTGTTTGTTTTTGTTCTAAAAGTAGCAACTTTTGTTCTTTTTAAGATTTTGCAATGATTTATTCAATAATTTCACTGTATGAAAATTTATTTATATTTATGTACTTTAACCTTTTTTGTACGAATCTGATATTTGTTATATGAGTAGAAAAGACAGGGTGGCACTTTTTTTTTAGATTGATTGAATGCATGAAGATGATTAATTTATACTTGGAGCAAAAATTAAATTGTTTGATATGAACAATTAAAAACCTAATGTTGTTGATCAGTAACTGTAAATTCAGATAATATTTGGTGCATTTATTAATTATACCATTGTTGATAAACAGGAAAAATGTTGAAAAAAATAATGATACAAAAATTTTTAAATGGGTAATTCTTACTTATAGCACACTTGCCCAGTTGCATTTTTTACGGTTATAAGACATCACAAAAGTTCTGAATTTACAGTATTTATTAATTTTGTTGTTATATAAAAAATGGCATTTGTCTTTGATATTAAAGAAATAAACAAAACTAGTTTTATTCTTTTATTTTTTTATCTCTGTAGAGATCCTCCATTGCTCTTTATTTGTTTGAAATGATATCATCTTCATGGATTTATAGATTGAATTAGTTTTCCTTTCTAAATGTTTTCACTGTGCGAAATTGTTTATGTAAGCTTTGCAGCATAACAAGCACATGTGTTGACAATTTTTTTTCAATTAATCATTTGAATTTTATCCAGAGCTATTTGAAAATTGATTGATATTAAATCAATATTGCTCGAATGAAACAGCTTGATTCAGGTGAATTTTTCTTTAACCTGGAGTTTTTAATTCAATATATGACATTTTTAGTATAGCTTTTACATTACTCAAAATAAAATTGAAAGAAAATGTGTTAATAAATATACTCAACAACAAAAGAAATGCACCACCTCCATTAATTTCTTTGGAGTAAAAATTTCTATGGTATGTTACTTTTTTTAAAAGTGATTGAAATGAGTCAAAATTTTAATATAACATATTTGAAGTCATAAATACCAAAATTGTGAATTAATTTTAAATTTTGACATCTCCAAAAAAAAAAGTAGTGCCAAATTTGTGAAAACTAAAGTCGTGTGTATCTTTTCGATAAAAATGACTTTGATTTTCAGTTTTTTAGTTGAATTCTTGTCTAATGGCCAATTTCCAATTGACTTATCTCAGACTTTTGATATATGACTTTTATGGTTGAAATCTCCATTAACTTGTCTCCACTAACATTGAAATTTCTCTATAAACTCTGCATTAATTGCAAGATTATATGCATAAAATATACTATATTTCAACAAATTTTTAGCAAAAACAAGAAATTGTGAAACTACTGTGCATGTGAAGATATGGTGCATTATTTGTGTTGTTAAGTATACATGTATATGATTTATGCTGTAATACATGTGTAATGGTTGTAAAAAACAGCATTCAAGTGGAGGATGTTTGATGAAAAAGAGGGGGAAGATTTAACAGGTTTTATTCACCTTTCTTGACTGCAAAATGGTGCAATTTTGTTTTATTTTGAATTTGATATTGATATTTTCTCAACTTTTCTAACCAGTTGTTTTAATATTTGTAAACACTGTCTACTATTTATTTTGTCAAAATGCAGCCAACTTTTTATGGTAGATCTACCCTTTATGATGAGAGTTATGGTTCCTTAATACCCAATGTCTTTGGAAATCTTTTTTTTTTGTATGTTATTTCACATGAAAAAATGCTGGCCATATTTGTTTTTATGTGTGTTGGGGAATTTTGAAAGGAATTGGTCTTCATTGGAATATATGACTTCATCAAGACTTAAGTCCTAATGATTCTATTTTAGACCTAGGTTCCAACAATATAGGACCTAATTCAGACCTTCATTCTAAGTTCTTAGAAAATTAAGATATTAAGTATACATATTGAAACTATAAACCTTAATTAAAAAAAAAAAATAGCAATTAAACTTTTAAGTTATGATTTTATACCTATCTTAAAAGTTAAAGATGGTTAGAATAGATAGATATTTCCATATGACATCAAATTTTTCAACACTTCTGATTTTCTGACTTCTGAGATTTTCTTTGATAGTTACTTGGATATAAGAAGCCCACTGTACCAATTTATGCAGCCAACTTGACTTTATTAGAACCTACAAAAGGATCACCAACATTACCAGAGGTTCCTCTTGTGGATACAAATAAACAAGTAGAGGTCAAGGTTAGTTTACTCATCGGACATGTTGGAAGAAACAAAAAAACTAGCAGAGTTTAAGGTTATGCATTAAAGGATATATCAATAAGACAGCTACCAAACAACACAAAAAACAAAGACTTAACCAAAAATTATTAGTTTAGTGAAATGAAAATTAATCAAGTAAAGGTTAGTTCAGAAATCAGAATTATAGCAATAAAATGAAAACGAACAAAAAGGGTGAAGCGGAAGATACCAAAGGGATAGTCAAATTTATAAGTTGAAAACAAACTGACCATGCAATGGCAAAAACAATAAAATGACCAAAGACAAAGAACAAACTAAAATAAATTTCAGTTGAAGAAATGTTCAGCAGAATTAGAGACCTTTGCAGATTAAGGATTTATTTTGCTCCAACCACTAAGAATTTGTAAATTTCTGGTCTGCTGTCTATAGTGAGATCAAAAGAACGATATTTTTTGTACAATCGAGTTGAATTTGCCTAACTGAAACATTACATGTAACTGTACAAATCACTTCAACCTGTCACCTTCATGGTAGAGTTGGTTGTTACCAAATATGACAACATGCTTTCTGTCTATTGGTCTGTGATAAGGTGTTTGTCAGTTATTTGCTAATGTTTAGTGTATTACCCTAAGCACTTACTTCCTCCACAAATAAAAATAACAAACATGAATTTTTTCAAAGAATAAAAAAGTGACAATAAACCCTCCCAAGTTAACAATGGAAATCCTGTCACTGCTTAGAAGCTGAGTGGTGTTGTATTTTTAACATTTTTATGTCCCCGCCTCACTGAAGGGGGCATTAAGTGTTACCCTTGCCTATTCGTCTGTACTTCCCCAAATTGTATGTCCCTTTGTAACGTTTTATGCCAGCAGGGGCATCATCTGTGTCCCATGGACACAAACTCCCATTTATTTTACTTGACTTATTAATTTAAGCAGCTTTGATGATGCTTTGGATATACAGTCTCAGGTCAAAAGTATAAAACTATTAGAAATTCCTTTTACATGTTGTATTTCATATATGACATATAAAACACATTATTAAAATAAAAATTCTACTGAAGATATTTCTTGTCCAAATTGAATTAATTTTTTTCATTTTATAAAAATACAAAAATGTATGCAGCTTCTTTCAATAATTATAAAATATTTTTTTATGATTTATGTTTACAAGGAAATCACTGTTTTTAAAAAGACAAATATGAATTTCTGCAAGAAAAACATCATATGGCTATAAAGGAATAAATTACATTAAATTTCAATATTTGTATACAAATAATGATTTCTCAGTAAAAATTTCATCAAAATCAGACCTCAAATTAGGTTTTGGCAATGTTTTTAAAAAATGTGTTTTTATATAAAATACTAAGAGGATTTGGTATTGGAGATACAGTTATGACCTAAGACTGTCAAAAGACCCAATTTGAATTTGATTTAATTTAAGGTGTTTCTTTAAGGAATATCATTGTTTCCATGGTTAGTGAATTGTCTAGGCAATCCTTAAGTAGAAACTGAGATCTTGCAACATTGAATACTTCACTAAAATCATTTGATGTTACAAAATTTGTATAATTCTACATAAATATTGACTTTTTAGATATAACTCTAGAAATTATGAATATACATTTATGATGGGAGATAATAAATAAATAAAACAAGCCCTGCAAGTTTTATAGATGATCGATGGTATTTCAAACGAGACGTAGCCCAGAAACATCCTTGACTGTGAAAGACCATTGATAATCTGTTTATTGCTGTTTTCTAAGGCAACATAAATGTGAAGGCTTGTGACGTCTTACATTATCTTTTGCAATATTGGAACGAATATTATCTATTATTGTATTCATGATCATTTAATAACAAAAAATAAACATTACAGAAAAGAATCCTTAAATAAGTGAGCAACTATAGTTGTTTGTTCCAGTATAACCAGAAATGTGGCATTTTCATGCATTTATTATTTCTTTTAATTTGCAGGATTTGCCACCAGTTCAGTTTGATTGGACGTCTAGTGGTTTAACGAATCCTTTAGAAGGTAAGACATACAAATCACATGATCAAAGTCGAAGTTTATCTTACACTTCTCAATTGTTTTTGATAGGATGTCATACTTATTGGCTTAACATTCACACAACCAAAGTCATGGTTACTTATGATGATAAATACACACATTGTAAATGATAGAAAGCACATGTATACTGTAACCTGAGAATTCACAGGTGAAAGAAAAAATTTTTAATAGCAAGATTGAACAAAATAGAAGAGATGATGATTCACAATTGTATTGCTTAAAGGAATGTGTACTTAAAATACTTATATTTATCTACAATGGCAAATTGAAAATTCTCTGAAACATTACAACTTTGAAAAAAAGGTGGATAATTAAAACTCAGGAATTACAAAGAAACCAACAAAATCATGACAAAAAAAAACCCCAACAAACTTGGGAAGAGACAACAGTTTACAAAATATTACCTAAAAAGCTGAAAACTGAGGAACACGAACTCCAAACTCCACCAAAAACCTCGGTAATATCAGGTGCTCCAGAAGTGGAATCATATCTTGCTCCACATGTGGTATCCTTCGTGTTGCTCATGGTAAGCTTAAATTCGGTGTTGAAGTGAAAACAAAACAGTAATGTTTCATGATTGTTGTTTGAGGATACATTAGTTTCAGATGTGAACATGTTTTGATTTTCCTTTCAGTAAACAATAAACTTCAGCATCTGGATTTCCTCAATATAGATGATTCTGAACTTACAGCCAAAAAAGGTATGTACTCTGTTATACACAAACAGTCGCAATACACCATTGAAATCTATTATCTAATAAAAGTCAGACTTTAAAACGAGAATTAACCTTTTGCCATGTGTTTCTATTGCCGTTAATAAACTTTCAGACATTCTGTTGAGACAAACAAATCATTGCTTTGCAGTGTCGACAGTTCAGACAGTTGAAATGTGTTCATGCTTTTAATAAAAATGATAGTTATATCCTTCTCCTTCTACAGAGGAATAGAGGAAATGGCAAGGATTTTTTACGAAATACGAAAAATTTGAAACAATACATTTTTAAATATAAGAATGAAGAGAACAATTTCTGAGGAGGGAGAAAATTCATTAAAATTTTAAGCTTTTTTGCATAAATTTACACCATGGTGGTTAAAGAAATAGTTTAGAAATACTAACAAAATGAAAAGTATAAGATACATGTAGGTAATGAAATTTTTGGAACTGAAATTGATACGCCAAAGAGGATATTACTAAAGTTTTATTTGAATTTGTATTAGACAAATGGGATTGGGGTAACTATTATATGTTGTGTCCTTATCAAATGTTGTTTTTTTAAATTATCAATTCAGTTATAGATTTATAGATTATTGTATAAGAACAGTTATTTAAGTTTATGAATTTCCCACAGTTTATTTATAGACTATCAATGTTTATTAAAAATTGATATGATTACTTTTGGTTTTATGTCTCTTGTACAGAAACGATGCATTCCACTCGAAAATTTCAGCATTTCAGTTTTGTCAAATTCCTTCCATAAATGTTGTCTTCTTAGAACAATTGTAATGTCTATTTTCTGTAATGTCGTCATTTTGTACTTATGTAATATATACCATTTAAAGTTCTATTAATTTTCTCTGATATAAATGAATCATCCATAAGCATGAATAACAGATGATATGTGGTATATGTCAACAAGACAGCAACCCAAATGCACAAATTACTAAAGGACATCTAGAGGGCAACATACAGTATAAACAATGGTCAGCTGTCAATACATTATGTCAAACTCTAAATCAGTTATATGAGTCCAAAAAGCTGTGGATAGATTAAATTTTTTTTAATTAAACTTAAATGGGATACCATTTATTGGGGTTACATTGGTACAGATGAACCATGAATTTGAATGTTCAACAAATTTAAATTTTCTAAAGGCTTGCTGGCAAAGTCATGAAATCAAATATCAACGAAAATGCAAGTTTTGCTCAATTCACAATAATTGGTACCCACAAGAATCCACAGTACCTATTTCCATGTAATACATGAAAATTAGTATTACATAAATAATAATAGATTGTCAGCTTATATCTTCATTGTTTCTGATCAAATAAAGACATGGTTTTGTCAGTTTTTGTTAGGCCTATGAAATATGATTGTTTCTTTTGTATCTGTTGTCACTTTTTTATGCCCCCGACGTAGCAGAGGGGGCATTAAGTTTTACCCTTGTCCGTCTGTACGTACGTCCCAAAATTGGTTCCGTTCTCTAACTTGAGTTTGTCTCAACCAGATGTTATTAAACTTATACACAATGCTTATTACCATCAAATACAGATCAAGTTTGAATTTTGGTAACGTCACTGTAACTGTTCTAGAGTTATGCCCCTTTATACATGGAAAAATTACAAAATTTTAGTTTCCTTTCTCTAACTTAAGTTTGCCTCAACCAAATGTTATGAAACTTATACACAATGCTTATTACCACAAAATACAGATCAAATATGAATTTTGTTGGCGTCACTTTAACCGTTTAGAGTTATGCCCCTTTATATATGGAAAAATTGCAAAATTTTTAGTTTCCGTGCTCTTACTAAAGTTTGCCTCAACCAAATGTTATGAAACCTATACACAATGCTTTTTACCACAAGACACAGATCAAGTAAAAATTTGGGTAGTGTCACTTTTATTGTTTTTGAGTTATGTCCTTTTATAATGTTGTATGCAAGAGGGGGCATCATCTGTGTCCATGGGGACACTCCATTTATTGATACAGAAAATGCAGAAATAAATGATTTTTTTTTTTTTCCAGCTTTTGATGCAGATTTGATACATGGACAGAAACCAGCAATGCAACCGTTACAGAATATTCTTGCCAATTTGAAAGTGACGAAGAAAACAAGACTGGAAGATTTAAGTAATGAAGCTGGTCGGGTTATAAGTCACCTTCCAAACTTATCTTTTATGAAAGCTAAAGTTTTAATGTTTCCACTCAAAACAGAATAACATGTGATACCAAATTGTCAACAGAAAGCTAAAATGTGATAAACAGTGCTTGTTTGTTATACTGCCAATGTTATTATTTTTATGCCCCACCTACGATAGTAGAGGGGCATTATGTTTTTTGGTCTGTGCGTCCGTTCGTTCGTCCGTCCGTCCGTTCGTCCCTCTGTCCCACTTCAAGTTAAAGGTTTTGGTGAAGGTAGTTTTTGATGAAGTTGAAGTCCAATCAACTTGAAACTTAGTACACATGTTCCCTATGATATGATATTTCTAATTTTAATGCCAAACTAGAGTTTTGACCCCAATTTCAATGTCCACTGAACATAGAAAATGATAGTGCGAGTGGGGCATCCATATACTATGGACACATTCTTGTTCTACCTAATTTGTCACTATCCACCTAAATTTGCTTCTTCTAAAATAATTTTATTTCAGAAATTATTTTTTGTGCATTAATAATTGCAATTGTTAAACAATAGACACTTATTAATTATGGCAATTTTAGGAAATGCTGCAAATAATAGTATCAAAATTTAAAATGTGAGTTTTTATTTTTGCAAACAAACTCTGTTGCAATTTTGGCAACAATGAAAACATTGCAATAATTTCTGAGTTTACTGTATATGATTTCTGTGTAAACTTCTTTCAGAATCTAATGCATTTTGGGTAATAATTAGAAAAACGTACACCTGTCAACTTTATATTTGTTCCGCCTAACAGAAGTTCCTCAGGAAACTTTGTTATAAGTAATGCTATAATATCTGTTCCTGGTGGAATAAATATTCTATACCATTTATTCCGTTAGGAACAAATACTGTAATATTTGTTCCAGTTGAAAGAATATTACATAGATTTTCTTTCATTTGAAGCTTCTACTATGAAGGAACTTATATTTCATGCCACACCAAAACGTTGTGATTTGTTCGAAATGTCCTGGTCAATGAAAATTCAACCCAATGCTGCGACATTATTTTCAATTTGGGCTACAACCAATGAAAACACAATAATCCTTTAGATTCTGAAACGTTGAATTACTACACATGTTAGACCAAGATATTTATTGGTCAATAAAGTGGCTTTAGAGCAGATAAGCACTGTTATGTAACTAAAAGAAATTGATTTAAGAATATATATTAGTGAAAAAAATGTTGTACTAATTTAAATCTAATATGATTCCAATAAATGTATATATATATTTCTGAGAAATGTTTTTAAATTCCATTATCATTAATAACAAACATTTGTAGTTTTATGTATTTGACATAAACTCAATTCCAGCCATTTGTTATTGTCATTTTGTTTTGATATGTATAATTAATACACAACTTGGGAGAATTTAAACTTTACAATTAATATCATACTTGGGAGAAATTGAACTGGTAGAGAAATATTGGTGCAAATTGTTTAAATGTCCATTTATATGTATATTGTGTTCATTTCTGTGTTCTATCATATGTTGATTACTTCTGTTTAAGGGAGCTACCATTTGATTTTTATGGGGGGCTAGGATGAAAAATTTTGTCCTGCATTTTTTTTTAGTTGTAATCTCTGTCCTGCCTTTTTATTTTTCACTCTATTCGGTCCTGCCTTTCTATTTTTCACTCTATTCGGTCCTGCCTTTTTTTTAAAAGTTTATCCTGACTTTTTTTTACCTAAATTGTCATCCTGACTTTTTTTTTTCGGCAAGTGTCTCATTCTGCCTTTTTTTTTACTCAAAACTCCTGTCCTGCCTATTTTTTTCAAATTTCATCCTAGCCCCCCCATAAAAATCAAATGGTAGCTCCCTAAAGTCGTAATACAAGTAAGTCATTTAATTACCGGTAACCTGTTTTCATTCTTGGAATGATTTATTATTAATATCATTCATCAATATTTGCAAACAATAGTGTGCAAAAGGCACATGTTTAACAATCTTTTTGTTCAGCCAAATTTATCAATGGGAGAAATTTAAAGTTCCCATTGAATGATCTCAATAGATAACTATAGCTATTGAATTTATTCAATGGGACAGTTCATTTTGCAAAATGATCAGGTAAACACCAACTGATCTTGGGGAAAGGTTTTATTTCCTTCTCAATAATCAAGTTGATAGTCTGTCAGACATTCCTGATTCTTGCTCACATGTTGATCTCAGAGGTACTGTTACATAATCACTGATACAGTTTTCACATATAAAATTCTAAAATTATTTCATATAGATACCTTAAATTTGAGAGGAAAGATTTTCACTGGTTTTGCTTTAGAAGTGTTTTCTTTGAAATGATTTTTGGATTGTGTTTTCTTGTTTGTAATTTCTAAATTTTGTTGGATATTTTTCTTCTATGAAACTATGAAATAATTGAAAATTAAACAACAGCATTGTTTTCTACTCTAAAGGTACATTTTCATAAGGACGATATTTGGAGGTAATTCTTGAGCCAAAATTCAGAAACCAAATAATATGCTCATGATCATCTTTTTGACATTGTTTTGGAATTGAGAACTTTAAATTATGTGGTTATCTTGATTTTTCATATAAAATAAATGGAATTAAATAAAAGTATGAAAAACATAATGTTGAATAACAAATTTTTTACTTAATTTGTTGATGACTCTAAAAATTTAAATAAAATAGTTATCCCTCTTGTGACATTCTTTTGTGAAAAATGGCTGTGTTTCCCTCATGGCTTAACTTTTCGTTATTAAACATCATTCTGTATATCCTTGTTGATTTCATAAAATGAACCTAAAAAAATTATTTATGTGGGCTCCATGAACTCATTGTACTTGTTTTGATTTTGTTTTTCTTGTATAATTAATTATTAGTATAGCTTTTAATGTTAATGATGTATATATTGTTGTAGCAATAATTTATTCGTGTTAAATGTAGTGTCACAAATCTTCAATTACTTGGGTTCCCTGGAATCATTTCATCATTATTTTATTGTCTTCAAAATGTTTGTAATACTGTAAAATGGTTTATTTTTTCGCAGAGTTAAAATTTTACTATTTTTTGAGCCAAACATGTTCATGGGGTTAATTTTCCTATTTATTCTGCTCCTATTTGTAATCTCTCATAAAGATCAAATTCATGAGGGGGACTGATTTTTAAATTTTACCTTTAAATCTGAATTACCAAAAATATACCCTGGCAAAAATTTGCCACTTTACAGTACTCATGTCTTGAAGTTAGTGGCATCGTGGCTTTTAAGGCTGCCCTTGTGCAGAAATTTAGCATTATATAAGAGTATATGGTCAGTAATTGAATTACAAATGTACAAAGAAATTTACTGCTCTATCTGGCAAAAGATAAAACTGTGTTTAAATAGTTATGAAGATTAATATGGTCACAAGCTACCTTTTGCGTTACATTTACATGAAAATTATTAATTTAATAGGTGAAAAATTGTAGTGTAACAATTTGTTGTCAGTGTGACAATTTGATACATGATGTCATGTTTAAGCAGAATTTTTTGGAAATCCTTATGCATAATTTAATAGTTTGTTCGAAAATTCTGGCAAAAAACATGGCATCTGAAAATCTAAATCTTTGCAAGATGGATGGCAAAATTACCTGGATAAAAGGTGTATGAAATATACTATGGCTTCTTTTGAAAAGTCTACTGTGCAGCAATGCTGGAGCTAGAAAAATAATTGAATTTGAACCCTTACAGCCTGACAGTTGGTTTTTATTAGGGGTTGGCAGTAAGGCAAAAATGTCATTTTAGGATAAGATTTAAAGGACAAGGCCAAAGACCAAGTTTTAACCATGTCTTTTTTGCGTCATGATAGAAATTCAGATGATTTTACTTGGCCTTGACATTGCTTGCATCTGTATAACATACAATTCTTAAGAAGAAAAAAATCATGTTCCTTGATAAATATTTTCACGTATCTTGCACTTATTTCAGTATACTATCATGTTTAAATCAAAATATCTTCATTTTATAATTCATGATTTCAGGGTTTGAAATTTCATTCTTTTAATGCTGTGCTTATATTTTTTTGAATTGTTTTTTTTAGTGGCAACATCTTTTAAGATTGGGGTAATATTCTGATAGTATATTTAGACTGAATCCAGCAGCAAGTGCTAGACATTAATATTTATTCATATATGCATGCTTCATTTAAAATGATCTCAAAAGTATCTCAGAAGTATTTTGGGGCTGCACCAGAAAACAGTTCTCCTTGTGGATAGAACTCGTACAGATTTTAAGGGTATCACTCATGACATATTACATCAATCACAAAGTTGTAATTTAAATGAATTGATTTGACTAAAATTTAAAATTGAACTATGAGGGGGTTGTGGTATGCTAAATATTCAAATTGATAATTGGGATAGAGCCAGTGGAATTTTAAAGATAGGTTATTTGCAATGGGGAGGTTGTATTAAATTTTTTCCCTGCAGTCTACTTGCTACCTTGTAAAATATCTTCCAATTTATTGAAATATTGTCAATCTTCAACATCTTTAATTTTCTGTGGATTCATTTATTTTTATGGATACGTGGATAACAATTATAGTGGATTGAGAAAAAATTGTATTTTCATGGATATTTAATTTCATGGTTTTGCCAAAAACTGCATACAAACCAAAGAAAATTTGCACTTTGCTGATTATTTAAATTCATGGTTCACATTTACTAATGGATATCCAAAGAACAGTAATAAATCCATAGAAATCAACATCCTCCCCAGTGAAAATATGTTTCAGAGGTAATAGCGGAAAATAAACATTTAGTTTTCTGGAATAATCACGAAAACACAAACAGATCTGAAAATTTTAATTTTACACATATTAAGGTTGTGGATGCTTGCATTATCAGGTATATGCATATCTATTTCTTCTACTATTCATTGTACAAAAATTATATTTTAAGTGATGAGTACATTATTAATTTGTTTATATGTATTTTTTTGCTGCTTGTATTTAGCTTCAATCTACTACATTTGTATTTACAGAGGCATTATTTAAGTAATAGCATTTATCCTGCAATCAGCCAAGTATTGTACAAATAACAGGTACACAAATAAATTTTTGCTTTATTTGTACTTGTACAAATAAAGTCTCCTGTTACCCTCTTCATGTTGAGCAAGCGGTAATGTGGATATTTCTTTTTGCGTACCAGTTCATTTTGGGGTCCTCTTCGCGGTCCGCGTTTAAACTATGTCGATTTCTTTGAAAAATTTAGACGACGAGTTTAGATTTTAACTAAAGTTTCAAGTGTTGGGTGTAAATTTCAGGATAAAAACAATATATGTACATTTTCGGAAAATATAAAATTTATTTGTACTCGCTGCGAAACAGGAGAAAAGCTCGGCGAGCCTCGCTTTTCGTCCTGTTTCTAAAGCTCATACAAATAAATTTTATATTTTCCGACAATGTACATATATTGTATATTTCCTCTTCTGTAAGGGGCAAATGCTCATTAAAGGCTCTCTAATAATTGTTTCAGTACCATTTGACTAAATTAAAACAAACCTAGATGAAATGGTCATTTTGACAATCTTGATAAAATTAAAAGAAGAATGTGTATAAGGACACTTATGCCCCTAGCCTCAAGCTTCAAACAAACAAAAATGGGAGGGACGGCCAAGGTTAACACTAAATGCCCCCATCGCCTACGGCAGAGGCATAAAAAACAATGATTTAAATAACGCCAGCTCTCTTTTTATACGACCGCAAAAATATTTTTGTGGTCGTATATTGGTATGACATTGGCTTGGTAGTCCGAAGACACATTAGTTTTCGCACTCTAACTTTAGTTTAAGTGAATGGATCTCAATGAAATTTTACCATAAGGTTCAATACCACAAAAGGAAGGTGGGTACCAACAGTTAAGGAATTAGGGGCCAAAATAGGCCAAAAATAAGCATTTTTGTAACTTCCAGACATAACTTGTGTGTAAGTGTATGGATCTCTCTGACATTGTACCACAAGGTTCCATATCACAAAGGGAAAGCTGGATTGAGTTTGGGGGTAATTGACCAAAAAGCTTAGGAAGAAGGGGCCAAAAAGGGGCCAAAAATAAGCATTTTTCTAGTTTCCAGACAATAACGTGTGTTCAAGTGTATGGATCTCTCTGAAATTGTACTGCAGGGTACCATACCACAAAGGGAAGGCTGGGATTAATTTTGGGGGTAATTCCCTCAAAATTTTAGGAATTAGGGGCCATAAAAGGGCAAAAAAAACAGCATTTTTCTAGTTTCAGGACAATAACTTGTGTGTAAGTGTATGGACCTGTATGAAATTGTACTGCAAGGTTCCATATCACAAAGGGAAAGCTGGGTTTGAGTTTGGGGGTAATTGCCCTAAACGTTTAGGAATTTGGGGCAAAAAAAACAAGCATTTTTCTAGTTTCCAGACAATAACTTGTGTTCAAGTGTATGGATCTCTCTGAAATTGTTCTGCAAGGTACCATACCACAAAGGGAAGGCTGGGATTGAGTTTGGGGGTGATGAATCATAAGGGGGTTCCAAAAATTTTTGGGGGGGGATTTTTTTTTCCTTTTTTTTCTTTAGAATTTTCCATTTTAAATTGTTTATTTCTGATTTATATATAAAAGCAAATAATAATGATATGGTTTGAATAGGTAAATTAAAAAATTTTAAGTTCTTAGACCACTTTCATTCTGTGTCAGAAACCTATGCTGTGTCAAATATTTAATTACAATCCAAATTCAGTGCTGTATCAAGCTTGAATGTTGTGTCCATACTTGCCCCAACTGTTCAGGGTTCGACCTCTGCGGTCGTATCAAGCTGCGCCCCAGCAGAGCATTTTATTCAATTATATTCTTTTTTTTGACTGATTTTATGGATAGTTTTGTACTGTGGATTCATCTATTTTCTTGGGTACCAGATCTTGGGTACCAGATGTTACTGGCTTTACTAATATTATAGCCAAAAATTAATTTCAATTATTTTTTAAATATTTTATCTGATACAAATAGATAACATTTAATGTTTGTCAATTAGAATGAACCAAAATGAAATGCTGTAAACTTAGAAAATGTTTTTTTGTAATATAGATAATTGAAAATGTTTAGCAAAGCTAAATTTATTAATGAGATTAAGACATTTTTAGTTGAAGGTTACATGTGCACACTTGAGACATGTATGTTTATTATGATGAGTATAGCATTAGGAACATTAAACTCTGTCAAAAAAAAATGGGCTGTAGGTCATAAAACTTTACTCAGTACTCCGAGTACCAAATTTGTACTCGAAACACCAAATCCAGTATTTTGATTGGTTGATTTCTGAGTATCATAATCATGCTCGAAATTTTTATGACAGCAATGCATGGTGTTTACTGTCTGTGTAGATCCATATTTTTTCTTTGAAACCAATTTAGGTTGATGGAAGAAAACTTAAGTTATTGTGGATACTTGATTTCATTGTTTTTGTCAAGCCTGCAACTTTTATCGCAAAAGCGAGACATAGCGATCCTACATTACGGCGGCGATGGCCACGGCTTCCACAAATATTCACTCTGTGGTTAAAGTTTTTGAAATTTTAATAACTTTCTTAAACTATCCTGGATTTTTACCTAACTTTGACAGAAGCTTGTTTATGATCATAAGAAAGTATCCAGAAGTAAATTTTGTAAAAAAAAATCCTGTTTATCCGTATTTTACTGATAAATGGACTTAGTTTTTCAGCCAGTTAACATTACATCCACTCTGTGGTTAAAGTTTTAAAAATTTTAATAACTTTCTTAAACTCTCTTGGATTTGTACCAAACTTGGACAGAAGCTTGTTTATGATCAAGAGCTAATATCTAGAAGGAAATTTTGTAAAAATTTATTTCCTGATTTTTCGTATATTATTCATAAATGGACTTAGTTTTTCTTCCAGTTAACATTACATACAGTCTGCAGTTAAAAGATTTTAAAACATTTATTAGATTCACAAACCATCTTGGATTTTTACCAAACTTGGACAGAAGCTTCTTACAATCAAAAGATAGTATTAGAGGAAAATTTTTAATAATTTTTTCCCCAATTTTGTTGAGCCTGCGAGACACTGGGTTCCGTGAAACCCTTACAAATTTTTTTAAAACAAATTCTGCTTTTATGCCTATATGAAATTTGCATATTGTTGCACTCAAAAATTTGGTTCATCTATACCCATGAAATCCATTTAAAAGTAGTATCCCATGAATAATTATGAATTCCACAGTACAATATAATTATATCAAAAGGGATAATATATAGTATATCTATGAAGAGGAAAAGCTAACCCGCACGTAACAAATTATTTCCTTTGATCTTAGATATTTTTATTATGATTTTTTGAAATTTATTAACACTAATTTCCCAGGAGGTAAAGTTTCCGACAAAAATAAAAGACACATAAATACTAATTGAAGTCAATTTGTTTTGCTTACACTCATCTACCTTTATTACCCTTAGGACCACAAATGCAATTTTCCTCAGTTTAAAAGTGCACCAAACTTACATTTGATCAGAGTTGATAAAAAATTGAGACTTAATTTTTTATGATTCGTGATTTATGGTAGGGCCTGAGGTGTCTAAAAACTTGTGATTTATATACATTCAAATGGTATATACTGATTATATGTGCATTGATTGACTAGGGATAACACTTATCCTGTACACATTAATCTCAAGTTTCAGAAATGCACTGAAAAAAAAAAACTTTTACGAAAAGCCAAGCTGATAGATCCCCACAAATTAGCTTCCATTAGATTTTTTCAGACCTTTTATAATTTCTGTGAAACCTAATTGGTAAAAAGAAAAATTTGCAATAAAAAATTTCTTAAGTACAAATTTAAGACAAAAGTTTATGGATTATAAAATGAACTTCAGTAAAGAGATATTTATCCCTGTTAATAGAATGTACTCAAGTTTGATGGTATAAATAGTCTATTGTTGTATGCTAGGTTTTGTATCTCCAGCTTGGAAACATGTTTCTTTTGTTTTCAATATTATCAGTTCATTGAAAAGAAATCTTTAGACATAAAAGGTAATAAAAGTAACAGTATTCAAGCATTTAATTCAAATATGTAAAAAAACAGTCAAAAAAGACAAGGAATACCTACCAAGTAACATTACAAACTGATGATGAATTGTTCGGATTATTTGCCAATATACAAACAGAGAATATACTGTTTAAATTTCTCATCAGTAGATTCTAAATCTTAGCATCAATCATTTATGTATAACAAAGGATAATTGTTAAGTTTTTTTTGACATTTTACTGATTTGTACATTCCATTTGTTTATTTATTGTGTAATGGTATCATGTTACTAAAAGTGCAATTTATAGAGGATTAGTCATATATGTATACAGAAAAATAAATAATAGATTAAAGCTGTGTTCATTTTTTCTTCTTCAAATAATAATCGCCATAGTTGTATGATTCAAAGTTTAAGACTTTTATATTGGTACATGTCTGATGTCATCTGTATAATGGTGAGAAATATTGAGAAGTTATCTACCCTTGAGAGGTCTGACTATCCTTTGATTGCTATTTACATATATACAGACTTGGTTTTTGTCTCGCCTTGATGGAGTCAAAAAGCGAGACATAGGTATGCTGTTTCCAGCGTTGGCGTCAACAATGTATAAGTTTGTGATTAGGTCTAGTTCATGGTGACCCACTAGTGGTAGGTCAATGATATTTGGTGTGCAGTTGTATTAGCATTGGCACATCTCATTACCGTGGAGATTATTTGGCCCCGCCCCCTCAGTCAAGGTCTGATGACTTTTAAACTTTGCTTATTTTACATGTATCAGTTTGTGATTAGGTCACTTAATGGGGAACCAATAGTGGTAGGTCAATGGTATTTGGTATGCAGTTGTATAAGCATTAGCACATCTCATTTCTATGGAGAATATTTGGTCCCTACCCTCAGTCATGGTCTATTGACTTAGAAACTTTTGCTTAGTTTACATGTATTAGATTGTGATTAGGTCAGTTTAAGATGAACCACTAATGTTAAGTCAATGATATTTGGTATGCAAATGTATTGGCATTTGCAAGTTTCATTTCCATGGAGATTATATAACCCCACCCCCTAATTATGGTTCACTGACTTTGAAACTTTTACATAGTTTACAAGTTAATGTTTGTGTTTAGGTTTGTTTAAAGGGAACGACTTATGAAAAGTCAATGGTATTTGGTTTGCAGTTGTATTAGCATTGGCACGTCTCATTTCCATGGAGATTGTTTAGCCCTGTACCTTCAGTCATGGTTCATTGACTTTGAATATTTGAATAACTTGCATGTTAAAGTATTGCTATTTTAATTTCAACATTTGCATTATCAAGATAAAAAATAGGCGAGACATATCTCTGTGTTAACAGTTTATCCTACCTTATTTGTCAGGAAATTGTAAAGTAAATGATAACATCTTCACAGCACAAGGCAATGATAGAATAAACTTCATGAGATAAGCTTGATAGCTATATGATGCTAGTTCAAATCAGAATTGACGCCCTTGAGTGTCTTCCCGGGGGAAGTCAAACCAGACTTGAACTTTCTTATTTGCTGCTTCTTGCCTAAAGCCTGTGGCTTTTATGTCAGAGCCAGAACAAATACTGGTCGGCTCAGAGTTCCGTAGTAATGATTGGTATCTGTGTAGGCAACTAGCACATTAAAAAACCTGCTCAATATATTGTCCTTGGGCAAAGCATGAAGTTTTGTTTTATCCCTGCTTCAGTAGAATGGTAATGGCACAATTCCATAACAAATTAAGGCTTACAAACAAAACCTCATAGGTACCAAAGTTATATGGATTAAAAAGGAATGAAAGGGACTATTATATTCCCTTTCCCAAGTGTTATGGAAATTTGGTCTGTTTCACAGGTGACAATTGCTCTGTTCTGATTAAAAAGGAAGGAAAGGGACTATTATGTTCCCCTTACCAAGTGTTGTGGAAATTTGGTGACAATTGTTCTGTTCTGATTAAAAAAGAAGGAAAGAGACTATTATGTTCCCTTTACCAAGTGTTATGGAAATTTGGTCTGTTTCACGGGTGACAGTTGTTCTGTTCTATTAGTCAAACCCACAAACCAAGACTTTTTCCTTTATCTTTCACATCACTGATTGTTATTCATTTCTGGATTTTCACTTATCAAGTGCAAATAAACTATGCCACTTCTTTAAGCTCACCTGACCCACAGGCCAATGTGAGCTATTGTCATCACTTGGCATCTTCTGTCTTTGTCATTGTCATTGACTATTTCAACGATCTAAAACTACTTAACTAATTTCAACCAAACTTGGGCTGAATGATCCTTATGGTATGCAATTGAAATAAAATTGAGAATGGAAATGGGGAATATGTCAAAGAGACAACAACCCGACCAAAGAGCAGACAACAGAAAAAGAGCAGAAAGTTTGTGTTTTATTACAGACAAAGAGCAGAAAGTTTGTGTTTTATTACAGACAAAGAGCAGAAAGTTTGTGTTTTAGTTTCCTTTCTCTAACTTAAGTTTGCCTCAACCAAATGTTATGAAACTTATACACAATGCTTATTACCAAAAAACACAGATCAAGTTTGAATTTTAGTGGCGTCACTTTAACCGTTCTAGAGTTATGCTCCTTTATAAATGGAAAAATTGCAAAATTTTTAGTTTCCGTTCTCTAACTTAAGTTTGCCTCAACCAAATGTTATGAAACTTATACACAATGCTTATTACCACAAAACACAGATCAAGTTTGAATTTTCCAAAATCCCAGATTTTGGTTTTCCATAATGCCCTTTTTGGAGCAATCTAGAGCTGTCTTCCTGTCTTGTTTGTTCTTCAGTATGTACAGAACTTATGAATAAACACATATTTGCCTTACCTATACTTTATTGGTCCAGATTCTTACTACAACCTCAAGAAACAATGTCATTTAAGGCTTTTGTGAAAAAAAATAGGAACAAAACCACCAAAGGTCACAAAGCACTCCTGGATGAATATGAAAATAAATGCCTTCAATGCTTAAAGCAACTCACGTTTAGTTAACAGAACTCTAAACTTAACTGAACACAAAATCAACAGAACACAAAACCCAAAGCAGGGAATCTTCATATCAGACACAGAGTGTGATACAATTGATGAACAATTGTTAATTGTTGAACAAGCATGACCAATAATGATTCCACACTTCAACAGACAGAAGTAACAATATGCCAGTTGGAAACATTATAAGTGATGCTTGTTCACCAGTTTCTTTTTCACCATCAACAAATTTTCAAAGTCAACTGTATCAACACTTTGTGTCTCTTTCTGATATGCATACAATGGAAGTGTTCCTGCTTTGAATTTTGTGTTCTGTTGTCTAAAAAAGAGTTGTTTTACGCTTTGCAGATATTTCTTCCAATAATCATCCAAGAGTGTTCTACCAGCTTGAGTGATTTTGATTTCTTTGATTTTTACGCATTTTCACAACTGCCTTAAAAGGCACCAATCCTTCAAGGCGTTCGTAGTAAGAATCTGGATTCGTGAAGTATAGATATGGCAAAGATGCGTTTTTTTTCATAAGTTCTGTACATACTGAAGAGAACGAAACAGCAAATTCAAGTGTATCTGGAGTAACGACTCTGTCTCGCATCAAGGAAAAAAAGTTTTCAACCATCTTTGTTGATATAACTTCATGCTTAATTTCATGAACAATAACGGGATAGTGTTCAATTAAGGACTGTGAGCCACCAAGAAGCATTTTAATGCTATCCTGAAACACTCTCGAGACACAACCTTGTGGTCCTTGAACAACTGGTGTAAGCTTATATGATGCCTTAACATTTTGTGATGCTTTAGAAAAGAAACCATCAACATTCTTCAATTTATTCAAACTTTCAGGCAATGTACATCCCACTTCGGTATGCACCTTAAAACAGTCATATAAATCACCAACTGCAGTTAGAAACTTAACCATACCCTTTGTTGGTGTTACCATCAAAACTGAGGATTCACCAGAATCGCAAACATACAATGTTTTACCTTCTGCAGCAATACCTGATGGTTGGGTAAAGGATGATGCCAAACAGGGTCCATATTTCCGACTAGTTTGACCAGATCCTGCAACAACAGAAATATCCCTTTTTTCATCAATACATTTCAATTGCCTGGACTTTGTATCAGTAAAATATATGCAGCCTTGTCGAAGTGAAATGGAATGTGGAATACATGTGTCTAATTTGATAAAAATGACATCGGTTTCAAAAGTCTGCAAGTTGATGCTAGATATCCCTCCATTTCTATCGATGTCAATTTAAGTTGCAAGTAAGATGATCTAATATGCATTTTAAGGATGGGACCATCATAATGAGATTTGAGTGTTGACCCTACTTGACATACAGAGCTTGATTTAAACATGTTATTTTAAAGGATATATCACAAGGCAAATGCCTGCAGCAAGACACGCAACCCTACTCTGACACATTATTCTGACTCCTGACCACTATCCAGGCCGTACCTTGACCTATAATGGTTTACTTTTATAAATTGTAACTTGGATGGAGATTTGTCTCATTGGCACTCATACCACATCTTCCTATATCTATGATTTTACTCCTTAATGAATTGTGTCTAGCAATGAAGCAGCAAATATCAAATTTAAATATGTTGTATTCGACTCCATAACTGGGGACACCACCGATCAGACACACCAAGACCATTCATGCATTTTCACCATTCTTTTTTTTTCTTTTTTTGTGGGTTTTTCCAACATCCCACATCCTTCTTTTTTTTTCCCTTCTTTTTCCCAGATCCCACTTTTTTTACCCCCTATATCCCACATCTCAAAAGTGTGTCACCCCCCTCTTTTGAGTCCTTATTTAGTATTGGTACATGTTTTTTCATCACTGAATGTTAAATTTTTTGTTCAGTTAAATCAATCAGTGAGTGATAGATTTCTCTTGGAATAAATTTAAAGGTCCCATTGAATAAACTCCACAGAGAACAATAGCTATTGTATTTATTTGATGGGAAAAAAAGAACTTGCAAAAGTTTATATCGACAGGTAACTTTAAAGTGAATCTGTGAAAAAGTATCATTTCCTTCGCAATAAAGGTCTGCTTTTTCACCAGCCCAGTAGCTTGTCCGGCGTTGGCTATATTTTTTTGTCCTTTTTGATTTATAGCTCTTCATCTTTTTAATAAGCTTTGAATTTTTAAATATTTTGGCCTCGAGCATCACTGAAGAGACATTGATTGTCGAAATGCGCATCTGGTGCAGAAAAATTGGTACCGTTTATGTTATTATTCCACAGCGTTCATCTGGCTTTGACCTCATTTTAATGGTTCATCGATATATTGCAAGTTTAGTTATCCGGTGAGTCAGTTTCTCAATTATTAGAAGTGATGGGTCAACTATAGTTGGTGTAAATTTTGGTTGTTATGGGTGCATGTCCGTCCGTCAAGATTTATCTGACCTTGACTTCATTTTCATGGTTCATTGGCCAATGTTAAGTTTTTTGTGATAAGTTTTATTTCTCATATACTATAATCAATAGGTCAACTATATTTGTGTATAGAATGGTTGTAAATGAGAAATGACCACCATATAGAAACCTTTTCTCATGGTGATGGATTAACGTCAAGATTTTGTGGAATTCTTTTTTATGGAAAGTAATGGTTAAACATGTATGGTTTTGTAGAACGATTGCAGATCCACATGTCTGTCTGGCAGGTCTCATTGATCTTGACCTTATTCTTACGGTTCAGTGATTAGCGTTAACTTTTTGGTATTTACTTTAGATTTTCAACTGTAAGTTGCAGGTCAACTATATTTATTGCCAGTATAGGACCATTGCAAAGTGTACATGTTCATGTAAATCTGGCATAGAGTTCATTCAACTCGACCTAATTGTATGATCATCATTTATTATTAATAATGGCAAGTTTTTATGATACCTGCAGTAATATATTGATGTCAAAGACTTTTAACTTTGAATTCAGTCTAAATCAGCTAAGCAGGCGAGACATTTTAGCATTTGCACTTTCAATAGATGATCACGTTAGGTTATTGCCTAATTGGCGTGCACTACTGACGCATGCCACCTACTTAAACTCACATTTGTTTTCGCGACGAAAAGATGATTGAAATTCAATACTACTCTCCTCCTCTACTGCTTATTGAGACTTGAATTTATATTTAAGTTAAAACAGTCTAATAAAGTGTAAATGAAGACATTTCAAAACATGTTGCTTCCTAAATGCTTCTGGCAAAGCTTTGTTTTTCATGTGCATACTACTAAAGCAAATGTGATTTAAATTAAAAATAGTGGTACTTTCAGCATCCGTGAGTAACGTTAATTGAATTCCGACCCATTGTCATTGTTTTAACTAAGTGCTGATATATGTTAGCAACACTTCTTTTAACTTGTAATAATAAGAAGTTCAGTATTTACGTTAAGCTGGTGACAATGAAATCTTTACAAATCGCTCTATAACAGCTGGTCTTTTCTTTTGGTCCTAGCAACGAACAATTAAGACTAGAAAATGCTGCATATATATACAGTAGTACGTGTAAAATATGGTGTACTTGTGTCCGGTTTGGAATGAATATCAACAATGGAACGTTAGGTGCCTTCGCATATCCATATTCATTTAAGATGAAAAAACAACGTGCTTTATAGCTCTCTTCCAATATCATCAATTACGAGAATTTGCGTTTTTCAATTGGTTTTTACTGACAATTTGTTATTCATTTCTGGTTTAATTGCTTAAGTAATGTGCAAATGTGACAATAAAAGAAAAAATCCTTTAATGGTTGAAGTTATTTTAAACAATACTCGCTCTGCAGATGATCTAATCATGGTTTTAATTGTCATCTATATTAATTTCAGCTATCCGTTTACACTTAGTTAAATTTTCTGTTTTAGGCATGAAATATTGATGAAAGTAAATATCTATTATCCATAGAGCTTTTCCTCTCGGTGGTATTAACCTATCGGTATGAGAAGGCCTACTTAAACTGGAGAACTCATTTCTATAATTCAATTGTTTAATAGATTTGCAGTAAAAGTGCTTAATTTTCAGAGAGGTGTTATATTGCAGAAACGACAAATCATCTTTTCAGAACTGAATGTAATAAAAGTCAACTTTTATACTAGTTGTTCCGGACTACCCGAACAGAGAGTTTTGGCATGTGATGATTATAAATTAACTTTGTGACATCGTCTTTGTTGATAAAATAAAAAGATTTTGTGAAAACAAAATAATAAATAAAGGCTTGTCACCTTTCCACCTTTCGGATGATGTTTGTGATCAGATAGAAAATAAAAATAATTATAGCATCTCTAATGTTCCGGAGTAAACATCCGATAATGACATTAGAGCAGGGAAGTTGACAAAATATTTACTTTTTCTTTTAATTGTAGTATTTGGACGTGATAAATTCTATTAAGGATTCAACCAGACTCAAATAAACGGATTTTTTGCATAATTAAAAGCACGACAAGGAAGATTTGAGGATAGATATTTGTTTTTATAGAAAGTAAAAATAAATGTTGTATTCAAAGGTACTTAGTACTTTATCTATCATGTGAATATACACAAAAATGCAGTATTAACAGTTTTGTTATTTTCCTGCGTTTTTCGATCGAGCGAACAGTTTGAAGTATGGTTATATCTGACACTGAGCGAAATGTAGAAGACGAAGGGCCGGGCTGGAAACGAATTACACTCCTTTTAGTTGTTGCTGTTTCTTACCTCTGCATTGGAGCAGCAGTGTTTCAAAAAATAGAAGGCCAGCCGGAAATTGATAGACGGCGTGACCTGGGAGCAGTTATTCATAAATTTTTAGGTAAGGGAATAGTATATATTTAACTGTATCATTCATCCATTCATTAAAAAGAATAATTGTCATGATAACAATTATTTAAACTTAGGTATGAATTCTCTATAATTATTGATAATAAGGATTTAAGACTTGTGAAATCAAAGAAGATGAAAAACACTTTCTACTACGCCGTAAAAATAACAAAATAACAAATATTTACGTACAAACTTTTAATGATACAAGTTAAGTGAACCCGTATATGTATTTTCAAATCTTACTGATACTGTAAAACTAGTGGTCCTCCTTACTCCATCAAATCTACGCCAAGTGAAAAGAACAATTAAGTCCCTTTTAAAACAGTCGTTAGAGCTGAGGCTATACATTCTTTAATAGTGTTTTTTGTTTTTGTTTTTTATTCTTGTTTTTTTTTGGCTTAAATGTTCAAATCATCTATTTTGTATAAGAATTATATCTGTCACGAGCTTGTACGTATGCTTGATGTGACAATAAATACTTGAACCGGGATGATTCCATGATGTATAGTCAAAATACCACTTCCCATATAGAAAAGATTATGGCAAGTCTTCAGATATTTTCATTATATACTCTATTAACTGAAATTTCAATGATATGTGAACAATAACTGAAATCTTAGACCATTTAACACTTGTTTTCATTAACAAAATATACCCAGGCTGCATGACTCCAGCAGCGTTGCAGATTTTTTTCAACTTCATTTTTAATATGAAGTAATAAAATATTATATCCAAGTTCATCAATGCCAAGACCACAGAGGGGAAAACTGTCAAAAGAGTCGGGTAGTACAACCCCTCTGCATTCGTTTAACTCACAGGGTCAAAATTAATCTTTGAGTAGTCAAACCTACTAGAAATTTACATCAGAAGTCTATATCGTCAAGTTTAGAAAAAGAAATTTCAACATTTGTTTTTACATACTTCCGTATCATCAAAGTTTTATTCAGGGCTACATGTTGTCTTGTATGTTTTTTTAATTTTAGTTCATTTATATGTTTCGGAGTTTAGTGTGACGTCCATTTTCACTTCAAACTAGTACACATTTTTGTTTAGGTGTCAGCTGAAGCCCGCCTCCGGGTGCGGGATCTTCTCGCTGTGTTGAAGACCCATTGGTGGCCTTGGGTTGTTTTCTGCTCTTTGGTCGGGTTGTTGTCTCTTTGACACATTCCCCATTTCCATTCTCAATTTTATTTGAATGCATTTTGATTTTGTCCACATATAACACATATTTGTAAAATTTTGCATGATGGAACGTCGATAACCAATATGTCCTTTTTATACATTTTATTGATTCGGGCAGCTGCTTTCAGGTTTTTATGATTTGGTTATCTGTTTAGAAATAGCCCACTCGAATATCAGTACAATAAACCTTTTCTGACATGATCAGTTCGCAACAAAAATTTAACGAAAGAGGCCGTGCAAGATGATAAAGATTTACAGGAGTCTGGTATTACTTGTTACAGATTGTAGACTGTTAATCATTTTGCAGGGTTATAAATGTGAATGATATTTTCGGAATAGAATTAATGTGCTTTGGGAACTGGTATTACCAGGATTGCTGTACATATAAAATGTCATTCTGGTTGCCAATAGCAACAAATTGTATTTTTAATCAAAGTTGGAGAAAGTTCTTTTTATTTTCAGGCTAACAACTGTAAACCTTTTACTCCAAACAAACCATCTCACGCTTACACTAAATTCCACCAAAATCCGCCTTGATGGTCTCCCGGTAGCTTTAGCCTCGAGTGCGGGATCTCGTTGGAGTAACTTGAGTAGTTAGTGGTAGGAACAGGGCGAATATACACCATGCGAACTGCTACTTTAAGTTGCGAACTATAGAACCTAAAAATCCTGACCTACCGCGTCGATCTAATAAAAAAAATCGCAAAATCACACGACATTAAACTGTTGTAATTCAAACGTGCACGTAACATTTGCCGCTGGACACTAAGAACTAATCAACCAATCATTTTTTACCTGTGTATACTAGATTTCATTCTCCGTCTTTTCTAATATGCAGTGTCTGTTTGGTGTATATCTTGAGTCGGATGACAAAGTAATAATATAATTGTCATTCATGAAAACTATTTATCCCATTATCATTTCATAATAATTATGCTGTTGTGAAGAAACATTGTAATATCATCATTATCTGCTTTTATAAACTACATTAACCTGAAACCAATCATAAACGAAACCGTAATTACCGAACCATGAAATCAAGGTCACATTATCCTTATAATTTGAGTAGTTCATAACTTGATGGTTATATGTAAGTAAGTAAAATTGTGAACCAAAACCGGCATACGTCTTACTTCCTTTTATGTAAACATGAAGCAAAAGGACAGATGCAAACCAAAAATAGCGACATGCCTAGTTACATCACTCTCACAGGCACTTGTCTCTGAAAAAAAATATTCCTATATACCTTAATATAACAAGTTGAACACCTGCTTTGTGTGTACATCTTACATATGCTTTTGTGAAAATAGATACACTTAGTAGTTGCACAACTGGTAAGACCATATTAAGGTATATAGGATTTTTTTTCAGAGACAAGTGCCTGTGATCACTCTAGCATGTTATATCAAACGATGACATATATAAATCTTATGGCTATTTTTTCAGGTAATAATACATGTGTGGATATTACAGAAATGGAAAATTTTATGTCTAAGATAGCTCTTGATTCGGATTTCGCATTGCGAACTCTAAGGAACGAAACTATATCTACAAAATGGGACTTTTCTGGGTCATTCTCGTTTGTTATTACAGTGGTATCCACAATTGGTAAGTTTCATTCTCCAATTACTATCTGATTTGTCGTCTGCTTTTCCTTTTGAATACTAGAAGGACTAAAGATCCACAAACACTATTTAAGTCACGAAAATAACAAATGTCTTTGTTGTTCAATACACAGATGTATCGTGGTCTATATCTCTTTATATTCGTATATGGCAAAAAAATCACTTAAACCGGTGCAAGGGGCGGTCTGGAACTTGCAGTTAAACGTGAGCGTAAGTTTCATGTTTAAAGGCCTCACGAAGAACAGCAAATAAGGGATGATCCTTTGCAGTGACTTTGTGTCATGAATCGAAAGGAGTATGTTATGAAAATGTTAAGTATTCTGCAGTTCTAAAAGAAAATTTGATAAATATGTCCTAAATACCTATAAAGGTTCTTTGAAATAAAAGAACATATTGTGTTGAAATGAATGGAACAATACTTTTTGAGAATACATAGTAAAATGTTGTCTTAATCAATTAAATTCTTCGTCAAAAACTGCAGATTCTTTAAAATTGTGCCATGTTTTATAAAAAGATGATTAAGATTTTTTTTTTTTATGAATGTTCTTTTATTTTGATTCATATAAAGTGTTTTTGTTAATTATGCCTTCATCACGTTTGGTACATAAATATGTGTTATCATTTTTTTTTAAATCTGTTTGCAGGTTATGGAAACATGGCGCCAAGGACGAAAGAAGGGCGATTAGCATTAGTTATATATGCCTTGTTTGGAATACCTCTGACAATGGTAGTGTTAAGTTATATGGGTCAACTATTAACAAGACTGTCTACAAAAGTGAATAGATTAAAATTGTGTTCTAGAAAACCTGTTTTAAATAAAGTATTAAATATGGTTCTAATCGTATGTCTTGGACTAACTATGCTGTTCCTTGTGCCTGCTTTTATTTTCCAACAAGTAGAAAAATGGCACTATTTAGATGGATTATACTACTGCTTTGTTACGTTGTCAACCATTGGTTTTGGAGATTACGTAGCTGGTAAGTGTTATTTTAGCAATATCGCCCATTTCGTTTGAGCTGAAACCGAAAATCAAATCGGAACCATTTTCGCTATCCAAGGGTTACGATTCGACCCGCTCCTCTTTACGAAGAGAAGCGGATCGGATCGTAACCCTTGGCTAGCGAAGATAAATCAAAACAGACGAACATACAAACATCAGCCAACATAACAATATACAGAAAACTTCAGATCGGACCAAACGAGCGCCAAAAACCGGGTACTAGCTAGATGAGTTAAGCAATTCCCACACCACTAGGGGTACCAGTTGTGCTGCTTATATATCAATTAAAAATCCGGTGACAAGTCCTAATTATTGAAACGCAGAGTGGGTCTCATTGGGGTCTAAGCGTGACCCGGGATTGCCGATTTTTTGTATGCGTAACACGTGAAAGTCAAATTATTGTGCCGTGAAAACGGGAAATGAAGTCTAGCGGGACCCGTTAAAAAAAAAAGAGAATTGCTTACGTACATAGTGTAAGCGGGATACGGGAATCTGACAAAACAGTAAGCGGGATCCGGGATCAGAACCCCCCCCCCCCCCCAATGAGACCCCCCGCAGAGAGGATAATATTTTTCACAATGTTTTCGAAATCAAGAAATGACCGATTGGTTATTGTATAAGTTACCGTTTCTTAATTTATTGATAATTGGATTTTAAATAATATGCAGTGTTATATGGTCAGGATGATAATTTTGAAACTAAAACCAATGTCTCTTCAAGGTTTTCTGTTATGAAAATCATTTCAAACCTCACAAGACGTTCAAGATGGTCCATACGAAATACAAAACAACCTGTTTAATATTGACTTCTGAAACTGTTGGTCCCGAGTTTCCCTGATGAATGAATAATACAAGTTTATATTCGATTCATTTATGACAAAAAATTAAAAAAAAAAGTCCACAGAAATATGGCGGAATTTAGAATGACGAGAAATGTAGAGAAGCGTCTGCTCTGCTTTTATAGATGGAGGGTATCCGACATGCCCCTATAGCCAAGTTTTGCAGATACTGCCCTTATATATCAAGCCTCCAGCAGTGGAATCAACTCATTTGCAGAAATTGAAATAACAGACACAGGCTTCAAATCCAAGAGGCACAAAGTCTTTTTAAGCTAACAGGTACACTTGTGACCCGTAGTTAAAAAGCCAGGAGATAAATGAAGATATAGGTAGAAGCTTTAAAGAACTTACACGGCATGACAATTTGAATCACTGTCTCATGAAGTAAAGATGGTATATGTATGGTGTTTTGTTTATAGTGTTCATCATTGTCCTAGGGTTCTTTTGTTCCTAGATAGCTTCTAACATTAATTACCATTGACTTTAGAGACTCACTTCCCTGTTTGTTCCCAATTGTCGTCCATTAGCACTTTTGACATGAAATTTGTTGTTCAGCTTCAGCGACACTGTAAGCACATTTAGGTTATAAACACAAAGCAAATTTTTGAAACTGATGGTAATTAAGGTGATTCGGACGAGTAAGCTAGTCATTAAACTTCAAATCGCCATCAATTGATGCTTTTGTTGGTCTTGTTTTTCTCGGTTTATCCTGGGACATATAATAGTTATGTAATGTTACACATCTATTTATCTATCTTGATATTGAACATTAATCTAAAAAAGTTATTCAAACACATTAATTTTTTAATAATTCTAGACTTCTGATAAATAATATTCAAACATAATCAATACATACTGAGATGTTACAGCCTGAATGATAAAAATTATTATTTCAATAAAATAAAAAACGTGAGATCATCTAATAAAACGTGACTCTTTCTTCAATGTATGTCACCTTTGTTTTACCGCACTTGCAACTATATAAAAAGGAATGTCTTGTATAATTTTATCTTTTGATTTTAACATGTTCACATATATCAAAGATTCTTGTGTCTTGCATAATTCGATTTTTTAACTTTGAACATTTTAGCGATATCGGAGAATCTTTTGTCTTGAATAATTCTATCTTTAACTTTTGATCATTTGCAGGTATATCGAAGAACTGTTTGCCTTGTATAATTCTATCTTTTAAACCTTTTCAGCTATATCGGAGAATCGTTTGAGTGACAAGGGAGCTGGTGATGTGTATAGAGTTGTGACATTTGCTTGGATTTTATTTGGTTTAGCTTATGTATCTCTCATCATTAGCTACATAACGAATGTGTTTGTTAAAAGAACAGAACAAGTAGAAAAGTTCACCAAAGATGCATTAGAGGTAAACATGTAGTTTATCACTTTAAATGTACATGTTAAAAATGTATGAATGAGCAGATACCAGTTTTTGTGTTTTGTTCGTTTTCGATGCAAAATTTGAAAATAAGACTCTCTTCAATGCCTATGTAAAGCACTAAATAACATTTAGATTGTAGGGATAGTTTACATAAAATGGTTGAAAGATATTTCAATCTTTGATTTGCAAGTTCCGTGCGGAATCATCAAGGTTCAGGTTCTGAACCGGATACAAATACAGGTGTAATTAACCAAATCTCCTAGCTTTGCACATACCATGCCATTTTGGCAAGTATAGATTAAAACATTTACCTCAAGAACGCCCAAACCTAAACACTTGAAAGAGATGGGTGTATAGAAACGTAGCAACGTAATGAGGATACATAAAAAGAATAGCCAAATTCCTCGAAGGTCAATTTTGTCTGAGGGAGTTGGAACCTTAGCTTCTTAATAATTTCTAAAATTTGTCAACGTGAAATTCAAGAATAATTTGTTACAAAAAAATGAAAACAACACGTTATAAATTTCATGCGTCCGAAGCGCTTTTCTGGATTTACCTTCATCAGGAACGCTCAAAGCCGAATAATTTGAAAGCCAAGGATGTATAAGGACCGAAAACGTTACAATAAAATTGAGAATGGAAATGGGGAATATGTCAAAGAGACAACAACCCGACCAAAGAGCAGACAACAGCCAAAGGCCACCAATGGGTCTTCAATGCAGCGAGAAAATCCCGCACCCGGAGGTGGTCCTCAGCTGGCCCCTAAATAAAATTGTGTGCTAGTTCAGGGAAAATGGACGTCACACTAAACTCCAAAACATATAAATGAACTAAAATTAAAAAACATACAAGACTAACAAAGGCCAGAGGCTCCTGACTTGGGACAGGCGCAAAAATGCGGCAGGGTTAAACATGTTTTGTGAGATCTCAACCCTCCCCCTATACCTCTAGTCAATGTAGAAAAAAGAAACACATAGCAATACGCACAGTAAAACTCAGTTTAAAAGAATTCCGAGTCCGATGTCAGAATAGGTAACCAAAGAAACTAAGCAAAATGACAATGATACATAAATGAACAAAGGACTACTAGCAGTTACTGACATGCCAGCTCCAAACCTCAATTAAACTGATTGAAAGATTATGTCTTCATCATATGAAAATCAAGTACAATACCTCCCGTTAGGGGTTTAGTATCATACCATCATAAAATATATGAGAAGCACCGAAGCACTGACCACTGAGCTGATGTTACCACCAGGGGCCTATGACAATGATCATGATGTATACACAGAAGGTATTAGGAACGTTAAATCCTATGTCAAGTGAAGGAACAGTCACTCGGCCTGTTTCAATATAAAATACAGGATGTGTACAGTATACCCTCATTTGCAGTGGGAGCCAAGTTCCTGTCTTTCACCGAATGGATGACCCACTTTGCAGAATTGACTTTCCTATTGTATTTACTGTTTAATGTGTCCTCGTCCTGACTATGCAAGGACATATTTGCCACTGGACATTAAGCAGATAACAATTTATAAATCTGATCATATTGTATGGCTTGAAAAACCACATTAATCTTTCAATTCTATCAAGACTAGACATTTACTGTCTGGGCTATGTTCAACTTCAACGGCAACATATAAGTCTGTGCATAACTAAAGTGACATAATAATTGTTCAAGAGGACAAAAGTTTAAACTGTTGTTTTTTTTTCAGGGAGAAATTGACAGACTTCAGCATGAATTGAAGAAAACAAAAAATACAATGTATCAAAAAGCAAGTAGTGTTAAAACTAATGTTAAAAACAAATCCTGGGGTAAACCACAAGCTGATGCTATAAACGAAAGTCAAAATAAGACAGGTGTTCAACTTCTTAGTGTCTCAAATTTTAGGACAGTGTGATTTTGTGAATGGATAGAACAGGTGTACAACTTTTAAATGTGTCAAATTTTAGGACAGTGTGATTTTGTGAATGAATAGAATAGGTGTACAACTTTTAAATGTGTAAAATTTCAGGATAATGTGATTTTGTAAATGGATAGAACAGGTGTACAACTTTTAAATGTGTCAAATTTTAGGACAGTGTGATTTTGTGAATGTATAGAACAGGCGTACAACTTTTAAATGTGTCGAATGTATAGAACAGGTGTACAACTTTTAAATGTGTCAAATTTTAGGACAGTGTGGTTTTGTGAATGGATAGAACAAGTATACAACTTCTGAATGTGTCAAATCACAGGACAGTGATTTTGTGAAAGTATAGAACAGCTGTATAATTTCTAAGTGTGTCAAATTATAGGACAGTGTGATTTCGTAAAATTATAGACCAGGTGTAAAACTTTCAAGTGTTTTATTCTATAGAACTCATTGTGATTTGGATGAACATATTAAATAGTTTTTCAATGTCTACTAAATGTGTCTAATTAAAGGATAGTATGATTAAGATGAGTGTACAACTTATAATTGTGTCTAATTTTGGACATTATGATTTTGATATATACATACAACAAATGTAAAACTTCTAAGTGTGTTTAAGTTTTGGACAGCTTGTTGAAGATGTTCACAGAAAAAAGCCAGGTGTGCATCTACTATTAAAATGTGTCTACTTTCACAGTAAGGAGGACGTGTTTTTCAACAAACAATCAGCATTCCCATGGGCACCAACTGTGCTCCTCTTCTTGCCGACTTGTTCCTTTATTCATATGAGGCTGACTTCATACAGGAACTTCTTAGGAAGAAAGAAAAGAAGATAGCACTATCCTTTAACTTTACTCTCCGTTACATAGATGATGTTCTCTCACTAAATAATTCAAAATTTGGTGACTATGTTGAACGCATCTATCCCATCGAACTTGAGATAAAGGATACAACAAATACAGTTAATTCTGCCTCATATCTTGATTACATCTAGAAAATGACAATGAGGGTCGGTTAAAAACAAAACTTTATGACAAAAGAGATGATTTCAGCTTCGCAATTGTGAACTTTCCATTTTTATGTAGCAACATTCCAGCAGCGCCTGCATACAGAGTATATATCTCCAAGTTGATACGATACTCCAGGGCTTGTATTTTCTATCATGATTCCTTGATAGAGGGTGCTGCTCACAAGGATGCTATTAAACCAAGAGTTCTAAGTGGTGAAGTTGAAATCATCCCTTCGTAAATTTTACGGATGCCATCATGAGTTGGTTGACCGTTATGAAATATCCATTTCACAGATGATAGCGGATAAGTACCTAATGTTGTAACTACAATCCCATCCCCTTTTCCCGAATGTGACCTACCGAATTAGACTTATTACCGGGTTTGTACTAACATGAGCAACACGACGTATGCCACATGTGGAGCAGGATCTGCTTACCCTTCCAGAGCACCTGAGATCACCCCCAGTTTTTGGTGGGGTTTGTGTTGCTCAGTCTTTAGTTTTCTATGTTGTGTTTTGTGTACTATTGTTTGTCTGTTGGTCTATTTCTTTTTTAGCCACGGTGTAGTCTAATTTCACAAGAATATATTTTAAATTTACACATAAAGCAACTGTTCAACTTTTAAGTGTGTGTCTTGGAGTAGTGAAAAGGCAATTCTTGTTATATATTAAAGCTACCAGGCTAATAAACTCATATGGCATTATCAAGTGTACCATTAATACAAAAAAAAAAAGAGCCGATTTTGAAATAAATCCAGCTTTCTATATACAGAATGTAGAGTATCTCATGCAGCAAAGTGACCACAATTGACCAGTTACACCGAATCTGTTTTAGGATGACCTTTTGTGGCAAGATTAAACATTCTTGGCATATATTTAGGACTAACTTAAGCTTGCTTGCTTTCTAACAGTATTGACTATACACGTCAAAAAAGCAAAATTGTGTAAATGAGCCTTTGTTAATGAATAAATGGAATTATATTAGTGTCTTATATACCAAACAGTACAAATAATATGTAGTTTCCAGAAAATGAGTATACCTTCTTACAGTAAAGTTCTTAATCAAAGTGCTGGATAGCACCTGTGGAAAGTTTGCATCGGTAGATGTGTATTATTTCAAATAGGTTGTAGATGTGTATTATTTCAAATAGGTTGTAGATGTGTATTACTTCAAATAGGTTGTAGATGTGTATTATTTCAAATAGGTTGTAGATGTGTATTATTTCAAATATGTATTTCATCACAGCTTTGGTGTTTTCCCTAAACCATTGTCTCATCAGCAATTATCAAAAACCATTTTTTTTCATATGTTTGTCATGTAAAATTTTGATAATTTCTATTGCAACATTAAACTGTAGATTTAAAATAATCAAATATACAAAAAGCTCTGTTAATTTCTTTCCGTGCCCATCCCATGTAAAGGGCCTGTGATTAAGTATTTTTTATTGATTAAGGTCCTTCATATTTGTTTTTAGTAAATTGTATTATTACTAATTAAGCAATTGGTTTTCTTTTTTGAATTGTTATATATTGAACAAACTCGGACTACGATTAGTAGATTGTGTGGTTAACGGGTTTTTCCGACTTTTTATTTTTTTTACTTAATACAAGAGAGTCTCCCAAACAAATCTCCCATAATAAGTCATTCCCATGGTCACCTGACATTGGGCAAAGTCCAGTACAAATTGGTTTGGTCTAGTAAAGTGATATGCATAAGTGACGCCTAGGGATTAACCCTGTATGTCATTCAAATCTGGTTTTGGGGTGGGGATCTCGACCGTTTACAAGTTTTCAAAAAGAAGGGGGTGGGGGTGACCCCGGTTAACTTCCCCTATATTTCATTTGATTTGTTTTATTGTCCCATACATGAATATATATGGTTTAGGGGTGGGGATCTCGACCGTTTACAAGTTCTCAAACAGGATGGGGTGGGGGTGACCCCCAGGGACTCCCCCTATATTTCATTTGATTTGATTTATTGTCCCATACAAGAATATATATGGTTTAGGGGTGGGGATCTCGACCGTTTACAAGTTCTCAAACAGGAGGGGATGGGGGTGACCCCCAGGGACTCCACTATATTTCATTTGATTTGTTTTATTGTCCCATACAAGAATATATATGGTTTCAAGGTGGGGATCTCGACCGTTTACAAGTTCTCAAACAGGAGGGGGTGAAGTGACCCAGAGGGACTCCCGCTATATTTCATTTGATTTGTTTTATTATCCCATACATGAATATATATGGTTTAGGTGTCGGGATCTCGACCGTTTACAAGATAAAAGCCCATTCTCAAATTGAAGGAGGGGGTGACCCCAGGGACTCAACCTATATTCGATTTGATTTGTTTTATTGTCCTGTGATCATTACTGAAGACCGCGTGTGTCTATCACTTACTGTTTTCAAGTTATAGTCATTCGAAAATAAAAAAAAATAAAATCCCATAAGGTTCTTTAGTTAATCCCTCCCTTCAGTAGGCCCCTCAAAATACCCATAAATAGACCCCAAGAAGAAAAATAATAAGAACTGAGCAAAAACAATAAGTCTCCAAACTTCGTTTTGGAGACTTAATAACAAGTAGTATATACGAATTTTGTTATAGTCCGATTTTGTAATAGGCCGAGTTTGTTATAGTCCGAGTCTGTTATGGACCGAGATGAGATACCAGGTTACTTTCGATACACTCGGGCTTAACGTCTTTAATAAACATTTGTAAAATCGTAGTAAAAAATAGCGTCGAAAAATGTTCATTCATGAAATATTTTAAACACGGTATTTACTTTCTCTTCAACCGGCGGACGAGAGGAAACCCCTGAAACCGGGATTATTGAAATCCCGTCGGGAGGTACACATATATGGATCTCTGACGCATGTCTTTGGAATACCGATAAAAGCATAACGTAGAAACTGCTGTCTCGTGTAGATGTGTATTACTTTTAATTACTGCGCAGCGCAGATCCGCGAAGTAGTGTTTATGATAACCGTTTTCAAAATGAAGTTGAATTCATTTGAATTATCGATGAACATTCAGTACATTTTAATTCAAGCTGTAAGCTAATCAAAATAAAAGTAACTCAAAATTTCAAAAGCATCTTCCTAGAATTAGTATTCAAACACTAGTACTACATTACCTAGAAGTAGAACACACATCCTATAGTAAGATAGTCTGTCCAACTTCCGGTTTGAGGCATAGCAAGCTATAGCAAACTTTCCAAAAATCACACTCAATAATGCAACTCACAATCAAGATAAACGAGACATTTAAGGACAATTCATTTCCTTAACAAATTTGTAGCAAGCTTAATTTCAAAACTAAGGGGCAATCACATACCATAAGGGGAATAAAGGCAGACAACTCTATGGCCAAAAGAAACTAGAGGCTCTCAAGAGCCTGTGTCGATCACCTGATTCTTATTTGGTTTTGGAAATCATGTAAAAATAGATTAAAATCATAACAGATACCCTAATAATAAGTGAGGCCAAATTTGGTTTAATATTGGTCCTGTAATTTAATAAAAAAACCTGGTGGCCATCTTGAACAGTAAATCGGCAACAAAGTAGCAACACTTCATCAGCACCTCATAAGAAACATTTATGCCATGTTTTGGTTTCATTCCATTCAGTGCACCTCTAGAAGAAGCATTTGTATGTATTTCCCATAGGGTCTTATGTTAAAGGAAGTCCCCCCATTGGCGGCCATCATGGATGAAGGATCAGCTTCAAAGTAACAAAACTTAGTCAGCACCTCATAAGGAACATTCATGCCATGTTTGGTTTCAATCCATTCAGTATGTTGTTCTCTAAAAGAAGATATTTGTATGTATTGTCCATAGGGTCCAATGTTAAACATTGTCCCCATCTGGCGGCCATCATGGATGAAGGATCAGCTTCAAAGTAACAACACTTGGTCAGCACCTCAAAAGGAACATGCATGCCATGTTTGGTTTCATTCCATTCAATGGTTCTCTAAAAGAAAACATTTGTATGCATTTCTCATAGGGTCCTATGTTAAACTAAGTCCTCCGCTGGCGGCCATCTTAGATTATGGATCGGCTTCATAGTAACAACACTTGGTCAGCACCTCATAAGGAACATTCATGCCATGTTTGGTTTCATTGCATTCAGTGGTTCTCTAAAAGAAGACATTTGTATGTATTTCTCATAGGGTCCCATGTTAAACTAAGTCCTCCCGCTGGCGGCCATCTTGGATTATGGATCAGCTTCAAAGTAACAACACTTGTCAGCACCTCATAAGGAACATTCATGCCATGTTTGGTTTCATTCCATTTAGTGGTTCTCTAGAAGAAGTTCAAAATGTAAAAGTTAACGACGACGACGGACGACGCCGGACGACGGACGCCAAGTGATGAGAAAAGCTCACTTGGCCCTTGAAGGGCCAGGTGAGCTAAAAAAGAGCCATGATACGCCAGTCGCTTTTTCAACAAATAAAGTTCCATAACTCCTCAACATCATATCAGAAATTTATTAAAAACTAAAGGGAGCTCATTTCAAAAGATATAAGCCAGTCACCAAAGTTTCATGAAAACTGTTCACAGCATTTTTGAGTTATTTTCCCCAAACTAGAAAATCCCCCCTTTTTTATGAATAACATCCCACAACTCAGAAACGTAAAATCTAAAATTTATAAAAATCGAAAGTGAGCTTACACCTAAGTTTCATGAAAATTGGTTAAAGTGTTTTTGAGTTATTGTCCAACATGTTGACGACAGATGGACAGACGGACAACGGTATACCATAATACATCCCGTATAAGGGCTATAATAAAAGAAGAATGTGTCATTGCTCAAGTTTCAAACAAATGAAAATGGGATGGGCGGTCAAGGGTAACACTTAATGCCCCTGTCGCCCATGGCAGAGCATATAAACTATTAAAAAGACGAATAACAGGCCACAAAACACAACACAGAAATCTACAACTTGAGCAATACATACCCAACCAAAATCCAGGGGTGAACTCAGGTGCTACAGAACGGTAAGAACCAATATCCAGGGGTGAACTCTTGTGCTACAAAAGGGTAAGAACCAAAATCCAGGGGTGAACTCATGTGCTACAGAAGGGTAAGAACTAAATCCAGGGGTGAACTCAGGCGCTACAGAGGGGTAAGAACCAAAATCCAGGGGTTAACGCTGGTGCTACAGAAGGGTAAGAACCAAAATACAGGGGTGAACTACGGTGCTACAGAAGGATAAGAACCAAAAGCTAGGGGTGAACTCAGATGCTACAGAAGGGTAAGAACCAAAACCCAGGGGTGAACTTAGGTGCTACTGAAGGGTAAGTACCAAAATATAGGGGTGAACTCAGGTGCTACAAGACTGTAAGAACCAAAATCCAGGGGTGAACTCATGTGCTACAGAAGGGTAACTACCAAAATCCAGGGGTGATTTTAGGTGCTACATAAGGGTAAAAACCAAAATCCAGGGGGTGACTCAGGTGCTACAGAAGGGTAAGTACCAAAACTCAGGGGTGAACTCAGGTGCTACAGAAGGGTAAGTACCAAAATCCAGGGGTGAACACAGGTGCTACATAAGGGTAAGAACCAAAATCCAGGGGTGAACTCAGGTGTACAAAAGGGTAAGAACCAAAATCCAAGGGTGAGCTCAGGTGCTACCAAAGGGTAAGAACCAAAATCCAGGTGTGAACTCAGGTGCTACAGAAGGGTAAGTACCAAAATCCAGGGGTGAGCTCAGGTGCTACAGAAAGGTAAGAACCAAAATCCAGGGGTGAACTCAGGTGCTACAGAAGGGTAAGTACCAAAATCAAGGGATGAACTCATGTGCTACAGAAGGGTAGGCAATTCCTGCTCCACTAGAGGCCTCTGTTGTGTTACTCATTGCAAGTATAAATTGTGTCAAGCTGAATTTTAAAGTGCAGATAAATTTACAATAGAAAATGATAAAATGACAATGACATATTGAACATAATTAAAGGATAACATTGCACATAGTATGAATATTCATAGCATTTACTGTGGATTCAGTTTTATTCGTGGTGGTATCAATTTTTGTTGGTTTTGTGAGTATAATTTAAGCAAAAATTTAAAAGTTTAACAAAGTATAAATTGTCTATAGGCTAGCATACAAACTTTTGCAAAACCACAAAATCAAAAATACCACTTTTCCTCAATCCACTAAAATATGTACTCATGAAAATAACTGAATCTACATTGAGTAGAATTTTAGAAAGACAACAGGCATTAGCATTTTTTCTAATGGTATACATTCTATAATGGAAATCAACAAGAACAAAATGTTTATTCTCTAACACACACCATCTTGTCACATCTGTCCAAAATAATGTATCTTGTCAAGTGTAAATGTCGAAGAAAAGCATAAAACTGACTCTGGACATCAACTTTTGTACAAATGATCCATTAAATAAAATAAACACATGTGTGCCAGTCTGTACAATGATTCACTGTATTTTTTATTTTATTTCATAGTGTTACTCTTTTTAAAATATGATGCAGTACTAAAATTAAACCCAATTAATTCTGGATTGTATGTCACCAAACTAAACAACATGGGGGCCTTGGCAGCCGAAAGGTCTAAGTAGTTCAACTTTGCTTTAGGGAGTACCTCTGTAGTTTTGCATAAAAAATACAAATGCAAGCAGACCCATTTTTCACCTCTATTTCAATATAAAAAGAATTTTCTTATATTTCATTTTATAAATTGATTTAATCTATCCACAGTTTTTATAGACAAGTTCACACATTCCATCCACTTGTTGTTTTCAGGGTTTGTGTATGTCCTAAAATTTTCTGTGAACTGCAATACCATCTTTAAACACCTAAAAAATTTATTAAATATTTAAATTTATATAAACAAACCATTCAATATTGTTACATTCACCAACTGACAGGAGAAGTCCTGGTGACCACATTTCTGCACCCCTGTCAGCACTTGGGGCATATATTGGTATCTATAAAAATAAGAAGATGTGGTATGATTGCCAATAAGACAACCATCCACCAGAGACCAAGTGACATAGAAGTTTACAACTATAAGTCACTGTGCAGCCTTCAACAATAAGCAAAACCTATACCGCATAGTAAGGTATAAAAGGCCCCGAAATGACAAATGTAAAGCAATTCAAACGAGAAAACTAACGACCTGATTTGTGTATAAAAATACAAACTAAAAAAACAAATATGTTAAATATGTAATTACAAGACTAAACATAAAATTTAGAATCAAATAGTTCATCTATTATTATCTATTAGAAAAACTGAAAGTATTTTTTGAGAAAACATATTTTACTACAATGTTATTAAGATTTCCAGAATGAAAATTGATGATCTGAGACATTTTTTCTAGCAATGATAAAGACGTTTTTCCTTTATGCTGATTTAACCAATTACTTTTTCTAATTAGAATTTCCAATTTAATCATCGTGTAACAGAAAATTGCTTATGTCCTTCACATCTTTATTATCATATTGTCATACAAGACTGAACCAACTGACTTCAGAAATAATTAATAATTCATAAGTAATCATAATTTTAAATGGAACTTTGTACTTAAAACTTATATATATCAATTCATGCTAAGCATGTTTTAAACACCCCCTCTCCCCAACCCAAAAACTTCCCCAAAAAACTATACAAGAATGTGTTGCCATTGGATACAATGCTCACCTCAGGATCATAACCCTTGTTCAGCATATTTTTTATTGAAATTTCACATAATAATAAACATGTGTACAATTAGAATCAAGTTGATGTGATCATAATTTCATGGTAAACTTCCTAAAGGCAAGGTATACCTTATTTGACAATATTTTGGATTTTTGAGGATTTTGTATTTCTCTTAGAACTCATAGTACTGCATCTGAATATTGATACAATCAATCAGGTATAAACAATACCTACATAATTTTTTTGAAGATCAGATAAAATCGAGAATGGAATATGTCAAAGAGACAACAACCCGACCAAAGAGCAGACAACAGCCGAAGGCCACCAATGGGTCTTCAATGCAGTGAGAAAATCCCGCACCCGTAGGTTGTCCTCAGCTGACCCCTAAATAAAATTGTGTACTAGTTCAGTGAAAATGGACATCACACTAAACTCCAGAACATATAAATGAACTAAAATTAAAAAACATACATGCGGATATAATATTAATTGGGTTCTTAAACTTCTAAGATATGTTTGAAACTGGAAATCCTTAGTTCTCCAAGGATAGTTTTTGGAAGAATTTTTTCATCACTTAAGTTTGTACAGGTACATTTTTTAAAAATAAGGAGATGTGGTATGATTGGGGTATGATTGGGGGCTAGGATGAAATTTGAAAAAAAGGCAGGACAGGAGTTTTGAGAAAAAAAAAAGCAGGATGAGCAGCTTGGCAAAAAAAAGACGGATGACAATTTATGAAAAAAAAGTCAGGATAAACTAATAAAAAAAAGGCAGGACCGAATAGAGTGATAAATAAAAAGGTAGGACAGAGATTACAACTAAAAAAAAATGCAGGACAAAATTTTTCATCCTAGCCCCCCATAAAAATCAAATGGTAGCTCCCTAAATAAAAACTTGCATTTATTTTTATATATCAAAATCATTATTTTTCTGCGGCAAATATTAAAATTGCATTAATAAATAGCATATTTTGTCCTTTGATCAACAATCTTATTAAAAATAATCTCATAATTATGTAAAAGAACATAAAAAAAACTCTCATGCAAAGGTGTTTTTAGTGATTAAAATTGTTACAGTTCTGTAACTATTACATAACAGGAATTTATTTATGCTCATTGTAATTTGTACCATTCTCTTATGTTTGTCAGACTTAGCTGAACCAAATGACTTAAGCCATGATAATTAATTCATAAGAAATAATACTGTGGGTTTGTAATCAAAACTTTTTCATATTGATTTCACCGAGATGTCATTTGTTTTGTGAATATGCAATGAAGCTATAATGACTTTAAGTACCAGTGGTAAATATATACATGACAACAGTACGTCACAATATGAAACACCAACACATTAATTTAATATCCATATAAATGATAAATCTGTACCAGCTCTTATCAATAAAAAATTGATGATGTTGAACATCGGCTATACTAAGTAATACTTTAACCTATATATTTGACATTAAGTTTGATTTTTTTTAGATCTGTTCTTTCTAGTTGTTAATACCATAAATTCCCAAATTACTGTGATGTTTGTATTAATGGGAAAAATGCAACATAAAATTGAGAATGGAAATGGGGAATATGTCAAAGAAACAACAACCCGACCAAAGAGCAGACAACAGCCAAAGGCCACCAATGGGTCTTCAATGCAGCGAGAAAATCCCGCACCCGGAGGTGGTCCTCAGCTGGCCCCTAAATAAAATTGTGTGCTAGTTCAGTGAAAATGTTCATAATAAACACTCGCATTCATAATTTCAGTTGAGATTTTCATTCAAAAATTTTTGCAATTGCATTAATTAGACCTCACCTTTTTACCTGAGTAATAAGTGATTCACAATAATAAATGCATGCATTTATTTTCTGAAATTACAGTATTGTCATTGTTAAAAGACCACCCTAAAAATGGTTTTATTTGCGCTGAAATTCTTTGTAACGGCTTCCAATTAATCAACTAGAGGCTTCAAGGTAATTGTTCTGTACATTTGAATAATTTATGTATTATAACAAAAATTATATGTGTTTTTATACCTAATTGATTGTATCAATAGTCAGATGCAGTTCTATGAGTTCTAAGAGATACTAAATCCTCAAAAATCCAAAATACTATCAAAAGTTTGATTTGATTGGGGTTTCATCAACTAGAGGCTTCAAGGTAATTGTTCTGCACATTTGAATAATTTATGTATTATAACAATAGTGTATGTGCAGCAGCTTATTCCAAAAACATTTTAATATGTCATAGAATAAGTTGAATAATTTAGTTGTTATCCTCTGCTTATCTATGATGACTACATAAACACCTAAATGCTTAGTCAATAAGAAATCGACAACCAATCAATCAGAATTAGCGCAGGAGTTACTAATCACAACTAAATTAATCTGCCAGCTGATTGGCTCTCTAAACCAGAGGAGAACAATCAAAATCAAGGATTTAGGAAACAATTTTATAATAGTTAGATTTAAGGTCCTATCAAGTAGGACAGATCGATTACAGGGAGGGTCTGAATTATTCAGGATAGTCATAGAATTATACAAGTTTGTCATTTGGCTTACATGAGAAGTGCATACCGCTCATCAACTTGGATATTTCCCTAGAAACAAATACATACTCATGACCATGAAATGGAATAGTATGATGAGGATGATGGATGGCTGCTTCATGTCAAGTGTTAATATCAATATTCAGAACGAGAACATGTTAATGTAATCAGGCGCGTAGCTGCCTTTACGCAAAAAATCATTTGCTTGCACATTTTTTTCACAAAAAAAAATAATTCTGAAATTAAATTACGAATGAGTAGGAAGACAGGTCAACCGGGCTAACTATCCAGCTGACACTCCAAGTCAATATTGGAAGCGAGCCTTGTATTTTTCCTTTCTTGACTATTTCATTGAAGAACTCCCAGGACGTTTACTGGATAATTCTGATCGTTTTCAAGGCCAGAACCTTAATTTCAATTAAATACCTGCACGTTTGGAATCTTTGACAGCAGAGTGTATAGACAAAATATACGAAACATTTAGACACGACTTGACGGACAATCAAGAAACCTTCAACTCTGAGGTAAAGAGATGGCAGAGACGCTGGTCGGGTCCAGATGTTATAGAGTAGCCCAAATCTCTGATGTCTCTAGCAGTGACTAAAAAGAAACTATATCCTTCAATAGTTTGCAATCGTGTCAATCTTAGTTACAATGCCAGTAACTACATCAACTACTGAACGGTCATTTAGTGCATTACGGCGACTGAAAACTTATCCCCGTTCAACCATGGTATAGGACAGACTATATTCGTTGGCGCTCATACATGTTCACAGAGAAATGAATATCGACACCGAGAGAGTTCTGCGATCTTTTGCCTTGGCAAAAAATAGATATATGGACTTTGGATATTAACTTTACTTTAAGTCTTACATGAGTATTAACATTTAATAATACAGGCTCAATACAATAACCTTGAAAACATCTAAGATTTATATCCCTCACTTATAAGTCAAGACTTAAAAGTCGCCGTTTGATTTCGTATTCCCATTGTCCGTTCGTCCAATAGACTATTAATTCACCTTGGGTATCTGTGTCCCAAGTGACCTTCTACCGTTGTCGTAGAAACCTCAGGCTCCTTTGATTCGAAAATGACCAAAGTGAGAAACGCTACGGTCGGGTGTCTTGCAAGAAGCAGGACCTGCTTACCCTTCCGGAGCACTGGAGGTCGCCACATTTTTTTTCGGGGTTCGTGTTTTTTTTATCTGTATTTAGTTTTCAATATTGAATGTTTTTGTTTGTCCTTTTGTGTCTTATCTGTTCCCGGGTTGGTCATGTGTCCATTGATTGCCCTTCTATTGATAAACGCTTCGGTTGACTTGTCGACTGATCTTCCCGTTTTATAAAATTTATTTTATATTTGAAGACAACCATGTTAATAAGGAGTAATGTGAATTTCATAAGCATGGCATACCTGGAAAATGACCGAAAAATGATCATTTCCTGCATAAAAAGGTCCCAAAATATTTTTCGCATCGCTCCGCTCGGCGATACAAGACTTATGCTTGCACTTTATTTTAGGACAGCTACGCCCCTGGTAATATGAATATATACCCTGCTATGGTTTGACCAGGACAGGGTTCTAACCCACTTCCTCCTGCACTCGAGGCAATCACTCTACCACCAGACCACCAAGGTGGTTAATGGAGTAGTACAATAATCATTAAATTAAATTGACTGAAGTGCAATGATTTTGGTTGTAACTACAGTTATTTTGAATATAACTTACTTTATATGGGATTTTTCTTCAAATTTCTTTGTTTCTATTGTAACTATGTCACATGTGATCAACCATAAAATCAAATGTAAAGTCTGGTGAATTATAAAAGAACTGGAAGTACAAGTTAAATCATTAACATTATACATAATTCAATATTTTTTTAAAATTAAACAAATTACTATAGAATCCCTTTATTGATCATCTGATCTTGTAGTTTAAATATGTCAGTCATCATACATTTGGCCCTGAAACATCAAACATGAAAAAAAATCTAATGTTAATCTAAAAACTGGAATAAGTTTACTTAACCATGGCAAAATTAAAAGTTTTTTCTATTCAAATAAGGCTCTTAATGATTTTTTAATTCAATGGAAAATATTTTCATTTAGTAAGGTTGACAAGTTTTTTTCTATTCAAATAACTTTTTGATGATTTCTGAATTAAATGGCATTTTAAATTTCAAAGGTTTTCTAGGCCACTACTTTTTAATAGTTTTTTAAAATAAAAAAAAAAGATAAAACAGTTGAAACTCATTGGAGTTAAAGAATTATTTGAAATGGAAAGTATGAATATCTAATGAATGCTTGAAATTAGCAATGAAAATCATGAAACTAAGTTGTCTCAGCGCTTTGGGACAATAAGATAACTCTACCTACCATCTAATAAGCGATTGAAGATTATTTCTCTGACGGGAGCGTAATGTTTTATTTTTTAATTGTTCCTGACGAGTCTGAAGTGCTGTAAACACTTGAGTAATCACAGTTTCACATTCGGTTACTATTCTCAATAATAAATTAATCATTTCACCATCTTGATTTCCTGAACCTGAATCCTGTAAAAGAAAACAACGACTATACGGTATGGGTTTTTCTCATTGTTGAAGGCTGCATGGTTGCCTACAATTGCTTATGTCCACTTCATTTGAACTTCGGTGGATAGTTGTCTCATTGGCAATCATACCACATCTCCTTATTTTTACAAAAAAAACATAATTTTCCAATATAATAATTTCAAATTCTAGGACTACAACTGACTTTTTGGGCTTATTGAACTAATTGTGTTTACAAAACTATCACATTTGGTCTGAAATGCAAAGGAAATTTTTTTTGTGTTTTCTTCAGGCTAAAATGAATGTACCAGCAAACTAATCTAAATTCAGATCCTGTGTCTACACTTTGCCTACAAATTAAGGATCTGAGAACAATCCTGTCTAATTTCTGCTCTTATAATTAAAACATCAGCCAATGAAATTTCATCCTCTAAATTTTTGAAGGTGTGTTTGATTACAACAAAACCAGATGATCCTGAAAGGTCTTAAACAGAAAGTAGAATGGAGCATTGTCAGATCCTTGTAAGAGAATCGTGGCTACAGGATATGTATTGTAATGAGATTGGTGAAAAAGTTGACAATGTTACTTATTGAAGAACAAGTTGATCAAACCACATGTAACCATAGTAGGTACATCATGTCAAAATGAATTTATTCAGGAAATACTGTTTTGTTTTACAATAAATTAAAATATCATGCAGTTTTACTTTTGATAAATTGAACAAAGATTAAAACCAAAAACTATTTTTGAGAGTTTAGACTCATTCTTGACAACATGCAACATAAATAACTAGAGGCTCTCAAGAGCCTGTGTCGCTCACCTGACTCTACTTTGGTTTTGGAAATTATGTAAAAATAGATAAAAATCATAACAGATACCCAAATAATGATTGACGCCGAATTTGGTTTAATATTGGCCCTGTAATATAATAAGAAATCATGGTGGCTATCTTGAAAAGGTAAGGGCAACACTTCATCACCACCTCATAAGGAACACATATGCCACGTTTGGTTTCATTCCATTCAGTGGTTCTCTAAAAGAAGACATTTGTATGTATTTCCCATAGAGTCCTATATTAAACTAAGTCCCCTGCTGGCGTCCATCTTGGATTATGGATCGGCTTCAAAGTAACAACACTTGGTCAGCACCTCATAAGGAACATTCATGCCATGTTTAGTTTCATTCCATTCAGTGGTTCTTTAAAAGAAGACATTTGTATGTATTTCCCATAGGGTTCTATGTTAAACCAAGTCCCCCGCTGGCGGCCATCTTGGATGATGGATCAGCTTCAAAGTAACAAAACTTGGTCAGCACCTCATAAGGAACATTCATGCCATGTTTGGTTTCATTTCATTCAGTGATTCTCTAAAAGAAGACATTTGTATGTATTTCCCTTAGGGTCCTATGTTAAACTAAGTCCCCTGCTGGCGTCCATCTTGGATTATGGATCGGCTTCAAAGTAACAACACTTGGTCAGCACCTCAAAAGGAACATGCATGCCATGTTTGGTTTAATTCCATTCAGATGTTCTCTAAAAGAAGACATTTGTATGTATTTCCCATAGGGTCCTATGTTAAACTGAGTCCTCAGCTGGCGGCCATCTTGGATTATGGATCGGCTTCAAAGTAACAACACTTGGTCAGCACCTCATAAGGAACAATCATGCCATGTTTGGTTTCATTCCATTCAGTGGTTCTCTAAATGAAGACATTTTTAAATATTTCACATAGGGTCCTATGTTAAACTAAGTCCCCCGCTGGCGGCCATCTTGGATCATGGATCGGCTTCAAAGTAAAAACACTTGGTCAGCACCTCATAAGGATCATTCATGCCATGTTTGGTTTCATTCCATTCAGTGATTCTCTAAAAGAAGACATTTGTATGTATTTCCCATAGGATCCTATGTTAAACTAAGTCCCCTGCTGGGGCCATATTTGATGATGGATCGACTTAAAAGTAACAACACTTGGTCAGAACCTCATAAGAAACATTCATGCCATGTTTGGTTTCATTCCATTCAGTGGTTCTCTAAAAGAAGACATTTGTATGAATTTCCCATAGGGTCCTATGTAAAACTAAGTCCCCCACTGGCGGCCATCTTGGATAATGGATCGGCTACAAAGTAACAACACTTAGTAAGCACCACATAAGGAACATTCATGCCATGTTTGGTTTCATTCCATTCAGTGGTTCTCTAGATGAAGACATTTTTAATTATTTCCCATAGGGTCCTATGTTAAACTTAGTCCCCTGCTGGCAGCCATCTTGGATTATGGATCGGCTTCAAAGTAAAAACACTTGGTCAGCACGTCATAAGGATCATTCATGCCATGTTTGGTTTCATTCCATTCAGTTGTTCTCTAGAAGAAGTTCAAAATGTAAAAAGTTACCGACGACGACGACAGACGATGGACGCCAAGTGATGAGAATAGCCCTTCGGGCCAGGTGAGCTTAAAAGAGAGATGGGTAAACATCAACCCTAATATACACAAAAAACAAAGCCCAAAAAAAAGTTGTTCTTATATACATTAATTTTAATTCAAGGAAAATGCTTTTCCATATTTTAAAAATAAAATGCTCCACTGGGCGCAGCTTGATACGACCGCAGAGGTCCAACCCTGAACAGTTGGGGTAAGTATGGACACAACATTCAAGCTTGATACAGCTCTGAATTTGGATTGTGATTAAATATTTGACACAGCATAGGTTTCTGACACAGAATGAATGTGGTCTAAGAATTTAAAATTTTTTAATTTACCTATTATGGTCCAATATCCAAAATCTAAATACATACACGGTTAGATTCAGCATATCAAAGAACCCCAAGAATTCAATTTTTGTTAAAATCAAACTAAGTTTAATTTTGGACCCTTTGGACCTTAATGTAGACCAATTTGAAAACGGGACCAAAAATTAAGAATCTAAATACATGGTTAGATTCAGCATATCAAAGAACCCCAATATTTCAATTTTTGATGCAATCAAACCTTATCATTATTATTTGCTTTTATATATAAATCAAAAATAACCAACTTGAAATGGAAAATTTTAAAGAAAAAAAAAAGGAAAATAAGGGAAAAAAAATCCCCCCTCCCCAATTTTTTGAACCCCCTTATGATTCATCACCCCCAAACTCAATCCCAGCCTTCCCTTTGTGGTATGGTAGCTTGCAGTACAATTTCAGAGAGATCCATACACTTGAACACAAGTTATTGTCTGGAAACTGTAAAAATGCTTGTTTTTTGGCCCTTAATTCCTAAACGTTTAGGGCAATTACCCCCAAACTCAAACCCAGCTTTCCCTTTGTGATATGGAACCTTGTAGTACAATTTCATAAAGATCCATACACTTACACACAAGTTATTGTCCTGAAACTAGAAAAATGCTTGTTTTTTGCCCCTAATTCCTAAAATTTTGAGGCAATTACCCCCAAAATCAATCCCAGCCTTCCCCTTGTGGTATGGTACCTTGCAGTACAATTTCAGAGAGATCCATACACTTGAACACAAGTTATTGTCTGGAAACTAGAAAAACGCTTATTTTTGGCCCCTTTTTGGCCCCTTATTCCTTAACGTTTAAGGCAATTACCCCTGAACTCGATTCCAGCTTTCCCTTTGTTATATGGAACCTTGTAGTACAATTTCAGAAAGATCCATACACTTACACACAAGTTATTGTCATGAAACTAGAAAAATGCTTGCTTTTTGCCCCTTTTTTTGCCCCTAATTCCTAAATTTTGGAGTCAATTACCCCCAAAATCAATCCCAGCATTCCCTTTGTGATATGGAACCTTGTGGTACAATGTCAGAGAGATCCATACACTTACACACAAGTTATTGTCTGGAAGTTACAAAAATGCTTATTTTTGGCCCCTTTTTGGCCCCTAATTCCTTAACTGTTGGTACCATAACCCCCAAAATCAATCCCAGCCTTCCTTTTATGGTATTGAATCTTATAGTAAAATTTCATAGAGATCCATTCACTTAAACTAAAGTTATTGTGCGAAAACCAATGTGTCTTCAGACGAGGACGAGGACGACGCCAACGTCATACCAATATACGACCGCAAATTTTTTTGCGGTCGTATAAAAAAATTGCTTTGATTAGTTTTTTTCCATATAAACTTTATACATTGCACATGCTTACAGGTGATATGGGGTATATAATGGTCAATGTAGCAGAAACTCCAAGAAAGAAAAAAAAATAAACACAAAGATAATTAGAGGTCAACCTATGGTTTAACAATAGACAAGTGTCTATAGAACTGTCAAGTTCAAAACTGACCTGTCTTAAATAGCTGCACAATTTTCCTTACCTTATATCTGAAAAGAGTCTGTATTTTTATATTTAACATTTCAACAATGAATTCACTAGCATCAGCAAATGGTGAAAATACTCTGAAATAGAAAAATAGAGAATTCCATTAATAACAACAAAAGTGACATGCAAATCTTTTACATGAATGTTGTATACAAAAAACTTGTCTTTTAAATTTTTTATCAATAGATTAATTGAGGACAAGGATGATTTGTCCAAATCAAACCTTTGATTTTGGTCTGGTAAGTTTTCATACTAAACATGTGATGTTCTGGCGTAAATTCCTGGCACAAGTGACCTTTTATTCTGTTCTGTAATATTCATTACTATTTGTATCTAACCAATTAAGATCCTTTAGTGAGCAAGCTCATATACCAAGAGTAATCCTCAATTAAATGGTGAAGAGCTTATTGTGACCTGCTGGCATACCAGTAGTTTATTTTGTGTTACAATTTTAGAAATTAATAATTGTCTTAAAAATAATGAAATCTCTATCTTGGTGACAGGAATTAAAATTGCACTCAAATTACGGTAGCTTCGATCTTGACCTCAGATGTATAGAGCTAAAATCAATAGGGATTGATCTACATCCCTTTAAATATAACCATATATTCAAGTTTGATTCCAATCCCATGCGATTTATCATTAGGACACCCCTTTTCTGCACCTATTTCTGTTTAATTTTAGTAACTATGACCTAGAGGTATTGCCCTTCAGAATCAATAGGGATCTCCTTCACAATTTAAGTAACCATATATGCAATATTTGGTTAAAATTTCTTGTAGTGTTATCGAGAAACTCTTTACCGTCACAAATTTGGTCTAATTTTTGTAACTATGACATTGATCTCAGATGTGATTACCTATAAATTGATAAGGATTATCCTTTCATAATATACATCCAAGTAAAGTTGCTATCTGATCTAATGTATATTATTCAGCATCCAGAAACCTCTTTCCTGCATAAAGTTCATTCTACTTTTAGTAACTTTGACCTCAACCTTTCACTTAGTGACCTTAACATTGACAGGGATCTTCCTCTTGCTATATGTGACCATATATCTAAGCTAGGTTGAAATCTGATATCAAGTAATTAAGTTAGCATCCAGAAGCCAAAATGACTGAACAAGTGGTCAAAAACTACAGTAAATTCAGAAATTATTGCGATGTTTTTATTATTGCGAAAAATGCGTCAGGGTTGTAATCGCAATAATTTAAACTCGCATTTGGGATTTTTTTATATGAATGAAGCGGAATTTTTCTCAGTATCGCAAAAATAATAATCGCATTTTGGTCTAAAATGACAAAATCGCAATAATAAATGCACGCAATAATTTCTGAATTTACAGTATATACTTTGTACAACAATGAAATGACATCTAGTGGTCTTTGACATAAGCTCTTGATTGCCCCAGTCTATAGAGATAACAATATACTGTAAATTCAGAAATTATTGGTTGCATTTATTATTGCGATTTTTAAAGAATGGACAAAAACGCAAGATTACTTATTGCGATTTTGGAAAAAGGAGCATACTGATATAAATACATCAGATATCAGAATGAGAGTTCTTATTATAGTGATACTCACTAAGTCGCATTATTCCCATTAATAAACAATAATGTGTCCATAGTACACAGATGCCCCACTCGCACTATCATTTTCTATGTTCAGTGGACCGTGAAATTGGGGTAAAAACTCTAATTTGGCATTAAAATTAGAAAGATCATATCATTACTATTTGTATCTAATCAAGTTGATTGGACTTCAACTTCATCAAAAGCTACCTTGACCAAAAACTTTAACCTGAAGTGGGACAGATGGACAGACGGACGAACGAACAGACGCAGACCAGAAAACATAATGCCCCTACTACTATCTTAGGTCGGGCATAAAAACTCTCAAAAATTTCTGACTTTACAGTATCTAACATCATTGCAAAATTCTCAAAAAACATGGAAGGAAAAAAAAGAGGAAGATACCAGAGGGAGAATCAAATCTTACTTGTCGAAGAGAGACAGACAAAATTATGGAAAAAAAGACAAAAAGACAAACAACAGTCTATAAAACACTTCATAAAAATAAAGATTGAGCAATGCAAACCTTAACAAAAAGCCAGGGTGGTACCAGGTGCTCCAGAAGAGTAAGTGGATCCTGCTCCATGAATGACATGCCTCTTGTTGCTCATGGTAAGTTCAAATTTTGTTTTCATTTGGTGATGTCTCAGTTGAAAAAAGAAATCGCCAATTGGAAGGTATCTGTGGTCTTTTACGACAGGTAATGTCAACCAACTCATGATGACAGATATTAAACTTTCAAAAGGATGACTTCAACTTTACCACTAGAAACCTTTGGTTCAATAGCTTCCTTGTTAGCAGCAACCCTCTATCAAGAAAATCCTTATAGGAAACACAAGCTATGGAATATTGTATCAACTGGGAGATATGCACTCCATATGCAGATGCTGCTAGAATGTTGCTCAATGATCATTGGCATAAATTCTTGACTTGGGACAGGCAAATATACAGTTGGCTCCAAAATGCTACTTTCCTTAAGTAAAGGAGTTATAGTATATACTCCAATGAGACAGTAACCGAAATAACACTAGAAACAATAAATTGCTTTGCCAAGCGCAGCTGGATACAACCGCAGAGGTCCAACCCTGAACAGTTCGGGCAAAAATGGATGCAATATTCGCGCTTGATACAGGTCTGAACTTGGATTGTAATTAAATATTTGACACATAAAAGATTTCTGACACAGAATAACTGTAGTCAAAGAACTTAGAATTGGTTACTGTAAAAACAGAAATTATTGCGTGCATTTATTATTGTGATTCTGTCATGTTAGACCAAAATGCGACTATTATTTTTGCGATACTGAGAAAAAATCTGGTTCATTCAAATAAAAAAAATCCAAAATGCGAGTTTAAATTATTGCGATCACAATCCTGTCGCAATTTTCGCAATAATAAAAACATCGCAATAATTTCTGAATTTACAGTATATGATTTGAATTTATATTCAATTTTTTGCTTTTGTGCAATACACTTTGCTGTTGCTATTTGACCCCCCCCTCCCCCACAAAAAAAAAAAAAAAAAAATTACCCCCCTTTTTTTTTTGCTTTTGTGCAATACACTATGCTGTTGCGTATAACCCCCCCCCCCCCCCCCCCCCCCCCGACACACACACACCTGTTTTTTGCAAAAAAATATTTGAAGAATTTTTCTTTTCAATTTCTGAAATCTGAAATGAGAAAAAATTGACCCCCAACAATTTCTTTTTACCCCCCTCCCCCTTTTTCCCCCAAAAAAATTCTATTCCTCAAGATATGCTCATAATCTCAATTCAAATTTCCAATGGTTGTTTGCAACCATAATTACCCATTTGAATTTACCATAGTGCTAACTTAATCTATTTTATAACAGAATTTAAAATATGGTGTCAAATCTTTCATATGGATTTTCATTTGCAGATATTTTTACTGGTCTTCCTTTATAAATATGCATTTCTTTAAACATAATTCAAAAGCAGTGTAAGGGAGGTAATCAAAACGTTGTATTTGGATTACCTCCCTTACACTGCTTTTAAATTGTCTTAATTGTTCATAAACCATTACTTTATACATAATTTAAAAGCAGTATAAGGGAGGTAATTCAAATGATGTACATGTATTTGAATTACCTCCCTTACACTGCTTTAAATTATGTTTTGTACTAAATCATTTGTCCATTAACCAGGACACCCTTGTTTTTCCCCCTTTTTTGCCCCTAATTCCTAAACGGTTTGAGCCATAACCCCCCAAAGCAAATCCTAACCATCCCTTTGTGGTATGGAAATTTCTGGTATAATTTCAGAGAGATCCATACACCGTTCCACAAGTTATTGTCTGGGAACTAGAAAAATGCTTATTTTTGGCCCCTAATTCCTTAACTGTTGGTACCATAGCCCCCAAAATCAATCCCAACCTTCTTTTTGCGGTATTGAACCTTATGGTAAAATTTCATAGAGATCCATTCACTTAAACTAAAGTTATTGTGCGAAAACCAATGTGTCTTTGGACGACGACGACGAGGCCAACGTCATACCAATATATGACCGCAAAAATTTGTAGCGGTCGTATAAAAATCCAACAAGAGGTCAACATATGACCTTCAACAAAAAACAAGCTTCTTTAGAATATGGCAAACTCTAAATTACCTAGGACAAATGGAAAAAATTCAAAGATACCATATCAAACTGACTAAATGACCAAAAAAAAGAAGAAAAAAAAGACAACTAAAGACTTAGCAAAGGCACATGAATTTGGAAGAATGAACCTTTCTTTTTTTTGAGATCTCAACCCTCCTATTTCAATCTTATTACCAGTGAAAATGAAAGATACATCAAAGAACTGAGATTTCAACACTCCTATTTCAACCTTGATCAGTGGGATGCTCAAAGATACATCAAAGAACTGAGATCTCAACACTCCTATTTCAACCTTGATCAGTGGGATGCTCAAAGATACATCAAAGAACTGAGATCTCAACACTCCTATTTCAACCTTGATCAGTGGGATGCTCAAAGATACATCAAAGAACAGAGATCTCAACACTCCTATTTCAACCTTGATCAGCGGGATGCTTAAATATACATCAAAGAACTGAGATCTCAACACTCCTATTTCAACCTTGATCAGTGGGATGCTCAAAGATACATCAAAGAACTGAGACCTCAACACTCCTATTTCAACCTTGATCAGTGGGATGCTCAAAGATACATCAAAGAACAGAAATAGACATCATCACAGGAAAAGGAAATATGGTATAATTTATAACAAATTTTATTTTACGTTCATGTGGAGATTTAACTCAAGTCTTTCCATTGTGCAAGATAATTAGATATTATTACCTGTTCAGGACTTCCTGCATTGTCTTTCTAATATTCCATTTATTACATAACTGATTGATTATAGCTGTCGTTTCTTTTGTAATTAAATCATTTTCTTGAAAATTAGAATCAATGATTTCCTTGTCATTCCAAAGTGTTCTGAAAATATCAAAAGAATATCTAATACAACAAAGATATAAATAAGGATATAAACGCTATTGGTTTGGGATGCGACTCAAGATTCTTTTCCCTTGCAGATGAAATTCAAAGTTGGAATTGACCTTTTTCACAGGTGATTTGTCTCCTAAAGTAAAAAAAGTATTGCACAACGAAAATTGATTTTAAAACACAGAGTAAAAGGTTGTAAAATTGCTTGACTGAATTCAAGAAGTTTGAAATCAAGGGAAACTGTTTTTGTGTTTCAATAACAGATATTCATCAATAAAATTTAATATTTCATAGTTTTTGTGTGTGACATTTAAGGCTATAAATCATTTAAATTGAACATTTCATGGCAACCATATTTTTTGAATTTAAAATGTAAACAAAAAATGCATAAATGATAAGCAAACAAAAGAAAGGGAAACCATTTCATTATAATCAATGTACATCAAACATTTTAATGTTGTTTGAATATTGATTTGTTACTTTAAAAATTATTCCTAAACCTTCTAAAGCACAATAAAATCATTACTGAAAAATTATCTAATTATTAACCGTCAATTTATATTTCATACTTGGTATAAAGCTGCATATTTTTTTATCATGGTGAAAAGCATCACTGAAACTGATTTTTAAAAGAAATTACTTAACATGGCCTAATCTAGGATTTTGAAGAAGTACCTTTAATTGAGATAGTGGTCAGCTTCTTAGAGAAGATGATTTCCATTACCATTATGTTTCATTTAAACATATGTACAATGTAATTGTCCATTTGATTTAAAAGTCAAATTAAATTTACGAAGTTAGCCTCATTTGTTTCTACCCTATTCTTATTTATTGCAATAAAAAAGTTCATAAACACTTATTTCAGTATGTCTGTAATGATTTGTTTATTCAAGAAACTGAATTTGACTTCACAATGTCATGATTGTCTTGTTTACAAATAACAACCATCTATTTTGTGTTTTTCTGAAATTTATTGCGAACCAAATGATACTTTTCCACAGATTCACTTGAAGGCTACCTGTCGATTTAAACTTTTGTAAGTTCTTTTGTCCCATTGAATAAATACAATAGCTATTGTCCTCTGTGTAGTTTATTAATAATAATAATAATAATAAATTCTTTATTTAAAGAGGGTAAACGCAGTTAGTTACAATACAGTTACAATATTCACTGGGACCTTTAAATTTATTCTAAGAGAAATCTATCACTCACTGATTAATTTACCTGAGTAAAAAATTATCTTATAAATAGACGAAAATACATGTTTTATACTCAAAAACTGCATGTGATGTTGTGCTTATTCAATATCAATAATATATTTTCAATCTGTTCAATAAAAACACTTATTTAATCATAAAAAGTTGATTTCTGACAAAATTTATATCATTAGTCCTATTGAAATTTGCATTTTTTTGTTTTTGTTTGTTTTGTAATAGAAGGTATAATTTGAGCATCATAATTTTCCAGTCTTTATTTGTCAAACACAAAAAAATTTTTTTTTAAATAGGAACAATGTTGAAAGTTTTGTCAGAAATCAACAGAACCACTGTTTACTTTCAACAGATTGAAAATATATTATTAATATTGAATAAATACAACATCACATTCAGTTTTTGAGTATAAAACATGTACTTTCGTCTATTTAAAAGATTTTTTTTTTCTGTGGAAAAATATCATTTGGTTCGCAATAACATTCAAATATTGTCTCTGGATTAAAAAGACAACCAAATATTTTTATTACTCTAATCTTTTCATGCATCAATCTCATCAAATCTAAAATTGTTTCACTCATGTAGAGGCAATTTCCTGGCTTAAAATGTGAATAGAAATAGTATTTGTTTTTAAATCCCCAATGCTTTGATGACATTGAAAATTCAGCTATGTTAATTTTTCTTCTTTTAAAAATTGATTGCTTTAGTGTCTTAATAACAGCTGTTCTGATGAGCATACTGTAAGCTGGATTTTTTTTAATATTCAATACCATGTAAATTTTCAAGCAACTTTATAAAGATGATTAAATTATCAACTGGAAACCATGACATATATTTTTCTGGCAAATTGACAGTACAACCATACATGAAGAATAGAAAATTAATATCAAAATAAACTTTCCCTGATGAAATGGTGTATATATTATGGTTAAATTATTGAACACCCAGTGATACAGACTTATATCTGTCATTTAAAGACACTAGATACAAGTAAAGGTTTTACTTTTTTGAAAATCAATTCCATAACAAAGGAACATCCAATGTCAGTTTTACAAACAACAAAACAAGCATTTTATTATTCATTATACATGTATAAAAAATTGGTAAATAATTCTTTCAATCCAAAAAGTTTGAAGGCAAACAAATTGACAAATACATAAGCAATGGATGTTTTTCATGCATTATCTCTTTCTTCTATCAATTTTTTTAATATACACTTATTTCGCATAGGATATTACAAAAAAATGTTAGAAATAAGATTTTCATCAAGGAAATTCATGTAAGATAATAGTGTCGCCCGGCGTCTTTTTGTACAAAAGGGAAGGCTTCAAAAGTTATTAGTATGGAGGAAAGTTTTATACGCTGTAAAATTTTCACCGTATATTCATATAAAACGTAAGTCTGAACCAGAGTCTATATATAATATATCAGTGACCGCCGTGGATAGTAAACTTGGAATTGATAGTAAATAGCAATTACACTTTATTTATAGTATGTGTATGTTCATAGTATACAGAAAAACTCGAAAATAATTGAAATTAACAGAAAAAAATAATGGACTTTGGAAAAATGGGGGAGGGCTAAAAAAAATACCATAGTGTCCCCAAGTACCTTGATAACTTTTGATACCTTTCCTGAAATTCTCCAGTCATAAAATATTTTACAAAAATTCATCCTACAACAGTTTACATACTTTCAACCACACTCTAAATGCCCGCGGTTTTGCGGGTGTGTTCTAGTAAATTTTAATGAGACAGGGAGGGAGAAAACTGGACTTTGAACAAGGCATTAGAAAAGTTGCTACTAGTAGAGTAGGAACTGCTTTCCGTCCCTGAGCACCTGAGGTCACACCCCACTATTGTGATGGGATTGGAGTTGGCTCAATCTCGAGTTTTCTGTGTAGTGTTTTGCACACTATTGTTGGTCTTTTTTTCTCGTTGTTTGTCTTTCTTTAACTTGTAGGGTTTTTTCCCTTTTGTATTTTCTTTCCTTTTTTAAAATCATCTAGTTACAGCCTACATTAAATATAAAATGTCTGTTTAAATTTTTAAAAGCCTACTGAAACTTCCATTCCCAACCATTTCACATCAATATTACTACCACTTTGGCGCTTGCACACTTCCTCTCAATCTTACCTCTTATCTAAAGTGTATGTATATTCTATATGTTTACTAAACTGCCCTGCAATCTTTGCAACTTGCTTGATCTGGTAAAAAAAAATAGAGAACTAGCATAAACAGATATATATAAAATTATTTGGATGTAGCAATTTATGCAATACATCAATAAATCTTAAACTTCCATCAGAAGTTCAAATACAGCAATAATATAAATGTGTGTAATTATTTCTAAATTGAAAAGTTTTAAGTAAAACAAGAATGCATGTGTTGTCGTGCTAAGCTCAATCCCAATAGTAATTCAAAGATCGGAACACAGAAAGTAGGTGTCCTACAGATAAAATTTTTTTTGGAATTTTTCCATTATTAAAGAGGCATAACTCTAGAACGGTTAAAGTGACGCCACCAAAATTCACACTTGATCTGTATTTTGTTGTTATAAGCATTGTGTATAAGTTTCATAACATTTGGTTTAGGCAAACTCAAGTTAGAGAATGGAAACCAATTTTGTGATGTACGTACAGACGGACATGGGTAAAACTTAATGCCCCCTCCGCTACGGCGGGGGCATAAAAAGTGTTCAAATGTTACAATTCATCAGTCAAGCTGCTGACCAAAATTAATGCCATTTTATTCAATAGTGCTTTATTGAAGTGTGACAAAAATATTTGTTTTCATTTATTGCGAACCAAATGAAAGTTTTCCACAGAGTCGTCTGCCCTTGACCAGGGTATTTAAACTTTTGTCTATTCTCTTGTCCTATTGAATAAATACAATAGCTATTGTTCTCTGTGTAGTTTTTTCACTGGGACCTTTGAATTTCTTCTAGGAGAAATTTATCACTCATTGATTAATTTGCTTGACCAAAAAATTATCTTCTTTTTGGGGGGAAATTGTTGTATAAACTCGCATAAACTGCATGCAATATTGTATTTAATCAATATCACAATAATATATTTTCAATCTGTTCAATATAAACACTGATTTAATTATAAAAAGTTTATTTCTGACAAAATTTTTAGTATTGTTCCAATGAATTTGCATGTTTTTGTTGTTGTTCAGTTATAGAATACATTTATCAAGACCTTAATTTAAACACAATAATTTTCAAGTTTTTATTTGTCAAACACACAAAAAAAAGCAAATTTTAATAGGGAAAATATAAAAAAATTGTTCAGAAATCAACTTTTAATTTTTGAATCAGTGTTTATATTGAAACTATTAAAAATGAATTATTGATATTGAATAAATACAACACCACATGCAGTTTTTTGAGTCCTTATTTAGTATTTGTACATGTATTTTCATTATTGACAGTTCAATTTTTTGTTCTGGTAAATTAATCAGTGAGTGATAGATTTCTCTTGGAAGAAGTTTAAAGGTCCCATCAAATAAACTACACAGAGAACAATAGCTATTGTATTTATTAGATGGGACAAAAGAACTTACAAAAGTTTAAATCGACAGGTAACTTGCAGGTGAATCTGTGGAAAAGTATCATTGGGTTCGCAATAACATGTTTAAAAATTCAAAGTACAATGTACGGTATATGCAAACAAGATATCGGTGCATTGCAGACACGAAAAGTGCTCCCATGTTACAACTCATTGCTGTCAAGATGCTGACCAAAGATGAAGTTGTTCTGTTCAGTGGTTGCTGAGAAAAGTGTGACAAAAATATTTGTTTGACCATCAGACGGACAAGATGATTGCAACATAGCCTTCACTGTTGAGTAGGGCATGTATTTGTTTTGTCTGATAATGATTGGATAAAAAGCTAAAACTCACAAGGAACAAACTCTAAAGTAATGTTACTAGAATAGATACACCTTAAAGCTATTTGTCCCATAATTACAGGGCTACACAGACATTACTGTAAAATTTGACTTCATAAGAGAAAATGTCTGATGCCACAAAGCAAAAGTGATTGTTGTACAACGTCTAAAGTTCAAGTGTCGTAAATTCTCAGGTTAAGTATCACAGATTCCCAAATAGCAATAATGTATATTGTGATCCTATGACAAACACCTATGACAAACAATAAATAGATCTAGCTAACCACTAATACAAAACTAAAATATGCCAAAATTAAGTCAATGCAACATTTGGATATTTCAAAATTTATTTATTGTCAGTGATGCTTTCAACCAAATATTAGGAATCTCAAAAATTAAATTCCAAACAGTCATTTTGAAACTATAACATTCCACACATGTTGTAGTTTCAAAATTTTCATACCACAAAAATATGATCCATGTCATGGAACCCATTAAAGATTGAATTATAAATCTTGTGAACAGCATACCTATGCCCCGCTTAAATAAATGACATCTTAGGTTTATTCTTTCATAGTCATGGTATGACACTGATATGTGTTTATGCAATGTATGCCACTCTTTACAAAGTTTTGTCTGATGCATTAAAAGAAAGCAAACCTACAGTATAACATGTTATTGGAAATTCAAAGTAATGAATTGAATTTTATTAGTATATTTCACCCTTTGCTTGTCACAACAAGCATGGCAGAGGTAATGTGTGGAAAGTGATTATTGAGAACCAAATGAAACTTTTCGTCAGAGTTATCTCCTATTGGTCAAGCTATTCAAAACTTTACATAAAATGTTTTTATTCAGGTAAATTAATCAATGAGTGATAGATTTCTCAAAGAAGAAATTTTAAGGTCCCAGTGAATAAACTACACAGAGAACAATAGCTATTGTATCATTTAATGGGACAATAGAACTGACAAAAGTTTAAATACCTTGACCAACAAGAGACAACTCTGTGGAAAAGTTTCATTTGGTTCGCAATAGTACTGAAATTCCAGCCAAACTGCAGACTCAAGATACAGTGATTTTCCTGAATATCATAGAAAAACAGGCCCTAATTTCTAAAGACAAACTGTTATGATCAGCAGAGTATTCCAGAATGGTGATAATCCTATTACCTCAAATAAAGATACGAGCACCACCAACATACCAAATATATATGAAATTCATCTAAGTTGGTTTTAAGAACTACTTAAAACCTCATTTTCTGTCTGTTTTTTTTGTATACCTAAACTGACATTTCTTAAAATTCACTTACAAACTTATATACTACCATTACTATAATCAAAATGTTCTTACCTTTGATTTTACTAGTGACACTGGATGAAACAAGGCCTCATACTGATTTACCCAAGATGCAATTCTTTTCAGCCAGGGCTAAAATCAAGTAAAGCAACACAATACATTTTATCATAAATAGCATATATCAATACATTGTATATCCTTCCTCATTCATTTAACATATTAGTTGTGAACTATAATCTTACATTTAATTCATCTAAAGAAAGGAAAATACATATTCTGAAATTCAACATTCTGTTTGGAAAATTATATTGCACTAGTTAAAATTTTCAGCAGAAAAATATCTAACTTATCTCTTATTTTGCCAAATTTCTACAATATTTCCGTAACATGAAAGATTAAGAGGTTGCAAAAAGATATACTCAAATGAACTATTAAAGTTATCTTAAAATACAAAAATAGCATAGGTTTACATGATGTACTGGTACGAAATGTATTTACCATACCTTTTCACTACAGTCATCTGCAGATTGATACCTGGATGTAATGTGAACTGTTACTATGACAACAGCAGTACACAGTGACTTGGGGAAAGTAAAGACATCTGCTTCCCCATGACTGAGTTTGTCTCGTACACATGGTCCACTTGGATAGGTTAGCAAATCCATTAATATTTCCTGATAATAAAACAGAAAGCATTTGAAGTGGAATTTAGTTGAAACTTAATTTTTAATAGGTATTATGAATTTCACTCCAATGTTGCTTTTCCAAAAAAGAGATTCTATTTAGAATTTTCAATTGCCAATTGTTCTCTCTCTCTCTCTCTCTCTCTCTCTCTCTCTCTCTCTCTCTCTCTCTCTCTCTTCTCTCACAAAATCAGCTGCTGGAGAAAGAATTAAATACTTTTCAAATGATCAATTTTCAAGTTTCTCAGAGATGATTCTCATTATCTTTTAAGAATATATATATATTATGTGATGAATAGCAATTATTATTCACTTAAACTATATATAAGGAATTAAACCAATAAAGTGAACTCATACACAAGTCACAAGTATGAAGATAAAGTACAGATGAATCATTGAAAACTCTGTACATGTATATGAATTAAGCCTTATAAAAGTTAATTTCTCATGGGAACTGTCCATAGTTGATCTTCAGTCTGTAGTGTCCATACACATAATTTTTCAATGTTACTAGGTGGTTCTAAAGCCAAATTTTGTTTAAAAAGGAAGATAAGTTATCAAGCTTTTTTTTTAGGCCATGCCTAGTTAATACTGGATGGAGAAGAATTATGGAAATGTACAGTGCAGAGTTCAGTTGTTGATATTTAGACTTATATAGACTTACCATAACAGACTCACCAATCTCAGATGGAAGCTTATTTTCTAATTTTTCTGTGACATATTGATCTAAAATCTATAAATCAAATAAAAGCTTATGTCATTCAGCATTCATTTAATCACCAAAATGAAAAAAAGTCTTATTTAGCATTTGCTGTAAAAGGTTCAATCTGTTTTCAAATCACAAAATGCAGATAAAATACAAGGACCAATCTATGCTCTTTAACTAATGGCCTTTAATTTCCTAGTAACTGCTAATCAGATATTAACTTGGAATGCTGAGAAGTGTTTCAAGTGTACTTCAGTAACTTTCAATGATTGTTAACTTTTTATACATTGTGACTTGGATAAAAATTGTCTGTCTCATTGGCACTCATACCACATCTTCTTATTTATATTTTAATTGTGATTTAAATTGATCAATATCCAAATATATTTTTTTTCTATTTTATCTTTATTGCACTTGTTGTTTGCTGAAAAGGACAGTAATATTTGACATCTGATAGTAAATAATGAATACAACAGTGTAGTCTGTTAAGGAAAAGGAGATAACTATATGAAATTTGAAGTGATAAATGTACTGTAAATTCAGGAACTTTTGTAATGTTTTTATTATTGCTAAAATTACAACAGGTAAATCTAAATTTTGGCAGCATTATTTGTATGCAACATTTCCTGAAATCAAATTAAGGCCATAAAAAAGAATATGTTTGTTTGCCCTAATCCTACCTACTCAAAATCTTTTATTGTCCTGATGTGAAAAAGTTTTTCTTTTTTAATCAGATAGGCATGAAGACTAAAAAAACATCTGACACTTCAATTTCTCTTTGCTGAAAAAAAGAAAAGAAAATAACTACCTCCCTACCCACTGTCTCTACCTTTGGGTAGGGTTTGGGCAAACCAAAATATTTTTAAGTGTGGCCTAATAAGCTTGTATTGCTGTCCTTAGTTCAACAATCACAAGAATAAATGCAAATAAAAATTACTGAATTTACAGTAATTTGTAAATAAACCCAATCTTTAAATAAGTCTGATTACTTACCTCATCAAAAGTAGTAAATAATGTTGTTGCCTGAAAGAGAACAATAGAAAATGCTTTTAAGATCAAGTTTTCTCAATGTAAGTGGATGTTCTTAAAATGATACTAAGCTGTGCAGGTTCTCTTGTAAGAAATCTACATTTTATTATTTAAAGCACTCTGTGTGATATTTTCAAAATTGTACACCCAAACATTGTAATTGGCTAACAACGTCTTAAACAATTGAAATTCAATTAATGATGTGACATTGTTTTCATTTTGGGGTACAAACAAGGAAATTACCCATAGTTCTTTAGATTCTGAACAGGGATAGCAAGATCTAATAATGGACTTACCTCAGCTGTGATGGTTCTCTCTGGACAGTTGTTTACGATAGAAAACTGACATCTGAGAGCATGTTCTAACATCTTAACCTGATACTTACCTCTGCTGTAATGGTCCTCCCTGGACAGTTGTTTACGATAGAAAACTGACATCTGAGGGCATGTTCTAACAGTGGTAACATCAAAACCATAGCCAGGCCTGGTTCTTTAGTGTTAAACAAGTCTATACAGTAGATCCACAGTGTTAGGTGGTATTTAGGTATGAAGCTACTGGATTGTAATAACATCTTTATCTCCTCTGAAGTCATGTCTTTTATATCTGGTTCAATAAAACATGAAATAAACAAGAGTGCACATGCTGAAATGTCTCACCTGTTTTACTGACCATTGACTTTATGTTGCAAGTCTTAAAGATAAAGGTTTTACTACAAGTATCACATAAACTTAACATTTTAAAAGATCCAAGACAATGAGGTCAAGGTCTGATAAAAACTGTCACACAGACATGTACGCCTTACAATTGTTCCAAACACCAAATATAGTTGACTCATTGCTTATGGTAATTGAAAAACAGATCAAAACACAAAAACTTAATGTTAACCAATGAACCATGGAAATGATGTCAAGGTCAGATAATACTGGCTAGACAGACATGTACACCTTACAATCATTCTTGGAGTTCGGAGTTCGGTATTTTTGTAATTTTACTTTTTCCATACACCAAATATAGTTGAACTATTGCTTACAGTACTTGAAAAACAGACCAAACACAATAAACAGCTGCACCATGAGCGCATGATACGCCCGTCGCATTTTCAAAGTTCAATCACTTCTCAATGTCATATCAGAAATTTATGAAAATCGAAAGAAAGCTTTTGTTTAAAGATTTAAACAATTCACCAAAGTTTCATGAGAACTGCTGAAAGCATTTTTGAGGTACTGTCCGAAAACTGGAAAATCCCCCCTTTTATAATGAATAAAACACCATAACTCGGAAACGTAAAATCTAAAATTTATAAAATTCAAAAGGGAGCTTACATCAATAAATATAAACAATTCACCAAAGTTTCAGGAGAACTGCTAAACGCATTTTGGAGTTATTGTCCGAAAACTATAAACTGCCCTTTTTTTTAATGAATAAAACCCCGTAACTCAGAAACGTAAAATCTATAATTTATGAAAATGGAAAGGGAGCTCATGTCAACAGATTTAAACAATTCACCAAAATTTCTTGCAAATTGGTGAGAGCATTTTGGAGTTATTGTCCGAAAACTGGAAAATCCCCCTTTTTTAATGAATAAAACCTCATAACTCGGAAACATAAAATCTGAAATTTATAAAAAACAAAAGAGAGCTCACGTCAATAGATATAAACAATTCACCAAAGTTTAGGCAAATTGGTTAAAGCGTTTTTGAGTTAATGTCCGACATGTTGACGACAGACGGACGGACGGAAAGACGGACAATGGTATACCATAATACGTCCCGTAAACAGGCGTATAAAAAATTAACAATGACCAATGAACCATGAAAATGATGTCAAGGTCAGATGACACGGGCTAGGCAGACATGTACACCTTACAATCATTCCATACATCAATTATAGTTGACCTATTGCTATTAGTATTTGAAAAACAGACCAACACACAAAAACTTGACATTGACCAATGAAACATGAAAATGAGGTCAAGGTCAGATGACACTGGCTAGACAGACATGTACACCTTACTATCATTCCATACACCAAATATAGTTGACCTATTGCTTACAGTACTTGAAAAACAGACCAAAACAAAAAAATTAACAATGACCAATGAACCATGAAAATGAAGTCAAGGTCAGATGACACCAGCTAGACAGACATGTACACCTTACAATCATTCGATACCATATATAGTTGACCTATTGCTATAAGTACTTGAAAAACAGACCAAAACAGAAAAACTTAACATTGACCAATGAACCATGAAAATGAGGTCAAGGTCAAATGAAACTGGCTAGACAGACATGTACACCTTACAATCATTCCATACACCAAATATAGTTTACCTATTGCTTACAGTACTTGAAAAACAGACCAAAATACTAAAAATTAACAATGACCAATGAACCATGAAATTGAGGTCAAGGTCAGATGAAACCTGCCAGTCTGATATGTATCCCTTACAATCATTCCATACACAACATATAGGTGACCTTCTTCTTGTATTCTCTGAGAAACGGACCTAATCATGTAACTTTAACCTTGATCACTGATCCATGAATTGAGGTCAAGGTCAGGTTAACCCTGTCTGATAGACATGTAGACGTTACAAGGAACCCATACACCAAATATAGTTATCCTATTACTCATAATAAGTGAGAAATTCACATGACAAAAAAACTGTAATTCTTTTTCAAGCAGTCACTGAACCATGAAAATGAGGTCAAGGACAATGGGCATAAGACAGACGGAAACTTCGTAACATAAGGTATCTGCATACAAGGTATGAAGCATCCAGGTCTTCTTCCTTCTGAAATATAAAGCTTTATACAAATAGTTTATGCCGACGCCGGATAGTAATACCTATGTCTCGCATACTGTGACTTTCGTCGCAGGCGAGACAAAAGCTATATACTGTAAACCAACTTATTTTCGCATATACTTTATTCCGCCATTAGCCCTTTTCAGTCCACTTCACAGCGATTTAATTCCGAGTTTTTCAAATTTTCAGTTTTTTTGTTAGTTTTTTTTTAGTTGAGCCACGCCACATTTTCAACTAGGAACCACTGTCAGTCCCAACAATTGATATTTTTTCAAAAGGCTTTTCTTTGTAAATAATGAAATAAAATAGAATTGACCTGCTGCAAGAAAATTATTGAGCATCTACAGTTTAACATGCTATAAAGGTCACCACAATTAAGCTTAAACCTGATTTTGGTGGTCACTTTCCTTTTTTTCCCATCATGGCATGTTGAACCTCAATTCAGTGTTCTCCTTTCTTGTAAGTTCATCTTTTTTCATCCCAACGGGGATCTTTGAATATAGGTTTGAATGTATTATGTCTGGGTTTGAATTAATACCTGGTAATATATCTGTATACAGCCTGTCTTGAAGAAAAATGACTGGTGATCTATGAGGAATATCTCCTTGTAAATACTGATCTAGACTTGGTAACACTAGTAACAGAAAACAAATGTACCTGAAAAATGAAGAAAAGTTCATGCATTCTAAATTATAGAAATAAGTGTGGTCAAGTCTTCACTTTTTTATGCAGCATGTTTGCCAGTTTTGATGATAATGGTGATGGATAGTTGTTTAACGTCCAGCAGCAAATTACATGCATATTCCAGACAAGAACATGTTAATGCAAAATGAATATAAACCCTGCTTTGTAATAGACTGACATGCTTAGCCAGATTTTTATCATGCTGGTTCACAAGGTAGCAGTGCACAGAGGAAGACATGTCAACATGCCTGCAAGCATTATTCTGACTCCAAGCAAACTAGTCTTTTCTCTTACTCCAATAATACTGTGTGTTTGGCGGAGAAGCAGCAAATACCAATTTTCAAGTCTTTGCTTAGACTCAGCCAGGGGATAAACCCACAACATTTCGCACTCACTACCACTGCCACAAGACCACATAGGCGTTTTGCCAACTATTCAATAATGTAATGTTTCTATTTATATAAGAAAAAATCTGGCAGGTTCAAATTGTATAATGTTACATTTAAATCTTACTTCTAATATTCTAATCAAGTACATGTATATATCAATCCAATATCTATCTGAGTTGAATTTATTAATTTCTTGCATCAGTCAACTTTTCACTATTCATCTATATTTTTAAACTCATTTACAGTTATGAGGGGGTGGATTGGGTGGGGGTATTCATTTCTGTATTCTTTAACTTTTCTGACATTTTGTTCTTTTCTTTTTTTTTTTTTTTAAATAATCTGAATGAGGTTGGCCCAATGTTTGACCATAGACTGTTGGTTTAAAAAAGAAAATGTGAAATTTTATCTACAGACACTGAGAAAGTCTTACAGAAAAATTTGAGTTCTTTGAAACTTGCCTTTTTGAAATTTCCTGTTCTGTAGGAAATCCATGCCAAATAACATTCCTTATATTCAAAGAAACTGGTGGACCAATAACAGCTCTTAAAACTTGAACCTGAAAAAAATAACAACTTACAAAACTGTAAATGTATTCCATTGTATGTCTTTTTTTGCAAATTCAATAAACTTTCAATAAAATAACTTGATTTTTCTTGCACTGAGGCTACCAAGAAAAAATGTGGTTGTCTTAAAAAATCTATGATGAAAGCCATTTATACTATAGCCAAGAAGAAAAATAAGGTAATGATGTAAGTAGGAAGTCTTTATTTTTCTCATTTTTTCATCTTATCAGAAGACCTGTAATTTGGTCAAGATTAACTATCAAACTTGCCAATAAAAACTTAATGGTATGCATTTTGAGACATACACATTTGGGTAGGTAGGGAAACTCTTTAGTATTTTTACTTTTACCTTAAGAGCCTTAAACTCTACAATAGTTACCACAGTTGTCCCAAAGATTTTCTTTAGTGTTGATGATGACAGAATGTCTTTTAACATGGAAGGACAAACGTTATTCTCTAACAAATACACCTGTAATCAAATGTCTATTACATCATTTGTATATTGCTCTATACTTGCACTAGAAACAAAAGGAAAAAAAGCATCTTAAAATCAAATGGGTTAATGAAAAAATATATATGGTACACTCCATGATAGTCATCTAGTTCCTGCAAATATTGTAAACAATGGCAAAATATTACAATTCTGAGGAAATTCAAGTTTTAACAAGAATGTGTCCATAGTACACGGATGCCTCTGGCTCGCACTACCATTTTCTATGTTCAGTGGACCGTGAAATTGGGGTCAAAACTCTTAATTTGGCATTAAAATTAGAAAGATCATATCATAGGGAAAATGTGTACTAAGTTTCAAGTTGATTGGACTTCAACTTCATCAAAAACTACCTTGACCAAAAACTTTAACCTGAAGTGACCAAAAACTTTAACCTGAAGCGGGACAGATGGATGAATGGACGCACACACCGAAAAACATAATGCCCATAAATGGGGCATAAAAATATTGCCATATAATATATATATCATATATTAAGCTATAACCTATTGAATGGCGATCTTTCAAATGAAATAGCTGAAATCAAGTGAAAGCTTATTATGATCTAAATATTAAGATATATTGCTTCAGGTTACTTATAACAGACAATATATATGATATATATTATATCAAACAATACATGTATATATTGCTAAAACAAACTCTTAGGAGCTGAGTTCACAAAGTATTTTTAATAAAAGCAGTGCGAAAATCATCCAATAAAATTTCCTTCATATCTTGTTCAAACTTCTTAGTGAACTATTAAAGGTAATTTAATAAGATTGGCCACTATACTTACATCTCCAAGCACTCTTTATAGACATGAGGCTAATAGGGAGTCTTACTGACTTATAACAGGTTGACTACAGTACTAAACATCTCCAAGGGCTCTTTCTATACATAGGGCAGTTCGTCTGGTCTTGTAACAGGTTAATTACTGTAAGGGTGACTACACTTACTATACTTACATCTCCAAGTGATCTTTCTAGACAAGAAGTAACCAGTAGAAGAGCTAAATGATTGTCTGTTAACTTGTCTGTCTTAAGTAGCCTAAAACATTCTTTGATGACCTACAAAAAAAGGAAAAATGCAGACTAGTGATTTCTAGCAATGTGAGAAATGCATGCAATAAATTGTATAATTTTGTTCCAGTTTCTTATGTACAACTTATTTCAATATAAATCTTATACATAGCATTGAATACATGCTCAACTTCACATGCAGGATAATAATATAGATGATGCTGAATTTACTGTTTCCTTGCCTGCCTATGACTGGTACATTTTTATTATTCATTTCAGGCAAATCTCTTTTCTAAAAAATAAATTTTAATGTAATGAAATGTGTTTTTGCTCTATAAGTTCTATTCCAATATTTAAACTATATGGTTGGATAGGCTGAAGGAGGACTGTCAATGAATCATATTCTATTGTTTCTAAGAATTATTAATACAGAACACAATATAAGCATTGTTGTTCCTTTTTAGAGAGCATATGACAGTCATGACTAGGCTCATCCCATACAAATTACAATACCTGCTCTTGACCTGTCCAGAAAATAAGGTCACTGTACTGGTGCAAAAGGTCATCTATTGTCATTTCTTGAACACATTGTTCACATTCTTTAAAAAGAAAGCCAAGTCCAAAAATACACTTTTCAAAATAATCGTCACTGTCTGTATCTTCTAAACTTTCATCTGTAAGAAAATATAGAAAATTAAGGAATTTTTCAAAACATTTGTACTCTCATCACATAAAACACAGTTGGCAGTATATCCAGTCCCAGAAGTTTTCATTTTTGTGACACAATCATTTGATGGTAGATTTTTTTGTGAAAATAAAATTTAGGGCACATAAAATTTTGAAAAGTACTAAACGGTATGGGGTTTTCTCATTGTTGAAGGCTGTATGGTTGCCTATAATTGCGTACATCCACTTTATTTGAACTTTGGTGGATAGTTGTCTCATTGGCAATCATACCTCATCTCCTTATTTTTAAATATGTCCAGCTGGTTAAACCATTTTTGGACAGGGTCATGATAAGATAAAAATGAAAAGTATTTTTAAAATTAATTATTTGCCTTCTTTTAGCAGTAATGTTAAATGTCAATTCAAAAATATTCACTGCAAATTGTTTTACCCTTTCAGTCAATTGTATTTACAAAATAGACATATTAAAAAAGTTCACACATCATTAACCTTATGTTTCAAACTGTTTTATCTACATGTTCTATTTAAAGAATCAATCATCATATTGACTGGACCCAATCCCATAATTCATTTTGTGTAGGTTTTTAGTAAAGATGTCCTGAGAAGGTCAAATCTGAAAATATTTTCAAAGTTCACAAGGGACATTAAACAGCAAGTGAAGGAAACAAATCACTTTGCCTTTTTTTGGATTTAAATTATATTATGATTAAAAATAAGTACAAGACTGAACTTTATGTCAAAATGAACATCAAGAAACAAGAACGATCAGTTATGGCACAATTTCGCTGTGGTATAATACCTTTGCGCATTGAAACCGGGCGATTTAGAAATGAGGCTCCTGATGAACATTTCTGCACCTTGTGCAACGACAGAACTGTCAAAGATGAGAAACATTTCTTACTATACTGTAAAACTTACAATAATATGAGACACATGCTATTTAAATCAGTGAACATTGACAGTAATTCCATTAATGATACATGCAGTACATTTGCTAATTTGATGACATTTCATCAAAGACAAACAGCCAAATATTTGAATTTATTTTTCTGTAAAAGGAAAAAACTTCTTTACAAGTAACAATTTACATTAATTTTGCTTATTGAAAATATGAACATTAAGTTTAAAGATACTTATAGGTCCAATGGGCCGGGTGTAATTTTAAATAATTATTGTCTTATTAATATGTAATATTATTTATACTAATGTACACATGTCACTATAATAAATGATCTACTTACTTACTTACTTACTTACTTATATCTTTTTTTTTTAAATAAAGTTGATTAAATACCTGGTAAAACCTGTCTTAAAATATCCCAGCTTATAATCTTGGATGATGACAAAAATCTAACATGGCTTGATTCATTATGAACCCCAACCTCTGTGATCAACCTCCTGACCCTTGGTGACAATGCGGTCTGCAACTCAGCCATTTAATAATTCTAAAGAGATAAAACATAGAATGAAAAGACTGGAATCAAAGCTGTGAAGTGTGAATAACAAGACTTGGCATCTTATTCTTTTTGTATATGTATTTAGAATTTCACACAAGTTACCAGAGCCTATGAGATTGCTACATCTATGCTTTACTGAGTATCCCATCCAAAGGTGGGTAGACCACACCAAGACATGAAACTCAGATATGGATTTGTCATCACACACAGACAAGAGAGTGAGACATGGATCGGTTACCACAAACAAACTTTTTATGTACAGACATCAGGACAACAATATAACACTAAATACCTATATCCAACTATCGCGGTCATCACATGAATTTTACTATTCACTTGTATATCATTAATGGCTGATAGTTTTATCAATGAAAATGAACAGGTTTCATAAATTAAACGACCATAACTTTTTTGTTACATTGTGTATTTTACCTTCCAACCTCGCATTTTTAAGAATTTTCTAATTTACAATTAAATATGTAAATATGTTCTAAATTTCAGTTCAGAAATATGACTTCTTGCTTCAAATTAAGTTTGAAAATTGAGGTGCTATAACCACACAGCCTCCATTAACTTCTTTGTTAAAACTCGATAAAATTGCAATGGGACCTTCTTACATATTCAATTTTCACAACTAATATCCTTCCAACCCCTAAAAAGGTCGACAATATATTTAGTTCAAAGAAATCAAAAACCAAATAAACATATTGCTTCAAATTTCTATTGAAAAGTTCACATTTTGGCATTTGTTAGCAATATTTTGAAAATTGCAGCCGCTGTTGAAAGTAAACATCGACATGGCGTGTATTCATTTAGATATTAATTTTACGATGGAAATTAAATAACTAATGGATGCCTTCATTTTCAGACATTGTTTTACCTTAAAGCAGCATAGAATCAAACATTGTTTCTTTTTGAGAAAGTGGATTCATTTTGTTTGTTTTGATAAAATTTCGAAGTTACGAAAAAAAATGGCCATTAATTAATTTTCAAACGTAGACCATGTTGGACATTAATTTCTTCCATGCAATTAATAGACAACTTTCAAGTTCTTTGCATTTCCGTCAAAAACTTTGGTTTTAGTGAACATCATTCATGCGTTTAGGGGTGTCTTCACTTCCGTTCCTATTTTGAGCCACTTTTTGAAAAAATAATAATGCTATAGTGCACGAATGATTCGGTAAATTAAATTCTTATAATTGATATTTAGCACTGCTGTCATTAGGGAATTGTGACTAAGTAATTACGGAACAAATATTATTTCAAGTTTATCATGCATAATGACGATCACAAAGACACTTGATGAACTTTAATAAAGCAAGGATACAGGCGATCCCCACTATCTGGTAATTGACAAACTTTTCCGGTGAAGGACATAACTCGAAAGTGGAAAATTCAATTTAATTTCAGTGTTTAAATTACAATTTGATTTGATATGTAATTGTCTTTCTAATAATACCCTAATGCATAGCTAGATTAAGGAGATATTCAGTCATAACACAGACGTAATCAAAGAAAACAAACACGACACCTGATCACGGTGTAAGTTTTGACAAGACCTATGTATATTAGTTTTGTCCGATTCTTAATGAAATTGTTTAATGATATTATTTTAAATTGATAAAAGATAACCTCGAATGGATGTTAACTGAGATGAAATGTCTATATTTTATCAATTTTCTAAATCATTCATCACACGGGTAACCAGTAAATTTTACCTGGGAACAGTATATCTAACGGGAAATGAATCTGATAGGCTTTTCAGTATAAAATTGATAAAATCTCGGACTCCAAGAGACTTCGCGAGATTTATAGATTTTGGTGGCGTCTGACTGAAAAACAGTAATGGAACTGCTCAATAAATTAACCACATAATTCTAATTGTAAATAAATACAAGTTTTATCATAAAGTAGATACATTTTGTCATATAAAATTACCAAAATAAGTGTGATTTATTTGATGTAAAGTGTTTTATAATGTTTTTGAATTTGGGAAGGCAATCGGCGCCATTTCTTTATTACCCTGTTTGCATTCTGTACCATTCTGTGATAAAATGAATGCGATTATAACAAATTTGAAGTGACAGAATACAAGTTTGATACACTGGCATCACTGTAAAACTAGTTTGAATGACATTTTATTGATATTATCAGAAATTATTGGGATAATAGCGAGTACGTTTTTAACACATGTCCGTTTCCGTATCGAATCTTTGTTACCTATGACCCAACGATAAAATCAGCTACAATTAGGTAGTGTCAAGTCCCGTCAATATATATGTTCCTGATTTTACATAATCCTAATTAAACCAGTAACATGCAGAGTTATCGAACATAACTATGGCTGGAATAGTTGCATATGATACTTGGAACTTCAAAAAAGGGGGGAAAAGGCAACACTTAATCTACTAGCCGTCATCAAATATATGGAAAAAGACATACTAACATGACTAACAGATTAAGACATAACTTACAGATCAAATAACTCAAACATAGCTGTACCTGTAATATTTGTAGGATAATATTCTTGTCACCTGGCAACTCAGTCACAAATGCATGTTTGTTTGCAAGTAGATGAGCTATTGGAACTGTGGCTTCCATAAATTATATATTAAAGTGATTTAATTATTATAGCAAACAAATCATAAATTGCGTCAGCTTATTCTCTGCATTTCACTTTCTGTGCGGCGCTGTCAAGATTGCCTTAAAAAAAAAATCTTCTAATAAAAAAAAGTCTACTTTCATTTCGCATGGCGTCAACAATTATTGAGTCCGTGACGGTACAAACGTCAGTTTCCGTGTATTAATTTTGGCGGGAATTTCAAACATCCAAGGGACGTCGATGACCATAAAAGGTAGTGATGACAACTTCAAGAAAGATGTAGGAAGGTGAGATTATTGAAGAACAATGATACTGTAATAACATCTGAATCGTAGTTTTAAATTATACGATATAATTTATTTGTTAAAGTCTAAATATTTTTTAGAGTGAGAAGGAACCCTTCATATAAAAACTTTCTTGGACCTGAAAGATATTGAATAATATGATATTTTTTTAATGTGTATTTTTGTTTTAGTTTAATTCTTCTTTCTTTTTTTTTTTTGGGGGGGGGGGGGGGTTGCGATTGTGAACGCTCTGATATGGTCTTGATCATTTTCATTGTCTTTTTTCAATACAAAAAGATTAAATGATATACCCGCATCGGCATGATGGTGAGTGGGGGGGGGGGGGGGGGGGTCAATTAACCTAAAGAAGACCTTTTTTTAACTACACAACAAGGTTATCGAGTTCGCCGCAATTAGTGTTCTCGTATATTTTTTTATCGATAGAGAAGAAAAACTAAACATTTATTTTAAAAGATTTCTCTAACAAACACATTAGCACAAATTCTTAATTTTTTAGTCAACGAAAATAGATGTCTGCAGGAAGAAAGACAAAACCGAGTGCTTCGCAAGAGGATTCTATTCCAGCAAAAAAGCAATGCATGGACTTGCATTTCCATGACGACTCTTCCGTTTCAAAGTTTACGTGGCCAGACGATGGGTCATATTCATGGCAAATTTGTGATGCGGATGCAGGTGATAATTCGAACCCGGCAACTCGAGATAACTCAAATCCACCGAGTTGTGGTAACTTAAATCCACCAAGTTTAGAATCTACTAAGACAAATAATTCTTCGAGCAGTGAATCATTGGATAATAAGAAATGGATCGAAAATGCATTCAAACAAAATTCTACCAAGTCGACTGCTCCTTTTTTAACCCCAAAAAGTTGCAGGACTCCAGACAATTCTGAAAATGATTTTTCATCACCGAGCACATTTAGCACATCGGCAGAAAGTATTCGCTCTTCGCCAATTGCACTCACTCACAAAAACACAAAACAATCCGACAGAAAATTGCGTTCTCCTTGCAGAACACCAAACAACTCTGAAAATGATCTTTCATCAACCAGCATATGTAGCGCATCATCAGAAAGTAATCGATCTTCATCAAGCACAGTCACTCACAAAACCACAGAACAATCCAGCAGAAGGCTGTATTCTCCAAGCAAAACACCAGAGAATACTAAAAACGATTTTTCATCAACGAGCACACACAGCACATCAGAAGTGAGTAATCGTTCTTCAGCAAGCACGGTCACTGAAAGTAATTTGTCAACAAGCACAACTTTTGAATACGATTCTTCGTCATCAAACACAAGCATTGCAAGTAGTCAACTTTCTGACAGCACTATATCGCAGAATTCTCAGGGTGACCTGCCTCAAGGCATAAAATCTAAAAAATCTGTCGGCTCGACACACAGATCAGCCACAACAAAACAAACACGCCTAACCGATTCGAGTGATAGTGATTCGTGTGAGAGTGATTCATGTGAAGGTGATTCATTCCTAGACCAAGACATGAAAGCAACAAAAAAAGTAAAAACAAACTATCCTGCTGCAATGAAAGAACAAGATGCAAAGGGACAAGAAAAAATGTATGAAAACAACGACAAAGAGGTAACAACCATTTTTGAGAATGTGGAAAGTGATAAAATTAAAGAGAGGTATAAATCAATAGGGAATACTGAAGATAAATTGAGTGATGACGCGAGTAATTATTCTGATGACGAAGAATATTACTGCAACAGCTCTTATTCTGGTAGTGGTGAGGAATATGAAATTTCGGATAAGTCTGTACAATGTAATGGCATATCTCCTCTTCATATCAAAACAAAGGTTGATAGGCAAGCGTTTGTAATGAAGATCATGAAAGCATTCAAATGCAACTCTCTTTATGACTCATTCTGCTTTACTTTGCCTCGATCAAAGGATACAATAGACGGATACAATATGACAGTCAATGGAATACTGAGTCTGGCCGATCAGTGTAGGTTTGGTCTAATCGAGTCGACCACGATGAACTTTCCAAATGACGAATCAATAGACTTCGCAGAAGGAGTTGTCGAGGATATGAGGAAGAGATATAAGGAATTGTGTGGCGGGGGAGAAAATAGTAACAATGATTCACACCATTCGTCAGAAGAAAGCACAAGTAGTATTCTTGAGAAGGAAGTAGACAATGATCTTCCCCATAATATTATATTCATGGTCTCCGATGGCATCAAAGACATTGTGTCGACCTGGAGTGGGCAATTTCAGGTCTCTACTAATCCGGTCACATATATTATGTCGCTCCGAATGTTCGATTATAAGCCTTCATTTTCAAATAATATTTGCCCGGTTTCCCGCCAGAAACAATTAACGGAAGAACTGTGTCAAGATATAATCAATGAAATGGAAAAGTTCGAATGTTCAAGACAGCTGCGATTGGATGTAGATTTCCGAACCTTTGAAAGTCTTACATTTTTCAAGTGTTCCGAGAACGAAGCCTTGCTACTTATAAATATACGAAGTCCAGCTACATTCTGCCAAAGACTCGTAAATACCAGCGCCATAGACAGAAACGATTGGCAACCAAGAGACAATTTTCTCCCTTTCGAACATGGATGTTATCAGGATTACGTTTTGGCGCTAGGGGGTGTAGTCTCTGAACTTTCACGTATAGCAGCACAGATTACTGTAGCATGTCCAAGCGTTAAAATTTTGAACAAAGATATAAATGAGTTTTTGCTCTATCACATCTCGGTAGATTCCTTGGGGAAATATAGAAATTTAGAAATTGACAACAGACACAGAAAATCCATTAACCTGTCAGTTGACCGACGTAATAGTATCATAGATGTTTTGGAAAGAAATCACATACTTTTAAAGAACAAGTGCGAAGAACTACGAAAAAATATAACAATAACAGAAATAAACCCTAGAATAGGCTCCGAATGTAATTGTCTGGATGGTACTGATTTCCATCCATGTTTCGCTGACTATTTGAATTATAAATGTTTAGATGTTAGTGAACTAGAGCATCAGCTGTCTAGAAGATGTAATATTTTAGAGAAAATTGCTGATGCCAGACATTCGGATTACAATCCAGACAGCCAGAACATTAGCGTTGCACAATACCTGGCTTCAAATTCAGATTCTAAGTTTTATTATTCTTTCTGTAGCTCAGAAATTGTTCCCAGCGACACCTGGCATTGTAAAGTATGTGGTAAATGCAATCAAGAAAACGAATGGCACTGTCCAAAGTGTGACAAATGTTCAAAAGCACAACCAGCGTGTCAGCACTGTGGATATGCGGGGTATACATATATAATTAAACCAGGCTCGGTAGATGAATCCACGGCTCCTAAATTGGAGTGGAAAATCAACTTAAGTACAACAGATGTTCCTGATTGGTCCGTTACTCTCGACCATTCAACCGAAAAAGCTTCCTTCAGCATGGACGATTTCATGCAGGATGAGTTTGGATTGATTGATCCAATGGCATTTTTGTTGGGTTCTGAGGCTAGAGGAGGTGGGAACAGACAGGGTCGTCGAAGACAAAAATATGAGAAAAAGATTGAAGGAAATCCTAAAATGTTAGCTGCAGCAGGATGTGTATTGCAATAAAAATAAAAAATAGAATAAGAATTAAAAGTATCCTATCTTTCTTATTCCATATCAACTGTGTGAAAAAGAGCAAACCTACAAGACACGTGTCGCTGCTGATTTAAATACCTTTCGAGTATGTGTTGCAGTAATAAAACAAGAATATTTCCAAGGGTTCCATCAACACACAATTGTTTCATATTGCCATTAATTCAGAAATATTTAATTCCTGCTAACACAAAAATAACGAGTCGTGGTATGATTCACAATAAGACAACTATCCATGCACCAGAAACCAATGGACGAGGATGTAAACAAATATAGGTCACTGTACGGCCTTCAACTATGAGCAAAACCAATACCGTAAACTAAGCAATAAAAACCCCGTCGTGACAAAATGTGAAATAATCAACGGACCGGTTCATGCTAAAAATAATAAACGAAAATAATTGTGGCAAATAGCTACTCCAACTTTTAAGCTCATGACTTGGGAAAGACACATAAATAATGTCAATCTAATTAAAATATAGATCTCTGATTTCGTTATCCTCATATGATATATATATATATATATATATATATATATATATATATATACGAGCATTCGAGTTAAGATAGATCTGAATATTAATCAGATTGAACTAATGTGGTAGTGTTAATCATGTTTGTGAGCGCTCAACTCTCCCCTATACTAGAACAGTGGTGCAACAGTACAGCATAAGAACAAACTGTAAAAATCAGTTGGCCGAAAAGGGCTGGACTCATCATATCGGCACGTAGCATAAAAACCATGGGAAAAAGGCAAAAATAAACATAAAGTACTAGCAGTTGCTGAAAGCTAATTCAATGCGTATTTCTACTTTTAAATAAACCATGTTTTCCCTGACTTACATTTGCACATAAAACTAGGACTGCATGCTCGATCTACTTCTTTATTCGCCCTTGCTCCCTCCTGAAGCAAATTAACGTCAAATCTTCATGGATTCATATGTTCCGAATCTTTATGTCTGCGTGTTTTAAAAGTAAATATTCACAATTTTAGTTGCCGTGAAAAAGGTTATATAACCGTATTTTGAATCATACGGCAGATGCATCACATTTGAAATTTTAAATTTCTAATTACAGAAATCTTTCTTTCACTTCTTTATCTATTACAAGAACATTTTTTATTAACCTTAACGAACAAATCAAGGATTGCTTCATACAAAATGACCAACTTAGATACACTAATCTTGATTTAGGCACATAATTTGAAAACGACCTCTGAATATGGCATCAATTTTTTTTATGTTTGACAGTCGCTTTTCTTTAATAGACAGTCTGCATTCCTATGTGAAACAATTGCTCATCTTCACGCCGACTTGTTCCTTTATTAGTCATATAGTCTGCATGTATGAGTATCTAAAGAGACATAGAAAGGATAATTTGGAGAATTGGACAGATATTTTATATATTTTCTTTTGAATTGATTCAGTAATAGACTCGAGACGATTTGGAGCTAGACATATATAGACACTCACAATTCTGATTTGTATATACAGGAGTCGGTTTCACAAAAAAACTTACAACTAAGATTGATCGTAAGTATACTGAATTGTTCATGACTTACGATCAATCTTAGTCGGTAAGTTTTTTTTGTGAAACCGACTCCTAGATTTTATTAAGTATAATGATCAGATACCTATAGAAATTGAAATAAAAATATTTACTAGGAGGATTCTGGATCCTACTGAATTCCAGTTTATAATGTAACACATAAACACGTCAAGCAAACAACCTTGTCGATCACAGATTCGCAATCTGATTAAAATTCAGACCTATATTAATTGGCCGTGCTCGTATGTATCAGCTCATATGAGGATAAGTATAGGTTAGACAATACTTGATCGTGTTTTATGAATATTTAAAGCCCGAAGCGTAGCACTTTACGATAAGTTTGTAAGGGAATGTTAGCACATACTTACCGTAACTTCTCGTCCAATCAAATTGCATGAATTTGCCTTTTAGTTTTTAATAGTACATACTTTGTCCTTGTACTAAGTAACTATGTACCACAAGGGTAAGATTTCATTGTATCGTAATCAAGATATTGAAAACAAAAATTACCACTGGCTTTTTTGGAATAAAATGGTGTCCCAAATTAAAAGACAATGTAATTAGTTTTCACATTGATTTTCATATATCCTGCTATTAAAATCTTTGGTTTTAAAAATATTTTTGACAATTGCAAGATTCTATCATTTAAATAAAGAATAACAAATATGGTCCTGATACATTGATTAGCGTACAACACTATCTTATAATTGAGGTAATTTTTCATTCATGTAATTATTGTGTACATGAAAAAGTAAAACAGTATGTACTATGAAACCTTGTGAAAGGAAGTTAAGGCTACTTGGTGGTGATTTTTTAAAAAGTTCTCAAGAAACTTGATCCATATCATGAATTTAAAAACTGTGGTAATGTCTGATAGGAATGTGCCACCTATATATACATTCTGATAAAGCTTTTAGTTCTTATTTTGAAATTTTGAAATACAAAAAAAACCTATAATCTTTGATCTATTGGTAGTTGCTTTTTAATAATACCTATCCGCTAGACTATCTATGGGCACATATAGATATAAGAAGATGTGGTATGAGTGCCAATGAGACAACTCTCCATCCAAGTCAAAATTTATAAAAGTAAACCATTATAGGTCACAGTACGGTCTTCAACACGGAGCCTTGGCTCACACCGAACAGTAAGCTATAAAGGGCCCCAAAAATTACTAGTGTAAAACCATTCAAACGGGAAAAACCAACGGTCTAATCTATATAAAAAACGAGAAACACTTATGAACCACATCATATATAACATATATCTATTTAGTATATTTTTCAAATCTATTATAGCTTTAGTTTTACTGTGAAATTGAAAAAAAAATGTTTTTAAAACTTGAAAAGCTTCTGCTGCAATTTAATTATATATGCCAGTTTTTTTGTCTATTTATTTTGTCATCTTACCACGAAAAGAAGAACATGTAGTAAGACACTGCTTTATATCAATATTCATACTTACACCAGCAGCTACCATCTTTTCATTATGAAGTCAAGGGCCTTTCAGAATCACATATTTTATGTGATATTGAAATATAAACCGCTATTTTCCCAACTTTTGTTTTATGCAATCAGGTAAATCACTGTCACTGAGTAAATTTTCAAAACATGAAAATTTGTTAATGAACTCTGTTTTACAAACGCCTGTGATAAAAGTAGTCAGTCAAAATAAACTACCAATAGGCCAATTAAAAGTTTACCTGAGTTGTAAATATGTGCTAAATTGGATAGTCTATGAAAAGGTATATACTATGAAATTAAGTGCTCGGGGCAAACCCCTCGCTCTAAATTTGAGTACATACCTTTATAGACTAACCATATACATAATCCTTTTCTTCGTAAAAATTACGAGCGTTATCTTCATGATAAGTACGAGCGTTATCTTCTTGATAAGTACGAGCGTTATGAAGAAAGGGATTATCAATATCTTACACATACGTTGAGTATATTCATAGTTTTAAATGGCATTCCCGTGAGAGTTAAAGCAACAAACAGCAATCATTGCTGCGTTGTAAAACTGGATTAATCTAGTTTGAATAAATGATTTGTTGTCACTTAATTATGTCTTGTATTTTCAAAAGAAATAAAAATTACCTGTAGAGTGAAATATTAAATCAACTTTAAAATCTCAAGATGAAACTACATTACCTTACGTTAAAAACAGAAGCAAACACGTAAAAAATGCAAATTAATGTGCAACCTGAACTAATCAATCGTTGCAGGAAAACAAAGTTGAAAAAAAAACCACATACCCAAGTTTTACTCGTATTTTGATTTTTATAACAGGTACTTCGATCTTTCACTAGGCATCAGAAATGAAAACTTCTTCGTTCTTCTAAGTGAATGTCCAAAAGAGTAAGTGGAATGATCCATGTCAAATAAAAAAAAACCTGAAGTTTTAATCAAATGTAATAAACTGCAATATTTGTTTTTTCTTTTTTTTTCTTCTTTTTTGTTGACCTCATATGCTAGAAGTTTAAACAATTTCAGTTTCCAATCAAGTTACAAAGAAGGTGCAGAAGCATTTTAAAACAATCGACAAGAGTTTAAAAAAATATAAAAAGCCTGTCAAGTCACAACGAAAGAAAGGAAGTAAAGAAGAGAATGCAAGATGAAAATGATGCAGAGGTTATGAAGGTTGGACTAGGACAACCAAGCGTAAAACTATCTAATGAGTGGAAAAGAAGACCAGAGTACGTTTGACAGACTATCTGGTTTTCTGTGAAAATAGTAAATTATCAGCCGCTCTAAACAATGGAAAGTTTTTTTAGTTCATTCGCTGCACACTTTCGCCAAAAAGGTTTACATAGGGATAGAGGCTGATATTTTACGATATCAATGTCCAGAAACCAGATTATTTATACATATGATATGGCCATGACCTTTCCAATATCACAAACGAATTAACCCTATACACCAATATAATCCTGAGAGTTCACTGTTTGCCATATTTGTGTTTCGTTAATTGTTTTAGTGAAAATCAGGCCGTTGGTTTTCTCGTTTGAATGGGATTCATTTTGTTATTCCGGGATGTTTTATAGCTTACTATACGGTACGGGAATTGTTCATTGTTGAAGACAGAACGTCGACCTACAGTTGTTTCCATACATGTACTTTGGTCTCTGGTGGATAGTTGTCTCATTTGCAATCCTTATTTTTATATTTAGGTTATCACTTCTAAAAGTTTTGGCAGTTTAGCGTTTTCCTGAACTTGACCAAATTAAAATACCGAAGGATTATGTACGCCCTCTACACCCCTTTTCCTCCCTGAATCTGCCACTGTTGAATACCATTTTGATTCTATGGGTAAATGGTTTATAAAGCAGAAAAGGCAACAAAAATGCACAAAAAACTTGAGTTGACGTAAAACAGAGTAACACAATGACGAAAAGAAAACCAACGTACAAGTCCACACAGCACTGC